CCCCCTTCCTTCCCCTAGTATATATACAACTAGCTAGACGTCTATAGAAATCAGAGTTCACATCAATTTCAACCTGAGTACACAGGGGGGGACGTTAGTTGGGTTTCTTTCCATGGAAGAAGGAGCTGTCGATGGTTTCGTTTGGCAGCATGCGTTTACGTTGATGCTGTTTAATTCCGGCCTTTAAAAGCGGCATGCAACCTTCATATTTATGTTCATTCCAATGCTACTCTTTCCTTCTCTTTTTACCTACCTCTTATTCTCGTCACTTATATATGCTTTTCTTCCTCTTTCCCTTTGGCCTTATTTTCGGTTCGCTGGTTGCTGTCTCCTGCCTTCTGGTAAGCTGCAGTAGCTCGTGACCGACAGGTCATCGTCATTGCAATACTACCAGTTCTTCTTTACCCCCCGCATTCCACGTATACTCACCAGCATGGTACTGCACTGCCACAATCCTACGTTCCAAATGACAGCGAGCCTACCATCGCCGAGGTTGACCGAGGCAATAAGAAGCTACCACTAGAATTGGTTCCAAATATGCCAAATCACAGAGTAGCACATGCAACAAGTAGACAAAGAATCTAGCGCCATACTCACAATATCACGCATGTATACCACAATGCCGTTGTTTGCCGCGCCTAACAAAGAAACTACGAAATCTCTCTTTCATACCACGTAAACACCGCTTTGTCCTTTTGTTACAATTAAGAACCAGAACCCCCCACAATGAAGCTTAAAACCATCACAGGGCCCGGCGTCCGCGTGGGGAAAGCACAGTCTTGCGTAACATAAGCATTTTTGCATACAAGTCTCACGGAGACGGACCACTGTCAATACATTTAGCCATTTTGCACACTGAGATCTACTACCATTCATTCTACCTACTCATTCTCTTCTTATTCATTCTCTTTTGAAGCGAGCCTTCAATCATCTTATTCGTCTATACTTGCATACTCGAGACCAAAGGCAGTTTGATCTCTTATCACCTTCACTCACACACAGGAGTATCAAGAACCGAGAGACTAATACATTCGTCACTACACACGGCTTTATAGCGCCATCCACAGCCACCACCATGCGTGAGACGATGCGCAAGCACAACGAAAAGGGGGATGCGGCCGGCCACATATCCTTCACGACTGCGTCTCACGGCCAGCACAACGGCCAGCACACCTCTCAGCCAACGACATCGTCAGGGGCGGTTTTTGCAAATCATGAAAAGCAAAAACCCACACCCCTCCGCCCCTCGCACCCCTCAACCGACACACCACACCACACTCGCCCCCAGGGAGGAATGGCTCGACCGCCGCTTCCAAACCCCTATCCACCAACCTCTGCGAGGACAAACCTACCACAACAAGCACGCCCCCAACCGCAACGAGGCAACAGTCACGATGCCGACTACCATCTCCCCCAAACCACCTTCTCAACCTACTCCATCTCCACCGCAACCCACCACGACCGCCCCCACTCCCCCATCTTCCCCCTCTCGCAAATCTCCCCTCTAACCCGCACCGCCCTCGCCCTCCACGACCTCAGCCCCGTCTCCCCAATCCCCATCTCCCCACTAACCCGCGAAGCGCTCGCACGCCATGACGCCCTCACCACCTCGCAGGCGTCCTCCCGGTCTGCGAGGACAGAATATCGACCACACCCACCCCCGCAACTGCAGCATCGCGGCCAGCGGCACCCACAACGACAACAACAACGGAAGAAATCCGCGCCGCGGAGGCCTTCGTCGCCGCTCGCGATCGTAGCGAGCACGCAGCACTCGACCGAGGCGCTGGTCACCCCGTTCCCGACGTACGAGCCCACACGCGAGGAGGCGGCGGAGTGGGCGCGGCGGGGGGCGCGGGCGGCGGAGAAGGCGAGGAGAAAAGAGTTGAGGGAGTTGATTCGGCAGAGGAGGGGCATGCAGCCTGAGAGACGGCGGCAGAAGAGGCAAGTACAGTTTAAAGGGGGGAAGGGGCAGCAGAAGAAGATGATGGCTAACTTGGCGGCTGAGCTTAGGGCACTGCATGCGAGCGGACCCCGCGGGGAGGCGGAGGTGTTGGCGAGCTTTATCCATAAGCGGTGGCCGAATCGGGAGAGGATGGGGGAGGGGGGGAGAGGGGAGGGGGAGGTTTTTGCGGCTTTTTTGAGGAAGGCGTTTAAGTCGTGGGGGAAGGGGAGGAAGGAGGCGGACGTGCCTTTTAGGGCTGACCCTATCCGTGGTGGTGCGGAGAGGGTTCCTGAACTCGAGGAGAAGCTGAAGGCGGTCAGGTATGAGGACACGATGGCTGGACGGGCGCCGAAATTGGTGGAGAGGATCACGCCTGATCCGCCGCCTTTGCCGATGGGGTTGCCGGTGGAGAGGAGTGAGCCAGAGAGGGGAATGAATGGGCAGACGTGGCAGACAGGCGAGGAGAGGTCGAGCGAGAGAGCTATGTCACTCTCCCTTGAGGAGTTCAATGCGAAGGCGCTGGAGGTGCACAATGCCCACCAACGCAGAAAGGAAGAGGAAAGGAGGGCGGCGGCAAGTGGCAGCTCGACTCTCCCACCAGGGCTTAGGAAGTCGAATGAGTCGGCCGCTATCACGATAGTCCTGGCCCAACAGCCCGAAATTCAGCCTACCAGGCCAGCACGCTCAACGCGACCCGGAACCCCAGGAACTACCTCCTTCGGCCCACAGCCTCCCTCGTTCTCGTCACCAAGAACGCCTAAGACAACCGCGGATGGAATCCACCGTGGTGTTACTAGCCCACTGCAGTTTCAAGGGCCGCCAAGGAGACTCTCACCAAGACCGCCTCCTCCGCCTCCGATTACGATTCCCCAGGCGCCAACGAGACAGGCCCCGGGAAGACCTGCCCCAGTAAGACCCGAGCGAAGTCCTGTAGATTTAGCCCGCAATGCTGCGATGAGAAATCCCGTGGAGGTCAGGCCGTTCCCGCAGAGCCTTCGAGCTGGGAGAGCACAAGAGACGAAGCAAGAGAAAAAGAGCCCATCGGGTTTGCTGAGTAGGTGGCAGCAGAAGCTGGTTGGGCTGCCTTTGAAGGGGCTCTTTGAGTCTCCAAGGACCACCAAGCAAGAGAGTGAACAACAAGTACAAACACCGGCACCGGAAAGGGGAACAGAGCACGACACAAAATATAACGATGTCATTAACGCAGCACTGGGTGCGCCGAAAGAGAAGGATGACGAGGAGGATAGAAAGAGTAAGCTGAAAGCGATGATCTCCTCACCAGGACCCCTTATGTCCACGAACCGAAACGCCGTCAACGTTTCGGCGGCAAGTGGAGGGGTCGGGGGACTTCATGCGGCGCTCTCCCTACCTTTCAGAAGCAATTCTAGACGCGCGGTAGAAAAGGCACTACCACCACCACCACCAGCTCGGACAGAGTCGAGGGAGAAAGCAGGGAAGGAGAAGAAACTCAAGATCCCAGCCCCAGAGACTGTGCACCCACCTAAGATACTGAGTGCGAAGCACCAGAGACTCAGCAGCGGGACCACGTTCTCAGACTTCCTGCACCCAGAGCTCGGCAAGTCTGTATTCAGTCGCACCCCGAAGACTCCCAAGATTCCTAGGAAGCCTGTACAACAAAGAAAGGGCTCCGACGAAAGCTTTGCCTGCCAAGGCATTGGAGAGGAAAGAGAGGGGGAGGCGCCGTCCAGTCCAACGAGTACCTATCGCTCAGGACTTCCACCCAGCGTGTACGGGCCAGGTACGTTGATTCCAGAAGTGCAAACAGCACGTATAGATTCTGATATGAGTTTCTCTTGCAAAGGTCCATACGATGACGACCATCGGGATCTTCACGAACCACCGACACCGATAACCCGTCACGGTGTTGGTCCTAGCAATCCAGCAGGTGGGTTTAGTGGCAGACATCGTGCAAGCAATGCACGTGCTCCGACTTTCCCGGGATATGGACAGCACGTTGCCGAAGCGCGTGCGCCGCCTTCCCGAGGACCAGGAGTGTTAGGGAGACAGCCTAGGAAAAAACTTCTCTACCAGTTTGAAGAAGATACGGACGACGAGGCTGAGTACACGCCCCACCCGCTAGTGGTTAGGAAGTCTGCTAACAATACTCCTGATAATTTGCCACCGGTGCAGGAAGAGGCGTTGGCCAGTCCGCCAGGGGTGCAGAGACCCAGGCCGCGAGATACTCGGTTCTACGAGCCGTACCGGAAGCTATTGGAGGAGTATGAACGGTAAGGAGAGGGGTATTCGCGACTAACTTTAGACCTTTCTTTCTCGTAGATGTGGTGTCGGGATCGGTAGATCGAAGTATTTGTAAATATGAAATTCTAATAATATTCGACCTACGTTTCCATCATGATCGAGCTGCCAGAAAGGAGCAAAGATGACTTGGTAACCAGGTAGCGAGATGGCACAGCTGCAGCCCAGGCGGGCTGAGCATGCAGAGCAATATAAACAAGAGCAAGGGAGTTTCTTCGCTTAGGCTGCCGGACAGGAAACCTGGACAGGATGCCCGGAATAGTCTAAAAATGTTTCGAAACATTTCGGAGGGAAACGTGGGGCGGGTGTACATACAGCATCCTGACACGAGTTTGCCTTGCAAGAGAGGCAGTCTGAGAAGGATTGAGGCTCATGACCCGGGAGACGCAGTAGACGCAAGAGGAAGGGGAAGGTGGTCAGCAAGATAGAACGGAAGGTGAGTTCCCGCTGTCCCTGCGGATGGGGCGAAGATGCGGCTGCAGCTCTGCGGGACGGGCCAGTGCGTGCGGCGTGGTTGGTGGTGTGGACCAGGTGAGGCAGAGGTAGTATCAGTGTTCAACGATGACGGAGTGGTGGGTTGATCGAGGCTTAGAGGGCAGCAAATCTGGGGTGAAGCACGGCACAGCGACGGTATGTCGGGTGAGGGTGGTCGGAGGCGTTATTTTTAGGTTTGGGTGCATGAAACGGCAGGAAACGAATGCGCCCGGAAGCGGGATGGGGCGAGGTTAATTGGGACCTTGCCAGCAATATATGCTGGTTAATAGCACAAATGCGACGTTTTGATATGAATGGAGGCAAATTATGCTGGCAGAGAGGCGGGACACGGTCAGTAGAGGGGATCAGCGAATGGCCAGGATAATCGCATTGTGTTACATCTATACCTTGTTGAGCCGGCACGTGCTCGGTTAAATTGATTACTAACTGCACCTTAACCGCAGGCGAGTGTCTCGTGATCCTCGACTTACCCCTGAGAGATCGATTAGTGCTGTATTGCTCGGTAACGTTCACATGTCTTACTACACTCCAAAATGTCGCTGGTTCCGTCTAATCTGTACGTGTTTCTTGTTCGGCTCATGCCCCGCGATGGAGGCTGCACGATATCCGTTGCCGTGGAACAGCGATAAGCTGGTGGCGGAGGTCAGGCTGGCCGCCGTGCTGTCAGAGGCACCGTGGGCTGCAATATGTACTCCCATGCCTCTTGACCGCCTTCTGGTCTACGTGGACGCCGCGCAGTCGTTCGAACGACGTGGAGGCCATGGAGATGGCCTGAGCGATGAAAGAGATGGAGATGGGAGCCAGGCGGGAGTTGTCGAGCGTGACCCACCAAGCGCTTGCAGCCGCTCCCAAGCTTCGCCCAAGGGCCCTCAGGCGTGCCCAGCGCGTCGTCGTCTCCGCTGGAGCCCTGGCCCGAGAGCGGCTGCAGGGACTCATGGCGGATGATTGGGCCACACGGGCGCAATTGAAACTCGCCCGCCAGGCCCAGCTGCAGGCCTCGACCAACCACAGGCACAAACGGCACTGTGGCACGCAGTGTGACTGCCACGCCAAAGTCGCAGCGCGAAGAGGCCCGTCGTGATTGGGATGCAGCCCGCTGCCACGACTCCCACCGGCCACTCCATGCGACGACGATGCCGAATCCTGCGGGCCTTGCGCTCTCCAGCCGAGTCCGCCCACGCTTTTCTCTCGCCCTCATGCTCCCCAGTGCTTCGTCCCCAGCGCCCGCTGCGAGAATCGCGAGAGCCCGCATGACCGTCCTCATCAACGACCCTTGACCGTCCGTCAGCGCTGCTTGGCCTCTTCTCTCGACATTGATATCTCTGCGGGCCAGAAGCGCCGCTGAGTCCGTCTCTGTTGCATCCCAATTCCCCGTTGCGCCGCCGTCTTTGCAGCTGCTGCATCTTTCCCGGGCGTCTATTCCTGGAGATCCCCTCTCCCGCCGGCTTCGTCGCCACGCCCTATCAGCACGCGCCGAGCCCTGTGCAGCAGGTAGAGTTGGCGCCATCGATTCTCCATTCGAGAGCTGTGAGTACCCGCCCGCCTTTCTTCCGACCCATCTGCGTCCGTGCCCCATATTCCCACCACTGCCTCGAAGCGCCCGCCTAGACAAAAGCCCAGCGGCTCGCTGTCGTTTTCTTGCTTCCCTTTCCTCTTCAGCAGGCCTCTCAAATCCACTTGTAATTCCGTGTGTTCTTCTTATACTTTCCGCTTCACAGTTGTTCGCGACTTGTATAGCTGGCCTGGACCAAGTTGCTACTCCCGCGAAGTCACTATCACCACCACTCTTGTACACTCTGCCCGTTCATGACTGTCTCACGTTTTGTCTTCCAACAAGCTCTATCACTCTGAAAGATGTCCTCCAACAAGAAGAACCTCACAGTCTCCATCATCAAGCAAGAACGAAGCAACTCATCCGATTCTGACAACCGCTCTCTTAAGACTCCAAGGACTGCCCGCTTCGCCGAAGCCACCACTGTCCACTCGCCCGTTGACGGCAGAGGTCCCTTTGCAGACCCGCCAACGAACCACTACAAGCCCCAAGCACAACCCTCAGACGTAGGCTTCGGCTACGTGCAAGGCGTCGAGATGGAGGAAACTGATCGGAAATACCTCCCTCCACCCACACCAATGTCACCCCTCAAGAGCGCCATGAAGTCCCCGGGCACCGCTCCTCGGTTTGGCGAAGGCATTCTCAGCCCAACTTTCCGGGAGGAACAAATACTTGAGAAGCACGAGGCTTCAACTGAGAAGGAGCAAGCAGCAGACCTGGTAAGCTTTGATCATTCGACCTGATGTGTCTTCAGCAGGCTAACGGACGAACAGAAAGTCAAAGTCCGTGTAAGGATAGCAAAGATCTTCCTCCGCGGTATCAACTTCGCCTGCAGTCTCATCGTCCTTTCCATGCTTGCTTCCGTCTTCTCCATCTTCAACTCGACAAAATCGCTCCCGCCACGGAACAACCTCCCTCCATGGGCTCAGGGTACCAAGACCTGGCCACAGATTGTCGTTCTCGTCATTGCCTGTATCTCGCTGTTCATGTCCATCGTTGTTCTGGTAGCCTACTCAAGAGGAGGCCACAAGCGCGCCGAAAAAGTCGCAGCTTACTATACCGTCTTCACCGTCACGTTCTTCATTTTCAGCATCGTTATGTGGGCTATTGGCGCTGGCATTCTCAACCAGAGCAAATCTCAAGGCCAAGGGAAGGACATGTGGGGATGGTCGTGTAAAGACAACAAACGGAAACAGCTCTTCCAAGGAGACGTTTCCTACGACCTCATCTGCCGTCTTCAGGTAAGATAGCCTCCCTCGTCGACTCAGGATCAACGCTAACATCTTGCAGAACTGGTCGTTGGTCTGCTGCATCATCGAGGTCGTCGTAGAGACCCTGTGTATCATCATCTACGGCATCGTCTTCTACCGATTTTGGTCGAAGCGCAAGCTACGAAAGTCCATGGCCGTCCGTGACCGCGCCCGATCCGACCTCTACCTTGCTCAACTGCGCTCGCAATCCGCACCGAATACGCCCGGCTTCGGTCCCATGTCCCCTCGCTCCGGCGGATGGCGTCCACCTCCAGGCCATTCCCTGTACGTGGATCCGCACAGTGTCGCTGAGGAGGGCCAAAGCGACAGCGTTCAGTTCCCTCGCGGCTTCGCCCAGCCAAAGCCCTTCGCTCTGCAACCACCTCCGATCAAAATCCAGGGTGCAACGCCCAAGGTTGCGCAGAACGGCTTCGACGCACCCGACCGCTCAGCATCAACGTCGCCACCACCACTCAGCCCCGGCTTCGAGCGCCGCCTCGACCACGTGCCAGCCGCGCCTGGCGAGCAGCAATATGCCTCCGTGCCCATCCCTGGCGCGTACGCCAGCCCGCTCGCAAGTCCAGCACCAGTACACGTGCAACCCATGGGCTTCGACTTTGGCCCCAACGTGAATGGGCCAAAGTAGATTCCTGACTGCTCACGTTGCTTTCAAACCATCGGCTGCATGGGGCGTTCTTGTGCTTTTTAGCGGGCTTTCGTCGGTGTCAAACGGTGTCCTTTCGGTTGTCAATTAGACGCCCACTGTGTATATGAACTGGTGATCTTTTACTCAAATCTCTTTTCTTTACTGTCCTTCACTTTTCCTTTTTCTACTGGTGGAACGGGAATTTCCTTTTGTATAGGCTGGGCTTATGAAAGCGAGGGGGGTGTTTTTTTGATACCTGAGGTGGGGATTCGGAGCTGGGCTGTCCACGCTCGCTTTGCATTCGGGAATCGAGAATGTCCAACCAGACGAACACATTTCTATTATATGGAGATGTGCGGACTATGTAATTCGCAGATGGACAACGAAGAATGTCACAAACCAAAATACCAGAAAGATTTCAAAAAATTCATTCATTGCTCTGCTCTCGTGATTTCGTGCCGTGCCTACTCCCCACTATTGTCTTCGACTTTCTACTCACTCTGCACATTTCCCCGCCGCAATCGCATAAACCCCCTCTCTCCCGCTCACATCTCGCTTCCCCAATCACCAACTCCAACACTATGCGCATCGCCACACGGCATCGCGAAGCGCCCGCTTGGCGCCCGTGTGCCACGCCACCGACGACGGCTTCTGCGACCCGCGTCACAGCGGCGTGATGAACTGCTGAGCTGGGCGGCTCGCCGAACACACTCCCCTTACTTTCTCATCTGGCACTATCTCTTGTACATACGCGCCGATTTGATGCCCCAATCGGGGACGGCACCTTTATCTCGGCGGATGTGGAGATTTCGCAGGAGATGTGAGACTAGTGTGTGATAGTCAGACGCAGATGCAGGCGTGAGGCGAGGGAGAGAGAGAGCGGTGTTTCGAGAGCGGTATGAGGGGGGGGGGAGAATATGAGGGAGGTATGAGGGAGGCGCGGCGAAGGAGGTGTGGATGGAAGGGTGGGTGAAGGGCGCAAATAAGCTGGATTAGGGACGTGACTTGAACTATATTTCCTGGGCTTCTTGATGGCGGACTGGCGCCCGTTTGTGCTTCTTGATGTATAGCAGTTATCGATGTATGGCAATTGTCGCCGATATTCCGTGGTCTGGTCTGGAGTATCATGGATCATAGATCTGAGAAGTGATGTGGAATTAGGTTGTGGGAGGATGTCTTTTAATTTGAACTTAAACGACCGGACTAGCTCCCGTTTATGCTTCTCTTTGTATGGCAGTCCTGGCCTGTGTCTTGGAGTCTGATTTAAAGTGTCCTGGAGTTTAGATCGTGAACTTGATGCTGAATTAGGTCGTTAGAGGATGTCGTTTGACCTGTGCTTAAGATACCGGACTGGCTCCTGTTCATACATCTCAACCTTAACATATCCTATTCCACTGGCCTGGTTTGGAGTGTCAAGCAATAACATGCCAAAAAGGAGTGTGAATCGCACGGACTGGCTCCCATTTATACACATAGACACACTGTAATTTAGCCTTTTCCAATGGTTCTATTTGGCGTGTCCGGGCTTTACGTTAAGAAAGCAGTCTAATTTAGAGTGCCCTATCTCCCATATCGTAAAAGAGACTCGAAATCGCACTGACTGGATTCAGTGCATACATCTCAATACCTCATGTTATCCCATCTTATCAGGGTCTTGGATCGAGTGTCATAAACCTTACATCCAAATATTGCCTGATATGGACATTGAAGGAAAAAGTGTTGAGTCTAGAGGAAGTAACTTCGCGTCATTTATAGACCTGTAAGCAACCACCCTAGGTGGGTAGATCTCCCCATCTAGAAGCTCAAATAAAAGCAACGAGAATAGAGGGAGTGAGTTCGCGCCATCAAAATGCCTTGCTCAAATTGGTAGTAGACTGGGTGATTGCTGATCTATTCCTTGGTCTGAGGTGGCATTAGTTTGGGAGGTTTATTTTGGTTCATCGGCATTGATTCGTTGGATTTGGACGTAAGAATTTAACTCTGTAGTAAGTTGATATTTCTAAGGGATATTCTATCTGATAAGGAGTCGTGCGTCTACGCTTCAGAGCATTCGGAGAATATTACTATCGATTCGTATTGGTATATTCTATAAATTTGATTCAAAAAGGAGTGAGGACGCTCAGAGAATGAAGAACTTAGAGAAGATTGTGAGCGCATATGGAAATGAATTTGGAGCGAATGTACTCCAGGACCTACCTCGAGACATAGAAGAGGATCATGTACGGCTACGCAAACTCAAACGTCACACTCACAGAGTACGCGGCTTGGCCAGTGCAGGACACCTCGACCGTCCGCAAGTACCCAGCATAGAACAAGATCACCAATGGTTGAGCGATCATCACCCTTTGTGAAGTCTCCATTGTATTTGTGATCAACACTTGCTCCCGAAAGAGCAAGACTCGGTTCTTTGATAGGCCTCAATTCCTGATTTTTGTATCGAAGTTACATGGAGACGCCGTGAGTGAACAATCGAGCCAGCACTGAAAGTCGGGTATGCATGCCCTGATGCCGAAATAGACCCTCCGGAAACCTCCCCCCATCTATCGCACGATGCCCTCGAATCGGTTCTTGTACCACTTGATGGTTTCGGCCTGGTTGATGCGGTGAGCGGCACCGATCTTGGAGGTAGCACGCCTACGCTTAGCAACGCGGGCACCGGGGCGGGTCATGCAGCAGTAGAAGTCCATTCCGTAAATTCCAATGGAGGGGTCGTATTTGATGCCCAAGTCGATATGTTCCGAGATACCGAATCCGAAGTTGCCGGAGGAGCTGAAGTTTTTCTTGCGGAGTTCGTATTCTGCGCAGTTTAGCGATTGTGATGTTCAGAGACAGAGGCCAACGCACCCTTGACCTTGAGGCCACGCTCGAGAATCTCCTCAGCCTTTGGTCCTCGGACGGTGACGTGGACGGCTGGACTAAATGTCAGTCAATCGCTTGGTATTCTGAGCGCAAGGCAACGCACCGATCTTCTCGTTACGACGGATACCGAAGGTTCGGACGGTGTATCGCGCCTTGGAGTAGACAGGAGTTTGACCGGAAAGCTGTTCCAAGACCTTTGCGGCCCTAGTCAAGCGATCACCGGACTGTTCGAGTCAGCTGTTTTGTCATATATCTCCCAGTGTTTCGGATATCATACCTCTCCCACCGAGATATTCAGAACCAGCTTGCTGATTCGGAGCTAAACTTCTTGTCAGCCCAGTTCCATTTGCGTCCTTGTCTAAGAGTGGTATCTCTGGTTTCGAGGTGTAGTGATGTTGACGATGTCCTTGCGCAAGCGTTTAAAGGGTTCGAATGGGTGTGAAGGATTGGCATCACTGGAGAGCGGATTCGGAATTGGGGTATGTACCTCTCGCATGGGCTAGATGGTGAGATGATTAGCTTGGGGGACTCGAGTTTGTTGGTAATGGGCATCTTACATTCGCTGCAATAGTTAGCCAATGCTCATATCATCGAAAGAATTTCTTGGGCGAGACATACCTGACTTGTCCTTTCCTGATTCGGCCATCTTGAAGATTGTCACTGCAGTAATCGGTCAGAATATGATACACGAGATGGCAGGCTGCAGTGGTGCGTACCGGTGGTGTCGTGGCGGGGCCTGGAGTTAGTATTCGTGAAGTGGAGGTCTCTCACGAGTTTGGAGTGAGGTCGTGGCCGCCTGCGCGAGAGTGCGCGCTAGTAAGCGAATTATCTTGGCGCGACCGACCGCAAAGCTTCTTGAACTTCAAGCTCCCACCACAACATCACCCCGCCAGTGACCAGTGCTTTCCACTGCGCACTCGACTCTCCCTCCGCTGTACCACCGGAACCCCAATTTCGAAGGAGAGCAAGTCGTGTTCTCACGCACACGCATCGTCATGGCCGCTGCAAATAGGCAGGGCAAGATCGTAAGTACTCGCAAGTCCCACTCTACTTCATTCGCAGCCCTGAGAGATGCCCGACTATAGTACCAGCTAACCCATAAACCTACAGCAAAATCTAGTAAGCCTCCCGCTCAACAGAACCCACACAAGATTCTGACAATTCTAGCTCAACTACAAAATGCGAGCCACCTTGACCGACGGAAGGCAGATGACGGGACAGATGCTGGCCTTCGATAAGGTGAGGGCATTCATGGGATACATATTCCTGGCGCAAAGTTGCTGACGTTCTCACAGCATATGAACCTCGTTCTTGCCGATACCGAAGAATTTCGTCGGATGAAGAAGAAGGCCGCAAAAGGCTCCACAGCACCTGGCAGTTCTACTGCCGCCGCAGTCGAGACCGAAGAGAAGCGGACTCTGGGACTGACCATACTCCGCGGCACCCACATCGTCTCGCTTTCCGTAGAGGGTCCCCCACCCCATGATCCTTCCGCAAGACTGGGCGGACCGGCGACTGGAGGAGCGTCCGCGACTCTACAGCCCGGTGCAGGCATCAGCAAACCCGCGGGAAGGGGCTTACCGATTGGTCTTACTGGACCTACTCCTGGAGTTGGAGGACCAGGACCAGGTTTCGGAGGACCCCCCGGATTTGGACCAGGAGGGTATGGAGGGCCTCCTGTAGGTTTCCCTGGCCGAGGAGGACCTCCCGGACCCCGTAAGTCCAATAGCACCTGTTTTCACTGAATCTACTATACTAACAATACGATAGCCAGCGGCTTTCCCCCAGCAAGCTTCGGAGCACCTCCAGGCGGACCCCGTAAGTCAAAGAGCACCTATTCCCACTGCATCAAAAATTCTAATAGCATGACCACAGCCGGATTCGGAGGAGCACCAGGCTTCCAGCCTCCCGGTGGGCGCGGTTACCCACCCCAGGGATTTGGTGGCAGGTAAACGGAGATCCATGGTAAGTAAGTTAGTCGAGAATCTTAAAGAAAAGACGGAATGGTATTAAAATCAACGAGACAATCTGGCAGGGGCCACCCGAAGGTATGCTCACAAAAGGCATTTGTTGGGCTTGGGAAGCCGCACACCTGGTAGAGTGGTAGAAGGGTTGGTTGGAACGAGACGAGGCGTTGGCCGGCTTGGTCACCTTTTAGCAGTTGAATCTGCCTGCGCTCGAAGAGAGCGACCAGAAGTCGTGCGGTGCTATCGGAGAATGATACCATGCATGGGACAGGAATAATGCAATCCAACAAAACTTCATCTACATTCCCTCATCGTGCATCTATGCCATGGCCTCTGGTCCTTTATTGCGCTGATCGGTATCCGACGGAACAGATAACTCAGGTGTTCTGCCCAGGCTTCGTTGAATATAAAATGGTAGTCTATTCTGACTCCGTCTGAGGTGGGTGGCCCGACGAGCTATCCGGCGTCTCCGAGTTGTCGTTTTTCCATTCACAAGAATATACCGGGGGACCTCAAGCGGTGCCAGAAACGGGCACATAACTCCATACGGGGCCATACGGGGGTGTATCTAAAGTATCTGAAGGCTAGAGTATGATCCCAGATTCGTAGACCGTTACTTTTTGTTCAAGGCCTTTACTGATTGTTCAAGATAATAAGATGAATTCTGGAAAGTTTTTTGAGACCCTCATGACAGTGACAAGCCAGAACACACTCACATATCTTCAATGAGGCATTGTGTAAAATCGGGGAGACTCTAATTGGCCCGTAAAGTTCAAAGTAAGCGCACGTGACGCAACGTCCGAACCCGCAAGTTCGGGAACCGGACCTCAACACCAAAGAAAGTCGGCGCAAGCTATCCAACAACCCCAACCTTCACCACCCCACGCTCCACCCCCAATCCCTCAACATGGCGGCCGCAGTGAAAGCCCTCAATGCGAAGATACGGTCGAACAAATACCTCGACTACTTCTGCTCGACCCGTAGGTTACCCTCCACACGCCTCCGTGCCGGCTTCGGAGCTTGTCGCTAGTAACGCCGGAGAATACATTTCCGAGCTCACAGCAGGCTGAGCTGATCGCAATGGTGTCTATACAGATTTCTGGGGCCCGGCGAGTAACTTTGGCATACCGATTGCCGCTGTAGCGGACATGCGAAAGGATCCTGAGATGTGGGTATCTTCTCCGTCTTGATGACTCTGAACCTGCGACCTGCACAACGACGACATGCGCCGCCTGCCCGAAACATACCTTCCCATACGCAATATATCTCCTCATATGCACGACCGGAGTCAAACTGCTGTCTTCCGGCCTCCCACCATCACAAGCTCCGCCGACCTCGCTCACTCGCAAGTCCTCAAGAAAGGAGCATTGGCTGACAAAACGCGATTCGAATAGCATCTCTGGCCGCATGACCCTCGCCCTTTCTTCCTACAGCGCCGTCTTCATGCGCTACGCCCTAGCTGTAAAACCGGCAAACTACCTGCTATTCGGCTGCCACTTCATCAACTGCGCGTCTCAGCTTACACAAGGATATCGGTACCTACAATACTGGAAGTACGTTTACCGCTATCTTCTCCCCGAGATAGGGCCTCCTACAAACCTCCCTCTTCATTGTTGTGGAGGTGGCACAAGCGGGCGAAGACTACTATGCTGGAAAGTCGTTTTGATCCAGTCAATTGCTAACATCCACCTCCCAGCTTCGGCGGCCGAGAAAAGACCCTAGCCCTGAAGGCGAAGAGGAGTGAGGCGGAATCCAAAGTGACGGACCTCGCGACACAGGCGAAGGATACCGTGCAGAAGGCTATCGGAAAGTGATAAATCAGGTTTGGGACGATGGAGAGTTGCTGCGGTGCAAGCGGATAATACACGGGGTTTCTTCAATTGCAGTTCCAGCTTTCTTCCTTCCAGTGCTGAGCGGCTTTCTGGGTTTTCTGCTGCCTGTAATAAGTAGTTTCGAGTCATCGCTGTGGTTGGAAACGTATTCAACTGGCCTTTGGGTCACCTTTTCGACTTGGGAGTACTCATATCAGCTTCCAGTGCCTTGGCGTAACAGTGTCCCAGGGCTAAGCCCATGTCTATCAGAGTCACAGTAGATCTCAAGCCACGTCGCATATGACACTTTTATGTGAAGGAAAAAGGGTTCTTGCTCGTTCTAACCATCTGTTATAGCTCCGTGAACATAGCTCCCTGACATACGGTGTGATGTCCAAAACACCAATGCTATACGCAACGCCATCACTCTTGTCCCTTGAACCCATTGATATCATGAAACCCGAAACCCCGCCTCTTCAGCCCCTCAAAAGTCATCATCATCCATATTCTCATCCTCATCCCCAGCCTCGATGAACACCAACCTCGTGCCCTCTGCAGCCGTTTGCCATACCTGTTCCGTAAAATTAGCAAGTGTATTCGATGACCGAATAGGAAGGGTAAACTCACATCCAGCAAAGCATACTCATCGATAGCTTGCTCAAACTGATCATCCGTAAAGCCCTTCGCTAGCACCCTCTCCCTGACTCTCCTGAGATCCAGCTCTCCGCGGCTTCCATCGCCCACCGCCGCAGCTCCACTCGCCGCCATGCCGCGGATGAGATGGTAGATCTTGCTGCTCGGCGTATGGTCGTCGCGGTTCCTGTCATCCGCGTACAAACTCGCCTTGCTGACTTCCGTCAACCTAAGCGCTTCGTCGACATCCTCGGTGATGACAGTCTCGGCGAAGCGCAGGCGAGCGAGTGCTTGGGACAAACGTAGCACACCGAGCAAAGTACGCGGTGAGGTATGCGTGAACTGCTTCTTGGAGCCCTCGTCTCGCTTCTGCTGTTGCCTCATGCGCACATATGCGCCTACCATGTAGTCTGAGACTTCCTGGGGCACGGTAGGACGGAAAGAACGGGCGCGAGCAACCCACTGGCGGACTTCGGCGGGAGAGAAGATGACACCGCCGGCGGGTTCGGGATGCTTGTTGTTCATGTGCACGTAGGTGACGTGGCGGGCGAGCTCCTCGTCGGAGTCACGGGAAGGCGTGTCCAGAATTAGGAAAAGGACGTCGAAACGGGAGAGTAGGGCGGCGGGAAGATTGATGTTCTCCACGGGAGAGATGCGCGGGTTGTAGCGGCCATACAGAGGATTGGCAGCAGCGAGTATGGATGTGCGAGCATTGAGAGTTGTGGTAATACCGGCTTTGCTGATAGAGATGGTTTGCTGTTCCATCACTTCGTGGATGGCTGTTCGGTCGCTATCGTCCATTTTGTCGAACTCGTCGATACAGCACATGCCGTTGTCTGCTAGGACTAGAGCACCGCCCTCCAGCACCATCTCATCCGTGACTGGATCACGCATGACTGCGGCCGTAAGACCAACACCACTGCTACCACGACCTGTGGTGTAGACGCCACGCGGAGCAACTTTAGTGATGTACTTCAGTAGCTGCGATTTAGCCACACCAGGATCTCCCATCAAGCAGATGTTGATGTCACCACGGATGCGCATACCATCGCCCATTTCCTTGGTCACACCACCGATAAGCTGGAGAAGGAGCGCCTTCTTGACATCGACATGTCCGAAAATTTCAGGGGCAATCGACCGAGAGAGATATTCGTAAAGCTGTCCTGATCGTTCGAGCTCGTTCATTCTCCGGAGCGTGGGCTGTGCCAGTACGATATCGTCGTACGCCTTCTTATGTTGATTTACGTACTGAGCCTCCAGATATGTGTCCGTGAGCAGACCTGCTCGGATTGCCTTGAATCCAGTATAAGGTGTTGGCAGGAAGATACCAGCTACATCGACAACATCACCCGGGTTAATCTGTCTGACCAGCGCTCCGTGGCAGTGTATCGTAAGCATCCTAGGAATGTGGCCGACCGGGACCTGATCAGCCATTTCTTGGATCTTGACCTCCTGGAATGGCAGAAACTTGGACGCCCGCGTTGAGAGGAAGAGGGATCCCTTCGTGTTGTTCCTCTTGCAGTCCTCTGACGGGCATTCTACCATGGGGGTAAACTGCTTCGTCGTGACTGGCTGGAAGATTTCACTTCCACACCGATCGCAGGAATAGGCATTGACTTGCACAGAGGGCTTTACGTCGGATACGCGGGTCGCGATTCCTCGTACAGTGATTAGATGACCCAGATGATCTCCTCGAACGTTCCGAACAGCCAGTGCTTTGGAAGAACGGTCGCTGCTTGAGCCAGAGGGCATCCTGGGCTTGAAATTGAGAGTGTAGCGGCGAGTGAGTGCTGGAGGGAAGATTGAGTCGGGCACAATTTGAGCGCCATCATCCTGTGGCTGTGACTCTCGCATGTGCTCATTTCGCTTCGATCGTTGGCTCATTATGATGTCTAGAACATCGTCCTTGAAGCTGCTTGTTTGTCAATCATCTGTTGCACATTGTCTTCAAGTGTGATAACTGACGTCGGATCTCTTGCCGGTTCTGGCATAACCTTGTCCACCGCTCTCGCAAAGACTTCGATGTAGTGATTTGCGTTTTGCTCTATTGAAGAAACCAGCTTGAGTTCTCCCTCATGCCCTTTTTCGTACTGTTTGTTGCGCAATCAGCTTTTACGCCTTCAAAACACCCACGTAGAGTATACGCACAGTGTCCAGGTCATCCAGATCTATCTGAATTTCCGATCTCACACGGTCTGCGACGTCTTGCAACATCTGGACGTATTTTTGCTTGGGATTGCGATCGCGGGCCTGTCTCCGTGCCCTCTCTGCGCCATCGTCGTCTTCGTCCATGAAGTCGTACTCGTCGCTGAGGCCATCGTCGCCAATGTTCAGGCCCTCAAGCTGATCGGCAGCCTCTACAGTGGTCGATTTAAACGTCTTCAGGAAGTCCTCGAATGCGGCTGTGGTGGAATTGCGATTAGCAGAGTTCTGTATAACTAACGCGCATCCCCTAGCCGAACTCACTCTGCTGCTCTCCATAGTGGACGAGAGTTGGGTAGGTATAAAGCGCCATTGCGCGTCCTGTATAGAACCGCGTACGGGAAGCGACAGTGGTTCTGCGAGAACGGGTGAAATGACTGAGGTAGAGGGAGAATTGGAGTCCAGTCCGGGGGCTGGAAAGAGAAGAGACGCGATTCAACGCGCTTGGACGCTTCAGTTTCGCGCCGCCCCGCCACCGCCTTGCCGTCTCCCCTGCTTCGGCCTGCGAATCAGCGCCGGCCTGCTCGTGAGCTGCTTCACACTGGAGACCTCGGCAGTCCCTCGATGCAAGCAATATCTGTCTTCGCGCCCCAGCTCTTAATTCTTCAACACCATGGCTCCTGCGGTGAAGAGGCCGGGTGGCCAGGCTGTGCAGGCTGAGGTTGCTCTCATTCAGTCTCTGAAGCATTGTCTTGTCAATCTCCCTGGTTCTCTTGTCTCGGTTTTGGTGAACGCGAACACTGTAGGTCTACTGCCTTCACGTGAGGAATGGGACTGAACGCGTGCTGACTTCAGCTATATAGATCGCGCAGAATGTTGTCGTTGAGCTCAATTATCGCCAACCTCCCCCTCCCGGTGCAGACGCAAAGGGTACCTCTCCAGTTCAAAAGTCGGTCTTTGCAGGATGGACAGGCATGCAGAGCAAGCGCAAACTTGCGTCGGTCGTGGGTAGGGATGGCCTGAGTGGTAGCAGAGGAAGTGCTGTAAACAGGGACCAAGATGTGGCAGTTGTGGAAGTAGATGCAACATATGGACGGCTATTAGGACTTGTCGAGAGCCAAAAGGTTGGCATTTTGCTCCATGTAGACCCTCCCCAGGCGCATACTATCAACATTGAGCCTTTGACTCCTGTAGATTGGGAAAGTATGTTCCCCGTAATGCTCTTCCATAAGACTACCTACTGACTACTCCAACTCAGTGATTGAACTACATGCCCAATTCCTCGAGCTCAACTTCCTCGCCCAAATACGTGCGCTGCCAAACCCGGCATATACTCCTCCATCAGAAAGCCAACGCCAACCTCCACATCCATTGGCGCTTCATCTATCACCTACGACCACTGCCAATATAATCGTCACCTCTGTGAGCCCAGCGCCTCCTCCTACATCAGCCTTTGTCAAGATATCTCCCGACGCCGAGGTCATAGTAGCACCTAAGACGCGACAGAAGTCAGAGCGAAGTTCTGGTCGAGAAAGCAGGAGTGTCGGGGGAACAAGTCGCAGAAGTGCGGGTGGGAAGAGCTCTGCGAGTACTGTCCGACGACGCAGTGGGAGAGACGAAGCTTCCAGCAAAGGTGCCCTGTTTCTACGCGGAGTGGACAGAGAAATTGCAGGAGAGTGGTTCGATGAGGAAGAGGATGAGAAGAATGAGGGCCTCAAGGTCTGGGTGGATCGGGACATGCTTCTAACAAGGGAATTAAGAGGCGTGACATGGGTTCTTGTTTCTGTTGTGAAGCCAGCCGGTCTACAGGAGCCTGTAGACGTGCAAAAAGAGCAAGAAAACGAGAAGCCAACCAACAGGGTCATTGCGCGCATCCAGGTCTGGGAAGATGCCCCTGACAGTCGACACATTGCATTGTCCTCGCCTCTTTGCCAAGTGCTTTGCTCTGAGCAATTCGTGGGTGGTCTCGTACGAATAGAAGGAGCACCCACCCAAGTCGCAAAGCCGTCATCTATGGTCAAACCTCCCGGGTCCAAGGACGCTGGTGTAAAAGCCATAAAGGTGTTGCCCTTTGCATCGACAAGCTCGCAACTAGGGTCAAATCTCAAATTCGGGGGCGAATCCAAGCAGGAACGGGAAGAAGCCTCCCAAAGAATCAAGAGAATGTATGGCAAAGGCCCACATGGCGTTGGACTTCTGGATGGACCCATTACGGATGGTATGATTCTCCCCCCCCTGGATAATTCGGAAAAGGCCTGGCAGGGCGGAATTGTGAGGTTTGAGCCACCGCAACAGCAATCAGCGGACGGTACCAAATCTCCCCCGGCTTGGTTTCTAGGCTCCGAGAGGAAGTTTTCCATCGAAGTACTGCCTGAGATTATCAGACCTTCTAATGCCCTCAGGGGCTTGTCTTCTGGTGAGCCAATACCAGACTCTGCGCCGACAATGGTGGGAATTGATCCATTGATCGAACAACTCACTGGGCATCTATCCCACAACTCATCGGTCCTGTTGACTGGAGGGCTCGGGGCAGGCAAATCCGGTCTTACTCATCTGTTGGCACACAGTCTGCGATCCGAGCGTCTTTTCAACGTCACCTATTTTCCCTGCCGCAAACTCGTGATGGATGAGACACGAGTGTCGACAATCAAAGATACCCTAAATCGGCTTTTTTCATGCGCATCATGGGGTGCCCGATTAGGGGGCAGAGCTGTAGTGATCCTTGATGATCTTGACAGGCTTTGTCCAGTAGAGACTGAGCTCCAAGTGGGAGGAGAGAACGGCCGAAGCCGCCACATCAGTGAAGGCCTTTGCTCTATTGTGAAGCAGTATTGTTCGATAGACTCCGGGGTTGTTCTCCTTGCAACAGCCCAGAGTAAGGAGGCTCTGAACAACGTCATCATTGGAGGCCACGTCGTTCGGGAGATCGTCAGCCTCAAGGCACCCAACAAAGAAGGCAGAAGGCGAGTACTAGAGATGCTGGTGCATAAAGATGCAAAACCAGCAACAGACCACTCAAAACTGAACGGGTATTCAAATAACGATGACTCTATCCTCGGCAGCTCTACGTCTGGCAGTCGGCCTAGTACATCCGGTCAATACGCATCCCAGCCCGAGCCTGACGCCGACGGGTTCGTTGTCGATCCAAGCATTGACTTCCTCGACTTGGCTGGCCTGACCGACGGCTACATGCCCGGTGATCTGGTCTTACTTAATTCCCGTGCTCGCAGCGAAGCCCTTATTCGATCAGTCAGTGAAACATACTCGCACACCGACTCTCGAGGCTCGTCCTATACATCCATCGTCCTCTCCAAAGATGACTTTACCACCGCCCTAGCTGGTTTCACGCCCGCTTCTCTCCGCAATGTCACCCTTCAATCATCAACAACACGCTGGGACTCGATAGGCGGCCTTCACTCCACACGCCAGACGCTTCTCGAAACACTCCAATACCCAACCACATATGCTCCCATATTTGCCCAGTGCCCTCTTCGCTTGCGGTCCGGTTTACTTCTATACGGGTACCCTGGCTGCGGAAAGACCCTTCTTGCGTCAGCCGTTGCTGGAGAATGTGGTCTCAACTTCATCTCCGTCAAGGGACCCGAGATCCTAAACAAATACATTGGCGCGTCTGAGAAGTCTGTTCGTGACCTCTTCGAGCGCGCTGAAGCCGCACGGCCGTGTGTCTTGTTCTTCGACGAGTTTGACAGTATCGCTCCAAAGCGCGGACATGATTCCACCGGTGTCACGGACCGGGTCGTAAATCAGCTTCTCACACAGATGGACGGCGCCGAAGGCCTTTCAGGCGTCTACGTACTCGCCGCTACCAGTCGCCCTGACCTCATTGACCCGGCCTTGCTTCGACCAGGACGTTTAGACAAGAGTCTAATATGCGATTTGCCCGGTCTAGATGAGCGGATCGACATCCTCACAGCTGTGACGCGAAAGCTTCGTCTCGCGCCTTCTGTCCTTACAACCGGCCATGAAGGCGAGAACCTCCGCGAAATTGCTCAAAGGACTGAGGGCTACTCGGGTGCCGATCTCCAAGCCGTTGTTTACAACGCGCAGCTCGAGGCCATCCACGACGTTCTTGGTGACCATGTTCCTGAAATTGGCGAAGACTCCAAGGCAAAGAAAGGCGCCAATGGCACGGTAGCTAAGTCCAGCAAGTCTGACAAGAGCGCCACGCCGGATTTCGTCCACTTCCGCTTTGGTGACTCTATCGCTGCCACAGGTGACAGTGCGGTGCCATCGTCTGTAGCCCTAACTGAGCGTGCCACCATCGCGGCTAAGCTCGCGAGTCTACAGGCTATCCGGCGCAAGCAGAAGCTCGCCAATCATCAACATGGGCAGCAGGATACGGATGGGGCTGGATCTAAGGAGGAGCCCGAGAGCAAGGAGCCTGAGATCCAATGGCCGCATATCAAAAGCTCGCTTGCAAGCACACGGAGTAGTATTTCGGAGCAGGAAAGGAGACGACTGGCAGGTATCTACCGTGAGTTTGTAGTCGGGAGGAATGGGGAAATGCCCAGTGGGCAAGGGGGGAGTGAGATCGGGGGACGGTCAAGCTTGATGTAGATGTATTGTTATATCGAATGTTTCGATCCCGAATCCGCTCACCAGTTTCACATCCTTTGGTGCTACTCTGATGATACCGTCGCTTCTGTAGGTGTGGGTAGGATCTACGCGCATGACAATCGAATGTTAAGTCCTCGATGGGAAGAACGTCGAAGATCATAGCAAAGTCTACTGAAAGACATACGCCATGGTGAGTTCCATCGAAGCGAACCCTGAAATGCAAGGATTTAAAGCTATTTTCGTACGGTGAGCGCCTACAGTACGCGTCGTCAACTGTGCCGCATCACGTGAGGTACCGCAACTCATCTATGAAGGAACTGATTCTTTGCCTTTCATCTTCTTTTTCTGTCCTGAATTAACTTCTCGGAAATTGCGAGTTCATTTCCCTACCTTGCTTGTTTCTAGGCTTGATGGTCTCCCGTTCCTTTTTATTACAGACTTGCTTCATGTCCTCATTACATCCCACCACACAAACCCCAGATCAGTCCATAAACTCGACATGTACAGAATCTCACCCTTCATCGTGCTACTAGCATGCACAGCAAGCAGAGGCCACTCAGAAGTACTCCAAAACCCGCTACTAGCAGCAAATGACCACCCTTCCCATAAGACATTTTCTGCACCAATCACCGTCAGTCCGCACCTCTCCAGCTATATAAAGCATGGTCATAGATACCCGCACGCTTCTCTGCCACCGCTTATAATGCCTCGCAGTATTTTCAAAAACCCAGGGGGCCGGATCACAATTCCGATCTATGTATAATCCTCCACCACTACTTAAGGCGGCTTCACGAGTTCATCAGTTGTTCAAAAGGCGGGACATCCATCTAAACTAGGATTCTGAAAATACCACGAGCCACCATAAGCGGTGACAGAGAAGCGTGCGGGTATATGTGTCTCGTCACAGAACATAGAGATAACCGACCTCCCACCCAACCCAGAGCCTCGACAACATGCAATACTTCATCACTATGCACATCGGCAACCCCCCACAGCCCCTCCGCGCTCTTATCGACATCTCCTGGTCCAAGGCCTTCGCCTTTTCCACCGAGTGCGCCGACGAGCCCTGTCTAAACCACTCCCGCTACAGCGCCGACGCCTCAAAAACCCACAGCTGCGACGAAACTCGCACGCAGTTCATCTACACCGGCCTCCGCGCAGCCGGCCATCTGAGCAAAGACACCCTCACCATCGCGGGCGTCGAAATCAAGAACCAGTTGTTCCACGAGCTCGACCGCGTGAAAAGCGTGCCGACGACCTTCTGGCGGCGTGAGTTCGATTCGGTCCTCGGCCTGGCGCCGCCGGACGAGGCGTGGTCGTTGCTTGGGAACGGGAGCCCGTTTGCGGGTATGGTGGCGCAGGGGCTTCTTCCGAGGAATGTTGTTTCGATTGGCCTGGGGCGCACGGAGGGGGGCGTTGAGGTTCCGGGGGAGATCACGTTTGGGGGTGTTAATTTGAAGATGTTTGAGGGCGAGGTGGTTGAAGGCCCGCTGTCGAATGTTACGGACGGGGAACCGGGGAGCGATGATCCTTTTGAGGTAGGGCCGCCGCTTCTGAATGGGACGTGGCGTGTGGAAGCGCGTGGCCTGTCATGGGGGGCTGGTAAGGACGAGTCTGTGGATTTGACGGGGTTCACGGCGCGGCTGGATACTGCGGAGCCGTTTATTTGGCTTCCGGAGGCCGCGTTTGTGAAGTTGAGAGAGGTTATACGACCGGAGCAGATTTCTGACTGGCCTAATTCTGTGAACTGCGAGAAGGTGAGCGAGCTTCCGGAGTTGGTGTTTAACCTTGGGGGCCATGAGTTCGTGCTAAGCCCTTTTGATTATACGCTGGAAATGGAGTTTGAAGATCTGGGGGTCAGATGCGTGGTTGGGTGGCAGCCGTGGGTCAAGCAGGATAGGGATGAGAAGGACTTTATTGTGCTGGGTACGCCGTTTTTGAGATGATATTACACAGTTCTAGATTTTGATCAGAGAAGTGTTGGATGTGAGTACGGTTCATCGCTCAGCTTGATCGGATGCTGACTGAGATTTGTAGTGGCACACGCAAAGTATAAGGCGGGTACATGGCTGATAGATGGTATGCTACAGCAACAGGAGCTGTGAGGATGCTTTCGGGTTAGTTCTCAATCTCAAAAAGTTATACCGCATTTCCACACCTATATACACTTCCTGATGTAAGATTGAGTTTTTTATTGAAAATGCTGCAATTCCGCGAATCCCTAAAGCATAGCCTTCCAACCACCATCAGTTGGTTTCGCGAGTCCCAGGTGATCAATGACCTGCCCGAGATGATCAAATCCCCAGAAGGACTCTGTCTCTCCTTTGGAATTCGTCACTAGATAGTATTGTCAGCGTCAACGCTATCTACAACATTAATCATCAAGTGCTAGGAGCGAGTACTACCTATAAACCAGGGCAAACCAAAAGCTCCCTGAGAAAACGACTCCTCCGTCCGCTTTATCAGCGCGTCTTTCACTTCCTTACTCCCGCTCTTCTCGACGGCCTCTTTTGCCGCCGCCTCCCCAATAGCACCGCTTAGAATACGAAGGAGGTTCTCCGGTTTCTCAGGGTGGTCAAACTTGACCCAATAAGACTGGTACAGCGCCGAGATAGCGGTTGGGATGAGCTCGGGATGAGAGACAGATAGCGCCGTCAGAGTGCGTTGGATCTATTTAGTCAGCTCTGGTGTCTCATTTTTCTTGAGTAAGGACAAATGGAGATCTTTGACTTACCAGAATGGTATTGATAGGGAAGCCAGGGGGTGGGTTCTCTGATATTGGGATGTTGAACTGTCGGCACCAGCGGGATCGCTCGAGGTTTATCCATTTATCCTTGTCTAGGAGGGGGTCAGTGCGATCTCTGAGTTCAAGTGATGATTGATCTTGATGGCTTACTCTTCACGTTGATGGGCGCCGTGTTACCGCAAGACTTCATCAACCCGCCAAGGAAGATGGGGATGTAAGTGATTTCGCATTGCCGGAAGACTGGGAAGTTCTGTTCGAACCGTTACCCTGATACCTCCAAGGAGTTTTATAAGAGACAAACTAGCTTTGAGGATGAGAGTTGGAGAGTATGACATATGGAACGCGTAAGAATCTCGATGTAAAAGCAAAGTAAAAAACGACGGGAAGACAACTAATTGTAGGATTTTCGCCGAATAAGCCAATAACGACCCACTCGCATTGTATATATCCCAATCCCTCATTAAGAACATCTATACGGACGATATGCAGCAATTCCAACGAATCACACTCTCCGCTCCTATGACGCAATGAACAGGCATACCACTCACCTGCAGCGCATAAAACCCCAAGTACGCAAACGGGGACACGATATCCACATATAATGTAATCTTCGGCTTCGCCATTCTGCTATCAGTTGAGACAAACACTGTGATTAGGGATGATGAGTCGTACTGTAGCATCGGGGAAGGGGCCTCGGCTCTTTGTTAAGTTTTTTGAGGAGTCGACGAGGTTGACAGCTTACCGAGGGGAATGAACGGAACATTGATAGATCGATCTAGTTTTCACGCGGAGTGGCTTAGGCTATCCTACTAGCAGATTTCAAGCTTGATCGACATTTTGGGGCTAAGCAGGTGGTATCCTAACCACATCGCTCGTCCCAAGAGCTTATTTAGTACAACTACGTTCATTCCTCTATGCATCCAACCACTGCCGGAGCTGGCAGTTAAGCCTTCCCCTTCCCCTTCGATCGCTTCCTTCTCTCCCAGACCTGCACGTAGCTCTCCTTGGTGAATAGAGTCTCAGCTCGCTCTCTCTCAACAAACAAATCCTGCACCTCCCACCACTCCTCCCTGCTGCGGTCTCTTAGCTGCACTCGCCATACCTTACTCTCCTGCTCTCCCTCTACACTATCATCTCGCACGCGCACGGCCTCGTGGGTGATGTTGGCGACGAGATCGTACCAAACGGGTTCGCCAGGTGGGTATAATTTCGGATTGGGTTCAACGTATGGCGACATGTCGAGCGACCGAACGGGGAATGTGACGATGGTTGGATTGCGTTCTGATACGAATTTGTTGCGGCTGAAGCGTTTGATGTGGAAGAGAAGATATGGTGGGAGTGGGTGGAGGAGTCGGTAGCGCACACGGGTATTGAGACGCTCCTGGGCCCGGATACCGTCATACTTACTCAAGATACCCGTTAGAGGCACCTGAGGAATTATGTTTTTGTCCAGAGCGTCCTGGAACAGGGGAGCGGGTGGAAGGTCGAGGGTTAGTACGAGGTAGCGCGAGATTTCGGTTTGGACAGCGGCGTCCTCGAAACGGAGTCGGTCGCCAGCATCGGCGCGGGCAGTGATTTGCTGAGACTCGATCTTGAGACTGCCTTGGAAGACCTTTTGAACGATGCTAGAGTTTGGTTTCGTCTTAGAACCCCCAAGGGCTAGGTGGAGGTTGTTGAGGAACCACGAGAGGAAGTCGACAGGGTCTGATTGTTCAGTGAGGGTGTAACGTTTGGAGGATCGTAGGGCAATCTCTTGGAGGAGCTCATGCGGCGAGACGTGGGATTTGAAGGCTCGCGGATTCCAGATCTTACGGACAAGAATGCTGAAGCGCTGTGCGAGCTGCGGACGCTTGGAAAGGTCTTCGAGCATGAGAAAGTTGCGAAGCGGAACAACGTGCGCCAAGGCGTGGATAACAACATTGAAGTAGTCATTTGCCTTGATGTTGTTCATGCCAACGAAGCCAGGTATGTATCTGCGACCCAGAAGATCCCACGCCTGCTTCTGCTCCTTGTCTAGTATAGACACTTCGGCGGGGGACAGTCGAGGATCAACTACAAACTTGATGTCGTCGAGTGACTTCGATTTGACTTCATATCCTTCGGGAAGAACGTAGATCTTCTTGGTCTCCATGTTGACGTAGATGTGGTGTCCTATTTCCAGCGCGTGGAAATATGCTTGCGATTTCGGTCCTCGACCCTGGTAGTATTTCCCGCAGACTAGACATGCATAGACATTGATGTTTGAGAGTGTGACTGAGCACAGCTTCTCGAAGTCGAAATCTAGCACTCCGCGATCTATGGTGTCTAGATATAGATCTGTGTATCCTTCTTCTGGTGCCTCCTGTCGTATGGGAGCCGTGAGAGCAGCTTCCTCCTCATCACCGTCCATTGCAGCAGTAGGCGTCGCGCCAGCTTCCTCCAGCTCGGCATGCTCTACATCTGCCGCCCCCAGTATGTCTATCTTGTCTCGATCCTGCGGCCGAAGGGGCATCATATAACCGTTGCTGGCTGCGCCGTTGGTAGGCACCAGGTCGTTGGCTTCATCGTCGACGCGAGCCCGTTTTGATGCGGGAGAATCTGCGGCGGTGAAGTCTTCGAGTGAGTCGGCGGCTCGTCTCTTTGCCATCGTGATCAGTGTTTGGAGTTATGACGGTGTTGTAGAGCTTGGTCGCGTTTAAGGTCGACGAAAGTCGGGCGTTGGAGATGGCTTGGCAAACCATGAAATTTCACGTCCAAAGTCGCGTCTCTTTAGGCACGACCATCACAGCTCAACACCAGCGTCAGCTCACCTCTTTTTTCTCTCAGTTCTGCTTGTTAGTACTTCATAATGGTGAGTTTAAAGTATACGCCCGCTCCTGAATTTTGCTGACATATTCTAGTCGTACAACAACCCCACCCAGATATTTGCGGACGATGTCACGGAAGAGAAGGGCGAGAATGCGCGTCTCTCGGCCTTTGTGGGCGCTATTGCAGTTGGAGATCTGGTAAAGAGCACACTGGGCCCCAAGGGCATGGACAAGATATTACAGTCGGCGTAAGTGTTTATCAAACGGTGTGCCAGGGCCCAGCTAATTTATGTATCAGGTCAACTGGCGAGATCATGGTCACAAATGACGGTGCTACTATCCTAAAATCGATCGCTTTGGACAACGCTGCAGCAAAGGTGCTGGTCAACATATCGAAGGTGCAAGATGATGAGGTGGGAGACGGAACGACTTCAGTGACCGTTCTGGCGGCAGAGCTGCTCCGCGAGGCAGAGAAGCTCGTGGACCAGAAGATACACCCGCAGACCATCATCGAAGGTTACAGGATAGCGAGCCAGGCCGCACTGCAAGCTTTGGAGAAGACTGCCGTGGATAACAGCAAGGACAAGGCGGCGTTCCGCAAAGACCTCGAAGCCATAGCACGAACAACCTTGAGCTCTAAAGTTCTCAGCCAGGACCGGACGCAGTTTGCAAAGCTGGCGACGGACGCTGTCCTCAGAATGCAGGGCTCCACAGATCTCACGCACATTCAAATTATCAAGAAAGCAGGTGGAAAGCTCAAGGACTCATATCTCGACGAAGGCTTCATTCTAGACAAGAAGTTCGGTGTCAATCAGCCGAAGAGGATAGAGAACGCCAAGATCCTCGTTGCGAACACCGCTATGGATACAGACAAGATCAAGATATTTGGCGCAAGGGTAAAAGTCGACTCGACGGGCAAGTTGGCGGACCTGGAGAAGGCGGAGCGCGAGAAGATGAAGGCCAAGGTCGACCGAATCAAGGCACATGGCATCAACTGCTTCGTCAACAGGCAGCTAATCTACAACTGGCCAGAACAACTGTTTGCAGATGCTGGGATAAGCTCAATCGAGCATGCGGACTTCGACGGCATTGAGCGTCTGGCGCTGGTGACTGGCGGCGAGATCACTTCATCATTCGACCACCCCGAGAATGTCAAGCTTGGCCACTGCGATCTCATCGAAGAGGTCATCATCGGTGAGGACACGCTGATCAAGTTCTCCGGCGTCGCCGCAGGCAAGGCCTGCACAATCGTGCTCCGCGGCGCAACAGAGCAGCTCCTGGACGAGGCGGAGCGCTCACTCCACGATGCCCTCGCCGTCCTATCTCAAACAGTCAAGGAGCCAAAGACGACGCTAGGAGGTGGCTGCGCAGAGATGGTGATGGCAAAGGCGGTTGCCCAGGCGGCGCAAAATGTAGCAGGCAAAAAGGCGATTGCGGTCGAATCCTTCGCGAAGGCTCTGGCACAGCTGCCAACCATCCTCGCCGACAACGCCGGTTTCGACTCGAGCGACCTGGTGACAAGGCTTCGCAAGGCAATATACGCAGGCATGACGAGCTCGGGGCTGGATCTCTTAACGCCGGGTGGTGGCATCGCAGACATGAGGGAGCTGGGGGTCATTGAGAGCTACAAGCTGAAGCGCGCGGTTGTCTCCTCGGCGTCCGAGGCGGCAGAGGTAAGCATTGATAGGACAGCCATATTTGTAGAGCACTCGCTAACTGCTCACAGCTCCTACTTCGGGTTGACAACATCATCCGCAGTGCGCCCAGGCGGAGAGATCGCATGTAGTGTCTGAGCCGTGATGCGAGGAGGAACGCAAGGACGTGGATCAGCTACATAGAGCCTTGAATGTCTCAAGACAGCGATGTCAATGCTAGTAAATGAATACCGTGTCCAAACTGCGTGCGATACATGCCACTTCAATAATGCAGAGGCAAGTGACGAGGCAGTGAAGGGTGGCGATCCCAGAGGTGAATGGAGCTCGGATCCCGCGCCGCATACGGCCTATCAGAATAGCGTAGGTTGTGTTTCACGTTGGACGACCTATTGCCGGATCAGTGCAGGCGGCAGAGGGGTTTTGCGGATGCTCGCTGTCGTACTCGTGTGCTGCTGCGGGCGCGCGTCGCACGTGAGTTCATCCTCTGCTGTAAGGGCAACCACAGCGAGGCCCCTATCGAGGGAGCAAGCCCGCCTTTGACAGCAGCAATCGTCAATAAGAAAGACGACCTCGAGCCACGGTTCCCGCGTTTCAACACCCCACAACGACGCCGCGCCATCAGCCTTGCGGCGAGCCCCAGCGTCTATTCTAAAAGAAGGCTGGTCCGCAGTGACCCTGATCGTTCCGCGGCCCGTCTTGGCCTCGCTCGCTCCCGGTGTTGGGTGCTGACCCACTCACAGTCTCAGGCGCCCTGCCACACGCGAAGGGGCACGCCGTCTGCATTTCAGCTGCTCCCCCACCGCATTTCGTCCTGGCATCTGACATCTCACCCATATCTCCTCCACCGTAGCCCTCCTCCCTTCGCTCGCCCGCCGCCTACTCTTGTTCAGCTGCTAATGCTGAATCTCGCTCCTCATTCCAGCCTGTCGCTGGCTTCGACGCTCGCATTGTAGACTCTCCTCAACATGCCGCGTCGCCGGCCTCCCGGCGATGGCCTCGGCCTCAAGCCTGCCCTCCTCCACATCCTCCTCCTCCTCCCATGGATCACGACGGCCGCTCAGCAGCAGCAACCGCCGCACCGCCAGTATCGACGCTCTCCTCGCGAGGATGCCCTCGCCGATACTGTCACACCACCCAGCCACTCTCTACTGGACGACCACCAACTCCCCGTTTCGCGGAAGCGGACCCGAGCCGACGTCTTAGTACCCCAGATTGAGCGCGCCATTGCAACCTTGTCATCGGCTCCAGCGTCTTCCAATGCCGCTGTTCGAGCACCGCCTGCTGGATCTGCTGCCCCCCCCTCGGGCGGTCTTACGCGACATAGTGCGCGGTCTTTGCAGGATTGGGAAGTCGAGGATTTTGTCCTATTGGCGACCGTTGATGGACACATACACGCTAGAGACAGAAATACAGGCAAAGAAATATGGCACCTGGACGCTGGACGGCCCATGGTGGAAACCATCTACCACCAGAAGAACGACTCGGCCGACGAAAATGGCCAGGACATCCCGTTTATGTGGGTTGTCGAGCCCTCCGAGAACGGAAGGCTCTACTACTTAGAGCCAGGTCCACAGCCAGCCCTGAAGAACCTACACCTCACAATCCGGGAGCTCGAAGGTTCTTCGCCGTACTACAGTGATAATCCACCCGTCGTTTACAACGCGGAAAAGAAGACTATCATGTACCAATTAGATGCTCGCACTGGAAAAGTGCTAAAGTCATTTGGACTGGGCGGATCCGCCGACGTCAACGCTGAGAGTTGCGCGCCTCAAGTTACAGGCTTCGCTGACTCCCATTTGCGAGAGTGCAAGGGCAATCTCAATATAGGACGGACAGAATATACCATCCGCATCCAGAATATGGCAACCACCGAACCCATCTGTACCATCAAATACTTTGAATGGACGCCGAACAATCGAGATCGTGACCTCCACGGCCAGTATTCGACAACAATGGATAACAAGTACATATACAGTAGATTTGATGGAGAGATATACGCTCTCGATCATTCCTCTAGGCGGCAGATTGACGATGAGAAACATGTCTACAGGAAAAAGCTCGCATCGCCTGTAGTACGCGTCTTCGATGTAGCCCGGCCGTTCGAGAACTACGATGACGACCCACCACTAATATTATTACCGCAGCCTATTGGTCCTGGAAGTATCGATGATGCTGGTCAGAATGTGTGGCTGAACTGCACTGAAAGTGGCAGCTGGTATGCTATGTCCGAGGATAGATATCCTGCTGTTACAGACGGTGCCGCCAAAGCACTGTGCTACACTCCTCAGTGGAACCGATATGAGACATGGGGAGGAGTTTATGTCCTCCCTGAGAAAAAGGGTCTTGTTGGGGTTCATTCGCTTGAATTTGCTGGTCCGGGACGAGGAGATGTGCCCACCATATCCGCTCCTCTTCAAGAACTTAAACCCATAATCGATGAGCCTATTTCGCCAGAAGTGCCTCGAGAAGAGCTGCGGAACGCGATCGAGGAGAGGAAAAAGACCGCGCTCTGGCCATGGCTCATCACCATTGTGGCCCTGCTTCTTGGTCTAGGCTCATACGGCTTCGCAAAACCGGGCACTTTGGATGTGTTCAAGAAGTCTATTGCTAATACTGAGAAACCTCTTCTTGTCCCTTCTTCAATAGACGCAGAAGCGGTCCCCGTTCCAGAGGCACATGCAGCAGACCCCGATGAGCGACGTGTCAGATTTGCGATACCAGGAGAAGAGCCAGATTTAGAGCCCCTATCGAGGACAACGACAATAGAATCTTCGCCACCAATCGAGGGAGAAGGCATGACTCCAGAACTTCCAAGTCAGCGAGACATCAATGATAATGGAACCGACGTCACTGGCGAGACTACGAGTGCCCCGGACACAGCCAAGCCAAAGAAGAAGGCCCACAGAGGCTCTAGAGGAGGAAAGAAAAAGAAGAAGGGCCCCAAGGAAGATGATGAAATTGGACGCATTGTAGAAGCCGCGAAACAATTGGATCAAGACCAACCGTTGCATCCCGATGAGATAACTATTGAGGGTGGTAACGTCCAGGATATCTCGAACATCAAGAAGTGTGTTATACAAACTCAAGTTCAGATGGCAATACTAACAAACATCTAGGATTGGCAAATTGACGATTGATTTCGACAAGGTCCTTGGCAATGGTAGTGGAGGAACTTTTGTATTTAACGGCAAGTGGAATGTAAGAAGTCCCTTTCATATTTATCACGCATTTATTGACCTTGCCTAAGGAACGCGATGTTGCGGTCAAACGCATGCTTCCTCAGTACTTTGGTCTTGCCGAGCAGGAAGTCAAACTTCTGCAAGAGAGCGACCTTCATCCTAATGTCATTCGCTACTTTGACGACGAAAAGGACGAACACTTCCTGTACATCGCGGTAGAGCTGTGTCAAGCTAGCCTGTGGGAGCTGTACAGAGACGGCAGACCCGGCGACGATCGGACTCCAGAACAGATCGCTCTCTTTAACGAGATCAACTCCGACGCTCCCAGAGCCCTGTATCAGTTGGCGCTCGGCCTAAATCATCTACACAGCTTGAGAATCATACATCGAGACGTCAAACCGCAGAATATTCTGATCGCCTATCCTCAAAGAAACCAGAAATCGGGTCCTCGCTTGGTCATTTCAGACTTCGGCCTTTGTAAGACTCTTCCAGATAACGTCAGTACTCTCGTCGGAACAACCGGCAATGCCGGTACAATTGGCTGGAAAGCCCCGGAGTTGATCCTGCAGCCCAAAGAGCTTGAAGCCCGCCAAAACTCTAACAACGGCCATTCGAGGGATTCGTCTAGCTCCACCGATCCTGTCTCACAAGGAGTGAAACGTGCTGTCGACATCTTCTCCTTGGGCTGCGTTTTCTTCTACGTCCTTAGCCAAGGCTCGCACCCCTTCGATGATGACGAAGGCTGGATGCAGATCCGCGAGCTCAACATCAAGAAGAACAAAGCCAATTTCACTCGCTTGGAAAACCTAGGGCACGAGTCGGAGGAAGCTATTCGATTGATCGAATGGATGCTAGAGAACAAGCCCGAAGACCGCCCGACCGCGCTCCAAGTCATGCAGCACCCGTTCTTCTGGTCTGCGGAGAAGCGACTCAACTTCCTGTGCGATTGCTCAGATCATTGGGAGCGTGAGCCCCGTGATCCGCCGTCTGCTCAGCTTCTGACCCTCGAGGCCTTCATCCCTGAAGTACTCGACAAGAAGCGCGATTTCCTAGGCAAGCTTGATCGGGCTTTCATTGCTAGTTTAGGCAAGCAGAGGAAGTACACAGGCGACCGCATGCTAGACTTGCTGAGAGCGTTGAGGAATAAGAAGAACCATTATGAGGACATGGATGAGACCGTGAAAGCGAAGGTCGGGCCGCTTCCGGCTGGGTATCTAGAATACTGGACCAGCAAGTTTCCGAAGCTACTAATGGCGTGCCATTACGCGGTGACGCAATGTGGGTTGCAGAACGAGCCGAGGTTCAGACCTTATTTTGAAGGGAGTGTTGGATTGTAGTGTCGTGTACGACGGAGGAGCATTATTCTTGTTGCGTTTCGTATCTATCGTCTTGGATATAGTGTCAGGCGTGGATTATCTATTCTCGTATTTGGTTGTCTTAGACATAGGCTCGGAATATCAATTCTCATACTCGAACCTACTTGTCACGATGGTCCCCCTCGTGACAGAGCTCATTCGGAGCACTTCGTAACAACTACCCGAGCAGTCGAAAACGGTCTCTGCTAGTACAATATTTCTTACCGACTAGCTTACTCCACTCTCCGCGCTGTCTGTCTCTCTGTAAGCACTTGTGGCAAAGGGGCGTGATCTCGGAAGGCAGCATCAGGGAGATCACGAGATAAGCGTGGAAGTCGATCGCCGGGGCGAACCATATATCATCAATAATACAAATACGGAACAAAGAATACCGCTTGTTACTCCAATTGTTAGTGACGTAGTGGTGGAATGCTATTCTTAGGACTTGGTCGCCCGGTCGTTTTCGGGGCTGCCAGAATTCTACGAGCCACCTCTCGTGTTGCGCTCCTCAACCTTCTCATTCACAGTCCTAATCATCGACCAAACCCCCAGCACGTCCACTACAATACCTAGAGACATTCTCCATTCAAGCTGAACAGAGCCTCCAGAAATAGCATGTCAAGGCTCGGCAAAATCATACCGCAAAGCTGAGCCCGTTCAACTTAAACCGGAGTTCCGCGTCCTACTACCACTTCGTACGTAACTAGGGCTGACAGTGAGAACTTTCCGAGGTTGCCCTCGCGTCCTCATTCCATTCAGCAGCCTAGACGGGAAATTCTCGTTCAATGGAGTGGCGCAGGGTCCTCAGGTGGTGTCTCTCCGTAAGCCGGGACGAAGAGCAGCTCGTGAGGCTGTGCAAATACCACCCATCATCTTCTCCCGAGCGCCTCCACCACTAACCCGCTCCACGATCTTCTCTTCGTATCCACAGAGCCGGAAATTGTGGCTAATCATCTGACTGCAACCTCAGACCATCCAATCGCGCTCTATGCTGAGACCTCGTCCTAAGTGACTGACCATCACACATTGGCACCGTAGCAGTAATCACGGCGGTGACGACTCGGTCCGCCAGCTTCCTACCATCCAGCTATGTCTCATACTAGAGGATACGAGGCAAAGGTAATTTTAGAATCTGTAGTTAAGTTTTCATGTCTCGAGTATAAAGACGACTCTGAGTTCGTCGTTTAGTATCATCATCTACATCAAGCATCACAACATCTCAACGTCTTCAGTATCTCAATCTACTTCAAAGTCTCTCGCTACACTTCATTACCAATTCTTCCTACTATCACAAAAGCAAACACACTTCTATCAAAATGCAGTACCTCACCATCGCCTCTGCTATCCTTGGCTCCGCTCTTCTGGCCTCTGCCGCCCCTACTCCTGCAGACCTCAACGCTCGCGCCTGCAGCGTTGCCTACCCCCAGTCCATCGGCTTCCCGATCAACTACAGTATCAGCCAAGACGCTGGCGCAGCCAACAAGCGAGACGACGCCATCACCTTCGACAACATCCCCGCAGGCTCTTACGGCTGCCAGCTTGAGGTCAACTTCCCAGCTGGCTACCCTATCACCAGTTCTGGCAACAGTCAAGTCTATTTCTGGTCTGGCACCGGCGCCTCCAAGGAGCAAGTCGGTACCGTCAACTTCGCCAGCAGCCCCGTGGCCGCTACCAAGTTTGTGATCAACAGCTTCACTTGCGCCCCGACCATGTCTTACACCATGTCCATCGGCAGCGAGACTGATGCTGGCTCCGTTGCTTTTGCCGACACCAAGGATGCCGGCATTACTATGACCTACAACTGCTAGATTTTCGCAGAGTAATTTGCTTTGCATTGGGTGGAGCGTAAATGGGAGTGTTCGACACCTGAAAGTGTAATGGAACGTGTAATACCATGATAGTTTGCTGCATTTCTGCGATGGGTCGGCTTGGGTTTCCTGTAATTCTATCACTCCTTTTCTATAACTACGGGACGCCGTATATATATCTATCATCATTAGAACCTACTTCGCTGCATGCTGTATGTTCTTGATAATGAGTGAGAGCAAAAGGTATTTTCCACTGCTCATGCATTCGCTTGATCATCAAACGATGGTTACGGATATGACATCTTTAATCACCGAAAGGCATAGTCGCCTCGCGTATACTGAGAAAAGCAAGCTGTGAGGTAGCGATTCACGAGACACTCTGTGAAAGCTCCACATGCAAGCTTCAATGCACGCTACACCATAACCATCACTTCCACTTACAGCGCCCGCGTAGGGCAAAAACCAAAGAGCTCCCTAAAAGTCCTCTTGAATTTACCGCCACCGCCACTACTGTTGCTTCTTGTCACCCTAAAAATGTGTAGTCCTGAGCAAAAGAGATGCAAAAACTGAGGTCGTGCCCGGAGTCGAACCGGGGTCGCTGGAAGATTGGAGCCCGAAGGCTTTTATCAGAATCCAGAGTGATAACCACTACACTACACAACCATGTGTTTTTGATGGCGTTATGAAATATTCCATACATATCCTAGGTTGTGAGAAGCGGGGTCAGCCAACGCTGTTTTGTGTGGAAGAAAAGCCGCAAGTGGGGAGACCAGCCGAGTGTCTATTGTCAGGGGGCGGCCTGACTGGTTGGAGGGGGTCCCCACATCAACACTTCACGATTTCTTCTCGAAAAAGCGCATGGACGACGGGTTAGGCTCATGAGATTGGAGATCAGGTAACGAATTGTCTGGTTCACGTGGAGGCCGAGTTCTATTGAAAGGCTACCATTAAGCTTGCTGTCACCGTCGCTGTTACCGGCTCAAGGATCCATGTCTATCATTGTATACGAGATTTCAATGTAACCAGCTTCAGAGTACAAACGGACACTCTTGCAAAACGGAAAACTCTTCCGTATCCAAGCATGTCTTTCTAGCGGTCTTGTGTTTGAAAGACGAGAAGTTGAAACTTGGTCCTAGATCACGTGATGAGGAACGTACGCCAAGCCCTTTCCAAATTTCTGGTGACCGCAGAGGCAACCTCCATCCTCACTTAACCACACTCCACACCCAAACCCAGGACCCCTCTCACCTCCAACACCACCGCCTCATACTTTCTCTCACGGGGCTAAACCTCCAGCATGGCCGACAAAAAACCGGCTATGAAGTTCTCGCTCTCGTTAGGCGCAAAGAAGCAGACGGCCGCCCCAACAACCCTCAAGAGACCTGCCGTAGCTCTACAAGGCTTTGAAGACGAGGTAATAGCTGCACCCACGGCACAAGCAGTATCAGCTTTCGACGCAGCCGCTGGAGGTGCAATCGATACCTCAGCACCAATAGTCACAACCGGGCCAGTAGTCATCGCACCACAAGCAAATCGAGACTGGCGTGCCGAATCCCGCAAGAAGCAGCGCGGTCGTCTACCCGACGGGGCTGGACAGGGATACAGTGCTGATGTTACCGATCAAGACATCGGCGCATCTAAGATCGCGTTTGGGTTGACCGTGGTGAAGGCGGAACAAGGGGATGTTGCTTCGGAGCAGACTACGGAGTTTATAAAGGCAGAACCGGTGTCGGATGCCCCAGAGCCCGAGAAGCCAACGGAAGACCAACTAGCCTTGCAAGCTCTGCTCGGTCAGCGCCCGGAATCGAACTTGGTTATCTCTATGGACGAAGAGACAGCATTCAAAAACGACTTTTCGAATGCTCCGCCAGCTCCGTCGCTCGAAGACTATGCTAAGGTGGCTATCGAGGACTTCGGCGCTGCTTACCTTCGTGGCTTTGGCTGGAAAAGCGACGACTCAGCCCAGCAGAAAACCAAGCCAGAGAAACGCCCGGCCCGCCGTTCAGCTCTCCTAGGAATAGGTGCGAAAGAGGAGGCTGCCGCGGGAATTGAGCTGGGCGAGTGGGGCAAAGGAGCAAAAGGGAAGCGGAAGGTGGATCAGCCGTACAATCCGGTGCTATTACGCGACAAGGTGACAGGCGAGACATTGACGGAGGAGGAGCTGAAGAAGCGACAAGAACAGCAGAAGCTGGTGGAGCTTGAGCCAATCCCAGAGCGGAAAAAACGATCTCCGGCCCGAGAACTCGAATACCGAACAGAGAAGTCTTCCCGACGACACAAATACGAGGATGAGGATGAACGAAGCGGAAGCCATAGGCGAAGGGATGATCGGGAGAGGGACCGGGATCGGGATAGGGAGAAGCGCAGAGACCGAGACTACGACAGCAAGCATCGTTCGTCTCGGAGGGATAGAAGCACTTCCACAGACCGCAAGAGGAAACGACGAGACTATGATGAGCGTGATAGCGACAGCAGTAAACGTCGTCATAAAGAGGATCGCTACAAGGAAGACCGCTACAAAGACGATCGTCATCGAGAAGACCGCTACGACCGTGGATCATCCAAGCGTGACGATCGAGACCGCGAAAGACACAGCGATTCTGGAAGGCGGCGAAAGCAGGAAGTCTATTGAGCGAAGGATCTCTTACATACTCAACCGCATATACGGCTGCAAATTCAGGCGGCTAGCTCGAGCGGGTGGCTTGAAATGGTATCATTTTCTAGCACCGAAACAGGACTTGACGGAACCGAGTGATGTATGCGTATTCACTCTTCCAGAGTAATGATCAAGTTTGCTAACTGTGTCTATAATAGCTTCTCGAAGATCATCTGCAGATACGAGTTCCAATGCTACTAACCTTGATAAAACATCAGAACTGAATACGCCATATCGGCACGGCTTCTCCGCCCGCCCCCATAAACAACACGTGGTTCGAACAAAGTTAGACTGATTCTAAATGCCCAGCCGAGGGCTCCAAGCATGACTATGTTGGCAGAATAACCAATGGTACGCCACACTTTTCCAATCAAGTGACTAGCTAGAGGCTTAGAACGCTCAATGTACTCTGACAAGGCTACTAACTCACGCTACTAATCTTGCTATGCCTTATACCAAATTTCTATTAGCATAGCAGTCTCCCTCGGCACCATACCTTCATACACCACGAAATTCTCAGCTCCCTCGGATACTATAGTCCTAAGTAGTAAGAGCGAAACAGCGTCAAATTACTCCAGCTCTGGGTAGCTTTCATACAATCTTTCTCTTCTATCCTTTTGAGCAGAGCGCGATATAGGCTCTATTCTTCATCCGCACACCTCAAGCCTGCAAATCGGGCAATTGGTTCCCCTTTCACTTTTATATCGAAAATAGTACGCCCAAAGGTGCTCCAAGGTAATGTGTAGTACAGCAAAAATGGAATAATTGCTCTCTGAAACTGCGCCTCTCTGAAAGAGTTCTGCCCTTGACTTCGAACCGTGGATCAAGTAATGAGAAATGAAGCATTCACGCACCCGACAAGCCTTTCCTTAACGTACGCCCTCTCCGATATCTACTCATAGCCAACAACGCCGACGGGAATATTGCCGACTACAAGGGAGCTGTCGACCCACGAGGGTAGGTACTACCCACTACAAGGATGTCGCCAACTGCGACAGCCAATAAGTTCGCACCGTATCGCATCATTATCGCGCCGTCGTGTGTCATCGCACCGTCTTATGTCGCTACGCCCCAACGCTTTCTAATATATAACCACAGTCCCTCTACCATTTTCTTAAATACATCCACATTACTTTCGCATCCTTCAATCTTTACTAAAGCAACGCCGCTCTTCTGCAACTCAGCTCCCAAAAAAAAGCCACGCAAGCTATCTGCCCTCACCTCGCCCAAAACAAACACCTCAGTGGATAAAGCTGAATTGGCTGGCACGGCATTTCCCTCTGCAAGCCCTGAGCCGCCTTAGTCCTCAAGCCCTATAACTTTAACTTAGGCCGCGCCTACTTCCTCTGAAAGCCCTTAACATGCTTTGTATTGTTAAGGCATCTGTTTTAGGCCTAAGTCAAAGCTTTAGGCCTTTTAGAGGCACTAAACGCGGCCTGATTTGAAGTTTTAGGGCTTGAGGAGGAGGCCTAGCTCAGGGCTTGTAGAGGGAAGTGACATGCCAGCTGATTCAGCTTTCGTACATTGAGGCGTCTGTTTCAGGCATAGTGAGGGCAGGTAGCTTGCTCAGCTTTTACGGGAATTGATTTGCAGAAGAGAGGAGTTGATTTAGTGAAGATTAATGGATGCGAAAATAAAAGGATAAGTAAGGACGCTACCAATATGGCTTCCCGCAGCTAAGATCTGTGAATCTTTGCCAACTATTCCGTGCAATAAGGGCCCCTCGATGGCTCAGCCAGATTGTCGCACGTGGCTTGCGTGTCCAGCTACTGACTTCCACATCTTTAACAAGGTAGACCAGCCGAAGACTTTCCATGTGAAACGACATATTAGGCCCTAAATCCATAGATAGAAAAGAATCCATGGATTATAAACCTTGGATTAAACCGAGCACGACTCCATCTCACGTGCATTCGCGTTCGGAAAAACTCTCGATGAATCGAACCGTTCTTGAATATGTATATACAAATATCTTACAAGAATATTAGATTACGCTGAGCGGACATCAACACTCCATGAAGTGCGTGTGACTTGTAATCATTGCCCGTTATCGTATGCACAAGAACGCCACACCCAAACCAGAGCTTATGAACCAGTCCAAACGCCCTGGGTATGTTACACGCAAGGTTCATTAACTTACCGCTACGCTATGTTGCCCGCCAAACCAATAAACAGTGCCTGAGCGGCGAGTTGGAGCGTCCATATCCCGACCTTTTTGAAGCGACGTTTGCGTGCGCTGTTGTCGTCGAGGACGTCGCGGGCGAAGGCGTCATACATCTAATTATAGAGTTAGAAGAGCAGTTGGGTAAAAGCGGGACAGGAAATGCCATGATTACCTCCCGAGACAGATCATCCATAAGCCCGCTATCGTAGATAGTCCAGCTACCGTCGAACTCGCTAGCGCGCTTGACCACCCGACAGTTCACGGGTATGAATGTCTTTTTCGAGTTGATGTACGCTACTATGGGCCGCACGAGGGCGTTGTTGATGTATGTGATGTCACTGGTGAGGATGGGGACCGAGGCCCGTACATCGTTGAGATGGACCCGGAGATCCATGATGATGAATCGATTGTCCTCAGGCTCTCCAGTTACGGCTTCGGTTGGTGATAGTGGCTGCTGTACTTCTTTGCCATCGGAATTATCGATAACGGCTCGGTTCCCGTTGGAGGTCACTGTAGCCTCAACGCGGTCGTAAAAATCAGACATGAATTTGGCGATACTGTCGTCGTTCTCGTTTGGAATCATTATATCGGCCACGATGTCGACATTGCCTTCGTGAATCCACGAAAATGGGCCCTCGTATCCTCGATTTAGATGGTCAATACTGAGCGCATCGATCCTTATACGGCTGTGTTTTTTCCAGCTGATGCCATTTTCGGTTTCTCGTCCCTCAGTCAGTTGAGCTCCGGTGTAGTTGTGTGTCTGTCTCGGATGTATAGTGAACAGAGAGTTGTCAAAAGAACCAGACATCATGTTCGCAGACAGGAAGTCATAGAAGAGCCACTGCTTCCGCAGCTGTGGAAGGTCGCAGGAGAAGATGCTAACTGAGAACGGCCGGAAATTATTCGGCTGGTAAACGGTAACTAGTAAGTCCTCCATCTTGAATGAGTCTAGCTCAAAATCTCCGGGCTGGTGTTCGTGCTTGTATGTTCTAGGATCAATGTATTCCTCCGGTGGACGCACTGAAGTCCTATCCACGACTCCCCGAATACCCCTCACTTCAACATCTTTCAGTAGTCCTTTGCCATTGAACCACTTTGCAAATGATAAGGTCACATTCACAGTATCGATGGAAACATCGAACTGCGTGTAATTAGTGTCTTCTTCCTCTACTACGCCATTTGCTATATCCCGCTCCTTCTGGGCGATTGCGGCGGCCTCGGCTGCTGCGGATAGTTGAGAGCCTTTAGTGACATTGGATTGGCCTTGGCCAGGCCTTCTCGAGACGAAAACTCTCTTGAATGAGATGACCCCATCGCGCCACTTAGGAACGACGGCAGACTCAAAGACGACTTTGACGCCGGAGGAACTTGTAAGGTAGTTTCCAATCCATTTGGCCAGGGATTCTTCGGTGAGAGTTAGCGAAATTGTTTTCTGGCACCACGGTGTACTTGCCTTGCGCAAACACAGTGTTTATCAAAAAGATGGTTAGCGAGAAGAAGGTAGTAGTTCCAACAATAATCCAAATGATGTGGCCGAGGAGTATCCAGGAAACAAAGGCGCTGATATCATCAGTATTAAAAGGTCGAGAACTCCTAATAGTTAACCATTTGAAGTGCACCTTCAATCGAGACCAGAAACCAGTCGCTGCTGCGAGAAGTTCGTCTTTGGTGGGCCTGTGGAAGTGGGGCAACGACTGGGGTATGCGCTCCAACAGGGGCTTGCTAGCAGGATGAGAAGCTGCTGGTGGAGACTCTGGCGATTCCTTTGCTGGTGTTTTCGAGGCGGTATCTGGCGATAGCTCCGCTTTGGGAGCTGATCCATTTGGAGCGGGTGCGGGAGTCGCCTTGCCACTAAGAGAGCTCTTGTATCTCCGACCACTTATGCCTAAAAACGTGTTCGCTCTGAAGGATTGGTGGTGGAGATGCCTTCTCCATGCTAATGAAGCGGATGTCGTAACTGGGTCATGTCCTGATGCAAAGATATTTCCTGGTGAAGCAACAGACGCTGCTGGGAGACGGCGGACAGCAGGAGGAGAGCTGAAAGGGGTATATCGAGGTAGGGACGTGGTCGTAGGTATACACAGACCGCCTGCTGTGTGGTATTGGGGCGCGTTCAAAGATGTCTGAAAGAGCTTGAGAGGAGACGGCCGCGGGAGGAGGAAGTGCGAGTCGGCGACTGTGCGCCGTAAGAGAGCGCCGACGGAGGGTACTACATTTCGACTCATGGTACTGGAGAGGCCAACATGGCTTCCAGGCGGGAGGAGGATGCGGAGCAGTGGACGGCGTGCGTAGTTGGCATAGAGTTGCTTGATGTCGCAACGGGCCGCGGTGTTCATGCCATCATCAAAAGCGAAGGCGGTGGCAGAAACACAAACTTTTACTTTTGGAATGGAAATTGTTCGCGGGTTGCGGCCGTGCGCTGAATATCGGCCTCGCCTTCACACTGCCGCGCCTCGCAAACTCCGCTATACAACGACATACTACAGTCAACTTCTGAAATCATGCCTGCTCCGACTGCCCTCCTCCGCGACCCTGAAGCGCTGGCTGAGGATCAGACTATGACCGAAGCTCCTCCCGCACCAGGTACCCTCCCTCCGCCACTATCTGCGACCTCCCTAACCCCGCGACAGAAGAACAGACTGCTCTCATAGACCCAAATGCTCTTCCTTCTGATACCGTCGAAGTCCCCCAGACCTCACATCAGCCAACCGATACTGCCATGACCATCGACGGGCGCCCCCAGTTCGCCCCCGCCGCCGAGAGCCAGATCAAATACCGGAGAGAGCAGAGAAAAATCCCGATCCCCCCCCACCGCTTGTCGCCTCTGAAGGCTGCATGGCCCAAGATGTATCCTCCCCTAGTTGAGCATCTGAAACTCGCCGTGCGAATGAACATGAAATCAAAGGCCGTTGAACTGAGGAGCTCCAAGTCGGCACAGGCTGGAGCCCTTCAGAAGGGCGAAGACTTCGTCAGGGCTTTCACTCTTGGCTTTGACGTAGACGATGCCATTGCGCTGTTGCGGCTGGACGATCTGTATATCGAGACTTTTGAGATCAAGGATGTCAAGACCCGTACGTTCCGCTAGCACTCGGTTGTCTGGGATGCCACTAACAATAAGCAGTAACCGGAGAACATCTAAGCAGATGTATTGGTCGAATTGCTGGCAAGGTAATTGATTGAATGCCGAAATATCCTAGGAGCTGTGCTCATACTCCTGATAGGACGGCAAAACCAAATTTGCAATCGAGAACTCATCCCGCACGAGAGTGGTACTGGCAGACTCCAAAATACACATTTTGGGTGGTTTCAAGAACATCCATATCGGTTAGTCCGTTACGTTCATATTCGAGAAATTTCACTGACCATGACTTAAATCACTAGCACGAGAAGCAATCGTCAGTCTCATTCTCGGTGCGCCTCCAGGAAAGGTACGTATCTCCACCATTCACATTCTTAACTCTAACATAACCTAGGTTTACGGAAACCTACGAACCGTAGCATCTCGGATGAAAGAGCGCTTCTAGGCCTGTCAGCTGCAAGATTCATGCATCATGTGGCGTTCAATGGGTTATCTTTCAGACGGCGTTAACGAGACTACGTAAAGCCAGCGGATATGCCAGTCGGTTGAATCTCTTTCCGTTTCCGACCTAGCTTTGGTAGACATAAGGTATTCGTGTTGAGGGAACCATGAGTCAAGTCCGTAAAAAGTATACGATTCATGCCCATGCCCTAGTCCCTTAGGTCTTCCGTATTCCTCCTGACTACTACTACGGCCGCCAACTCGTGTCCATTCTCGTCCCATACGCGTTGACACGGGATGATTTGCTTCTTGATCTCTATATCCTCCAGCCACTCTGTTGGTAGGGCCTGTGAGGTGTAAACCACGTACTGATTTTCCACTGATGCCGAGAGCCTTTGAATCTTCTCAGGGTCGTCTTCGGAGTAAATGTGACCCCTAGCATCGCTCCCGTCTTCTCTATCGTTCTCCGCCATGTATTTGACGATAGGATTCTTAGCTACTTCCGCTGCCAGCGCCCGCGTCATCTTCGTGACGTAGAAATGGTCGCCCTTATCTCCCTGAAGCGGCTGCGAGCCAGGACCACCATCCGGGAAACTGCCAATCAAGTCATCAAAAGCCGCTTGAGGAGTATCATCATATGTCTGGAGGGTCCATGAGACGCTCTCCCACTCATGAGCCTCTCTGATCGCCTTTTCGAGGCCCAACAAGTCCTTCACATCCTCAATACCGACGAACACGAAGCTGGAACTCGTGTCGAGGACTCCAGTGACGTGTATACTGGGTGTGCCTGTAGTATTCATGACGCTGACGCTCGCTTTCGCCAGCCCAACACTAGTCCACTCGATATCAGCAGCGCGAGGCAACTCTTGCACTTGAGCTGTGAAGCAAGGCGGTATCGCTCCTTCTCCTCCGCCATTGACTCGGTCGTAATCCGGCAAAGCTGGGCGCTGGTCTGTCTCGACGCCTTCGCTGCCGCTGAAGCCTCCGTGTTTCGTATGCCAGACATCGACGTCGTTTCCTTGCTCTTCTGCGTCTTCGTCTTCGCTATTGAGATTTGGTTTCAGCTTTAAATGAATAGCTCTCCAGGCTTCGGCTGCTAGCTTCGCCCGCTTGCTTCCTTCGTCACTGCTACAATGCGATATGAAAGCGACTCCTCCGGTCCACCATCCTACGTTCATGACTCTACCGATTCGCCATAGGTGCTGTAGAGCTAGGACTGTTTGGGTCTTGAAGCCCTCGAGTTCTCCTGGTGTGGTTTGTTCTGTGTCTGCTTTTACGATTTCCATACTTGCTGGCACGAGAGGGATCTGTCCGGCAACATAGACAATCTGTGGGCTATCCCAGATGGGACGATCTTGCGCTTCTTTTAGAAGGTTGTTAATCGGAACTGTTACGGCCTGCGAGTATGGACCGATATTGGCAGGAGCCCAGTACGATCTGCTTTGTACGTGCAACCCTCGTCTTGCATTACTCTTGCTTACGGTTACTGAGAGCACGACTTCAATACCTTCAGGCAGAGACGAGCCACATGCTACAGTCACGCGGGAGGGAGGAATCGGCTTCGTGAAGTGAGCGCCGTATATTGGGTTGATAGTTGTAAAGTCTGACATTGAGCGGAGAAGCAATGTACTGAAGATAACGTTCGAAGACTCGCATTTGTAGCTTTGGAGCAAAGATATGAGGCGAGCCATGATAGAAGAGAGCTGAGTGCTGGCGTTGCTACCCGCTTCGGGAGCAGTCATGTTGGATATCGAGAGGATGTTTCCTGATTCCGCGAGCTCCCATGTTGGGAGATTCTGCTGGTGGGTTGATAGACCTGATAGTCCTTTGGCTGGAATGGAATCTTTTGAAGTGATCACCGACTCCTCCTCTGCGGAGTGCTTCAATAGGTCTTCAAACTCATCGTCCAACAAATCCGGCTTCCTCAACCGCTTCATCCCATCACTTTGCCCACCACTCTCATCTTTCTCCACCACACTCGCCCCCCGAAACCTCACAGAAGCACTCCCCCCTCCCCCCAAAACCGTCCCCCCAACATCCACCTCAATCCTCCTCTTCCACAACCCCCTCGGCCCATCAACCGCCAACGTCTCAAACTCCCCTCCCTCCCCTACCACCGCCCCATCCGCCGCCCCAAACCTCTCCATCACCCTCCTCAACCTCCCCACCGTCCGCGGACTCGCCACATCCTCCCACAAAAACGTCTCATCCAGCCCCCCGGACGCCACCTTCACAATCCTCGCCTCCTGCTCCACCGCCGCCATATCCTCCAGCAGCGCCGCCTGCGAGTACGGCGGCAGCGACGTATACTGCCACAGATACGCCAGCGGCACGAGCCCGAGGCGCACGGCTACCGACTCCACGCGCGTGCGCTGGTACGTGCTGAGGATCGCGCCCGTGGAGACGGCGCTGGCGTCCGGGTGCGCCTTCATTACCTTCAGAAGCAGCGGGACGAGGGACTCCGTCTCATCTTCTTCGTGGGCTCCAGCTTCGGTACTGGAATCCGCACTCCCCTGCTGCCGCTGTCGCTCTCTAGACACCGGCGCAGGAGCATACTCCTTCTCCGCATTCACGGCCGACCCGTGGATCGGCTGGCGGTACAGCGGCAGCTCGAGCGCCTGCGCGTACAGCGGGATGACGGTGTGGCCGACCGTCTGGTACATGTAGCTGTTGATATCGTCGTCGTCGTCGTCGTCGTTGTCAGGGCCATTTTGCTGGTCTTCTGCGCCTGATAGCGGGGCGGGGTAGATGTTTGCGAGTGCGACGATTGAGTGGCCGTTGGAGATACAGTGCAGGATTGAGTAGAGGGAGTCCTTCCCGCCGGAGATTAGGGCGATGACTTTTAGGCCTGGCATTGCATGGTTGGCGAGAGGGGTAGGTGGTGGGTGGTTGCGGGCTTGTTTGTGGAAGTTAGGGGATTTTGATCAGAGGTTGGGTTTTTTTTGTGGTGGGGAGCTGGGTTGAGAGGTATGGTGTCGGATGGCTGATGGAGGTTTTCATGTGGAAGGTTGTAAAATCTAGTATCAAACTGGGGTTTTATCAGGACGGTAGCACGTGACTGTGCAAGCAACTCCATGAAGTTTGCTCGCAGTATCCCACGTCGAATCCGGATACAGTGGACAAATGAGTACGGGTATACATCACGCATATTCAAAAAGGCCAGTGGTGATTATAGTGTTTACGCAATTTTGTGGCGAACTAATAAGTTCAAAGATGATGCAATGTGCCAGCACACTAAACTACATCAAAACAGAGCAAAAGGAGAATTACAGGAGTCGAAGAGAAAATTGCCAGAATTGCAGCTCGCGGCGTAATCCGCAGCAATATTACAACGAAAGTAGGAAGGCAAAGCGAATTGACGAGCCGCCGACGCGAAGCTGTGTCAAAACCCAGATAATTCCAGCAAAAAACACCAAATTCTACCCCTTCCATGTCACCCATTCCCTCCATTTGCCTTCCCATACTAGCAACACCAAAATCAACGCTGGAATTATTGAAACACATGCACAAATGCTTACAAGACGCAGATGCGAAATGTATGAAGCAAAGAGAGCAAAAGCAGAGGTAGAATACACAAAGAAAAAGTATGGGAATGAAGGACTTTTTCGAAAGGATGTCCCGCGCCGATGATTCCCACCGCCAACCAATTTAACCCATCTACCTTCGCCGCCCCAACGTTACGACATCAAGTAGACGAAGATCGCCTGACATTAGGATCTCCATCAAGGGAGAGTTGTTGTTCATGTCTGTTCGTAATAAAGAACCAAGACGAGGTCAAAAGAGACCACCGTCGGTTCCAGAGAAAGGAGAAGTTTGCACACGTGAACCTGAAGTTCATCTACTCATCCCGCTTCCTCTTGCGGTACTTCTTGTCAGAGCCTGATGGGCTGCGATCCATGTCGGAATAAGACTCCGAGCCACTGCTGCTTGACACGGCGGCGGCAGCGCTGTAGAGGATGGCTCCGAGCATGCCGGGATCTTGGCTGTCGTACGACTCCTCCTTCTGCCTTCGCAGCTCTGCGTCATCGAGGACACCCATGACGACTGCACCAGTGCCATGAGTGCGTTGATGCTGCGAGAGGTTGTCGCTGCGAGAGAACTTCTTGCCGCAGTCGGTGCACTCGAAGGGCTTATCGTGGGTGTGGAGGGATCGGTAGTGGCGCTTCAGGTGTTCCTGGCGGCGGAAGCGACGCGAGCAGAGAGTGCATACGAAGGTCTTCGATGGGTCTTCAGTCAGGGACTGCTTGCGACCACGGCGGCTGGTGGGGGCCGAAGTGGGGGGAGTGCGGGCACCATCATCAGAGCTGGAAGCGACGGCGTTCTCAGAGCTGCCCTGGCCGGAAGATTGGTGCTGACCAGACCCAGAGTGAGACTTGGTGCCGTTGCCGTGGGAGGTGTATGCGTCGCCCTGGTATTCGGATTCAGACTCGCTATCCTCATCAGCCTCGTACTTCATCTGCCTGTTGTTGGCAGCGTTCATTGTCATGTCGTCAGAGGAGAAAGAGTCGGTGTCACAGGGAGTGAGCAGGCCGCTGACAGCGAAGTCGTCCTCAAAGTCGGTGAAGCTCTCTTCACTCGCAAGACCGTCGTCTTCGGGGGAGAGAGGAAGCAGCTCGGTGCGCTGGCGCTTGTTGCCGTGGAAGTGGACGTTCTCTGAAGCAGGGAACTGCACGAGGCCGGTGAAGTCGTCCTCAGAGTCGAGCTCGAAGAGAGGCTCAAAGGTGGGCAGGCCGGTGGAGAGATCGCCGAAGCTGGACGATGCAGCAAGCTCGTCGGCCGATGGCTTGGAGTCACCTTTGAGAATTAGCTTGTGCTCCTCGTCGTCGCCGGGGCAGAGCGTTGGCAGGCAGGCGAAGTTGGCGGAACTCGACGAGACGGTGAGGTTGCGCGGGTCGCAGAAGTTGTTCTCGGTGTCGCACGCGGATCGCGGGATTGGTGATGGCGAGGGCGAGAGCGACGGGCACGATGTGGCCGACAAAAGGTAGGAGCCTTGGCCCGCGCACATAGCCGAAGGGTTCTGGATGAACACTGAGAATCATCAGCAAGACGCCCGCAAACAATTCACCACAAACTCTACCGCACCCACGGTCACCGCGTCAAACACACCCTCACGCTGCGATGCAGTCGAAAAATGGGTTACATCTAAAAATACGCACCTGGGGTCATTGGCGGCGATGCCGATCGAGTCCAGTCACCGCCCGCAAGAATCTCGGAGAAGACCTCCTCCTCACATCCCATCTTCACACCCTTCAAGCCTTCGCTCTGGAAGAACGTGCCGTTCACCGGCGTAGGCAGGATGTCGCAAGTCGACGGCGGGCTGCTGATGGCGCTGCCAGACGACGAAAGTGGTGGTGTCGCAGGTGCAAAGCGCATATCCGAGAAATCGGTATCCAATGGATGCAGATACGGCGAGTCTTGCTGGATGAGGATCGTAGGCTTCTGGTACATTGGCTGAGGCGATGCCACGGGTGTCATAAGCGATTGAGGAACGTAGGCATTCCGCTGCACGTAGGAGCCCTGCGAATCCGATGACGACGGGCGGGTGAAGACCATGTTGGGCTGGTAGTAGCCATCCTGGCACTGCTGGTAAGGCGTGTTTGGTAGACCGTTGGGATGTGGGGTGAAGTGGCCGTGCTGGCGGTTCTCTGGGCTCGGATCGGGGTTATAATAGAAGAATGGCGACTGGCTCATGGCCTGCGAAGGGTGCATTGGGTATGTGCCTTCCATTGCGTATGGTGTTGGTGTTCTGGATCGGAATGTCAGCACCAGCATTCCACGCACGACGCCGCATCACTCACAGCTTCGTTGTTGAGACAGGTAGTTAGTAGTATTCTACAGTGGTTCGAAGTGGTTCGAAGTGACTCCGAAAGTGTTCGAGGTCGAGATCGGAAGGTTTCGAGTTTGGATTAAGGTTACAGGCGGTATAGCAGACCGAGTAGCTGGACAAGAGGACGGATACAAGGGGAAAGGCTGCAGTGAGCGACAGGACAACAGCAAGGACGAATCGATGCTGTCTACTAGGTATTTACTGAGAGGGTTCGAGGGTCATGGGCGCTCGGTTGGAAGGCTAAGGAAGGGCCGGATACTGTCGAAGCTGTTGCACAAAGGAACAGCACGAGAGATATCCAAAAGAGAATATGAAGCACAAAAAGAGTAGATGGGGAAAGGGAAAGACGAGTGACGACGGTTGATAAACCTTGGACAAGGAAATGGAACGAGTGATGGGACACGGGCGGGATAAGTAAATGCCCAGATCAGCGAGAGACGAGACAACGATTAAGCTAGCGGCACATGCGAAAGAAGTAAAGATGACCTGTGCCTGAGCAACAGCGCGGGAATTGGCTTAAACCACGGTGGGAGGGCCCTCGGGACGGCGAAAGGCGCAGCACTCTGGCTGCATACAACCCCTGCGGCAGGCTAACGCACGAGTCGTGGGATTCGACACCGCGACTGGCTCCAGCTTCGTTAGAGCGGCAAGTCCGTCCACGCGGCATTATTTTATGCTGGAGGAGGCCTAAGTTTAGCGCCACGCCGGGGCATCTCACCACCAGCAGGCTTGCTGATTGCGAGCTGCCACACTGCAGATTCGGGGCCGACGAATCCATGAAACCTAGCGCTCTGCACAACTGCTGGCCTCCTGCGCACACCGACTCGTTTGGGCGGCGACAGCGACCCTGGCGACGTCTCACGCTCCCACAGGCTCCAGTCCGCCGCCGTGTGCTGCCCAAACGAACTGCGCGACGGCCAGTGTACCCGGCGATTCGTTGCCTTCGGGCAGGTCTGCAAGCCAACCACACAGCCTGGGCGCCGTAATGTGTGATTCAGAGCGTCCCTCGTGCGGAAGCGGGAAGAGCGCGACATGCCCTTCAGCCTGTGTCAACGGGTGCCGGGCCCAGCTCCGCCATCAGCCTATCGCGGTGCGATGCTGTCCTCCTGGCATCCTCCCAGCACCCCAGATTGGACAATCGATATGTTGCCGTCAACAGGACAGGCCCGGTCCCTGTGTGGCGGCCCGGTGGCCACCCACTGTGAGACTTTTCTTCTTGAGAAACCCGCGCGCATGTGGGCATGTGGGATGGGTATCGATAGGCCTTTGGCCCGCCGTATCGCGCCGCTGTTGGTGAGTGCAGGTGGCTGTCACACTCAATCACTCCGCGAGACCCAACTTCCCACCACGCCTCAGCGAATGGGAAACCTCCGGGGCGCGCGTCCCTCAAATCGCAGACCGTATCGGAGGCCGTGAGTGGGCGAGATGGCGAGACGCGACACGCCGGCCGCAAGTCAGCTCAGTCTCGTGCGTTGTGGGTGATCCTGCAGCAGTGGCGGCGTGGTGCGATCAACGAGACCTGCATCTCATGCAGGAACTGCTTTTCAAAGAGTCTCCCAAGAAGCGCGGCGTCCTCGGGGCACGCTGGTGATTTGCTCGGCCGGCGAGTCGTCTCTGCTTCATGTGGGGAACGATGTCATGGGCGACCGCTTCAATCAACCGCATGGATGGTGAGACGCAGCGGCGATGACTTTATGGTGGGGGAGAGACAGTTGTGAGTGGTCATTTGTTTCCTGTCGACCGTGGTTCAACTCCTCGAGACATGGAGCGAGTGTTTCAATTTCTCGTCGCCGTGAAGCACTCAGCACACTGCACCGCAGACATGGGAGGCTGGAAAAGGCGGGCCGGTATCGATACGGCGTCGAGGCCTCGTGCTGACGGCCGCGATAAATCAATCACTGAAAACGGGTCCGGTGTGGCACCACAACGTCGCTGCTTGTGCATGTCGCCTCGCACCGTGCTGGGTGCCTGTTACGTGCCCATGCAGGCGGACATAACTCTCCCGCGTTGCTATTTTGGGGGAGTGGCGATGACCACCAGCTGCATTGCGTTCTGAGACCAGCTAACAAGTTCGTTTCGGGACTGGCCTCTCGCTGCCCTAAGCCGTGGCCTCTGGAGGACACGATTCATAAACTGAAGAGCACAGGCGCGCCATCAATGCACGTCGGCGTCACGGGCCTCTGCGTTACGCCCACACATCCTATCCCCCTGGCGGACAAGTGTTCCAGAAGAACGTCGAGTGTTTCTGCTCGCCATTGTCGGTCTCCGCGCTGTTCTCGAATAGAGCCAATAGAAGTCGTAGGAATGCCCCACATCTGCACAAGCTGGAGTCAGTCCACAAAATCTGCTGGCCAGCTAATGCAGGAACATATGCAGGTACACAGAGAACCAGTGTTTCGTCCTACGCGAGCGGACAGGACTTGTTAACGCTGAAGAGCATCGCGAGACGCCTCTGGCAGCACCTCCGGCTCTGCCAATTCTACCACCACGCTCGACCGGCCTGGCCTCTTTGTCTTGCGACTCAAGTAAACAGGCGATCACGGAAGGCTACCCCCCTGCATTCCGCCTTAGTGTTGCGCCTAGCGTAGCATGCTAGACAGTCAGCGCCGGGGAAGTGTGTCGTGGACCGTGGCTTCCGCTAGACCTGCTTCGTCACCCTTTTTCCTCCGTCAGATCGCTGGGAGATTATAGAAGCCCTCCGATCTTCCACCAGCTCTTCGAAGACTGGGACAATCAACTTCCGGCAGGCCGCGGCCGACTTGACATCTCCACATTGTTGGCGTCCACCACGCTCGACGCATACCTTGACTCGGCCAACAAGTGGTGATATATTCGGGGGAGACGCACACCGCATGCAGTTCGTCTTGCTAGTGTGGAAAGAGCACCAGAGAGCTTCGAGTGGTGGATCGACAGGTCAGTTCACCACCGCCTGATTTCTGCTTCTCAGCCTTGTGAGAAACCCGTCTGAAGGATGATGAAACCCGGCTCCGCGCGATCCTCAAGGTTTTTCTTTACCGACTGCGACGCCGGCAGGATACGCGGCGACTTTGCCTCTTCAGAGCGTCGAGCATAATCTCTTGCAAACTTCGCTTGGTGGACTTGCCCCCATCCTGGAAGCTAGCTGGGTAATCCGCTCGAATAGGAAGCTCAGGGTTCCACAAGCCCTGGACATCCACGTCCTCGCGGTCAAGGGTCCAGGAACTTGTGGAGCTGCATCCCAGCCCCTGGTCTAGAAGGAGATTTCGATTCATGCCATGTGGAGACAATTCTCCCGAGGGTAGGTATCTCGGGTCATGACATTCTTATCAGGTCCCGCCGTTAGCCTTTCTTCCCCACATCATCTCAAATCTTGGGCCTTCCGCATGCCGTTCAAGAGCCGATGATGTGTAGTCGAGCCCACCTTGTGCCTGGCCCGTTAGCCCCAAAGTCTGTCATTCCACGTCATGGCCTCTCCGATCCGAGGTTTGGTACACCAAGACGGCACCATCCGTTGACGGAGTGAACTGTCATTGATCGCTAGCCTTTACCCGCGCGCTGCGTTGTTCCTATTTACAGAAAGGCGTCGACTTCAGATCCTTTGGCGTTAGCAGCGTCGACGAAGCGATTTTCCATACCTACCTTTGTAGGCTTGCCTGGAACGTTTCAACCGCGACTCGAAAATTCGGGAGCTGCATGACCGAAATAGAAGCGCTGGGGAAACCGGGGAGCCGTTCGCTGGGTTGAACATCTGCCTAATTGGGCCAATAGAACCAAGGCATTGCCTGTATGTCGCATATTGGTGACACTATAATCAGGATTTCGACCGAGAATTGCGTTCGTTCGGGTCTGTGAACAGGGAAGAATCCCGAAGTGTACAAGAAACTGTTTGTGTGATATGTGGCGGCGGCATGGACAGATAGCCGCAAGGCTGTGGTTGATACTCTGGGGTCTTTGAAAATGTCGACATTGCCTGCAGGTTGCGTACGTGTAGCGATGTGATATCGTACCCAGCTAGTGGAACTGAGCAGACGGATCTACTCAACGAAGACGCGTGAAATGCGCTCAGATGTTGGCTTAAGAGGATGGTGCGATGGCTCAGAGAATGCGGACATATCATGTTGGGCCGACTAGATGAGTGCGTCGAAGTCTGACGCTTAAGCAATCGTGCTAATAATAATATGCTATGTATCTGAGTTTGATTGACATGAAGTTCTATTCCACGGTGAAGGATATGGCTTCAAACGAAAAAAGAGGGGCTGAATGACATGGAAAACTATTTCGTGGAAAAGTAGACATATAATCGCGGCGAATAGACGTAGAAAGACTGATCGAGGTTCAGGCAATGACAGAAGAGCCTTTCCAAAAGTTCAGCAAACCATCCCGCATGCTTTTCTGGCTGCCAGCAGTTGAGAGAGAGTAAGGAAATCGCCCACAGCAACAGGAAATACGGGCCTCAGAAAGTGTCAGTTGAGATCAGCCCTAGCATTTGCCAAGTCATCCTCTTCCTATTTTATTGTCGACGCTTACGCATCGCTTCATCATGGGCCTTGAGGAGGAAGAAGGTCTGCCTGCGACGTGAAAATCTTCAAGCGATTGTGTGCTGACTCAGCTTGGACCCTGACAATTTCTGGCTAATAGGAGGCTGTGAGATGACTACGCTCCATGAGGGCAGCACATGTTCAAATCCGTAAATCTTATACGTATGTATTCACAGCTAAACCCTAGAGCTGAGCATTCCACGCTCCAGCCAATGCAAATCGGCCTGGTTGAGATCATTGGAAAAGCCCACCAAAGCTCCCACTGGGTAGAAGAAAGGCTCGCGTAGAACGTCAGTCCGTTCGCAATAGACTCTAAAAGCTTCACAAGAATTAGGCAAAGCCGTTCATACTTGTCATAATCCCCTTGGGCCTCAGGCCCTGATTTAAATAACTTGAAGAACTATTTTGTAAAGTTCATATGTAGGGAGTAGCCTACGGCTGTCCAAGTATGTAGGTTTCATGAACCTGAATAAGCTTATTAAGTGCAGGGTCACTGTCACTGGTAGTCGATTTAGACTTCCTGGTCAGCTAGAACTTTAGTACAGTATAGTATGCAGCGCAGCCTTGGAAGGGCTTGAATGTTTTCAAGAGGTTGTCATGAGCCTCGTGAGGTTGTCGTAAGTATCTATGAGCCATCTAAGCTGCCAATGAGACCCGCCGTGCATGCCAAATCAAGTGAACACCAGAGCCCACGCAAGGTTTTCCGTCAGCATTAGAAGATGACTGCCACACCGCTTGACAGCTGTGACTACGCATCATCGCCGATTATCTCCAGCTTGCCCATATCTCTCTTCTCCCCAGACTCGCCGATTATGCGAACCCTATCCAGCCGTACCTTCTCACCCTCGCCGTCCCCGTCGACTACGAAGATGACCAAAGATGTCACGTTCTGGAACTTGACAAAGCGAAGCTCAACCTTTGCTGTCCCGGTTTTCTCGTCCCAGTCGCTCGGCTTCAGGGTTATTGACTGTGTGGAAGGGATGTCTTCCGCTTCCTCGAAGCCCAGATTGTGTGCGCGGTTCGAATATATGTGGATCGTCTTGGGTCGCATCGGCACCTCGTCGTCCTCGTCCTCATCCTCGGATTTCGGTGGTAGTGAGGTCAGGTGGATTGTATGGACCTTCAGCATCGACTGGAACGGGATATACAGCATCAGCTGCTCGTCGACGTCGCTCTCCACCCAGTCTGACTTTGTTTCGGCTCCACTAGCCTTTCCCTTTCCTTTCCCGCTGCCTATCGAAGACGGTATGCTGGCGTCGAAGAGTGCTCGTACTCCGCCTAGTTCGCTGTCCGAGTTGAGTAGGTCCAGCCCTCTGGTATCGACCTGGTCGGAGACATCGTGATATCCGCGCGGTAGATCGGCACCGCGCCAGGTCCCGCTCGTGCTGGAGCTTGCTTCTCCGAACCCTCCCGAGTTGCCATCAGAGTCTGCCTCATTCGCCAGCATCTGCACCGCTGTGGACAGCTCTTTGGCACGAGCACCGCGGATCTTCTGGACTTCGCGACCATTCTTGAAGATCATGAAGGTTGGCATGCTAGAAACAAAAATAGGGTAAGCCACTGTCTCACGAGCAAGAATGTGGCGGGGGTGGCCTCACGCGGTGATGCCATAGCTCTGCGCAATCTGCGTCTGGGTGTCGGTGTTGACCTTGGTGAAGGTAACGATGTTCGGTCTCGAAAGCTGGGCGGAAAGCTGCTCATAGACCGGGGCTATGGCCTTGCATGGCCCACACCAGTCGGCGTAGACTGCACGAGAGACGGTCAGTATTTCGCTGGAGGGGCGCGCGGGGGCTTTGCGGCACTCACAGTCTACGACGACAACGCGGGACGAGGACAACAGCGAGTTGAACTGCGCAGGCGACTCGATATGTACGGTTTTCGACATGGTTGGGGCTGGCTTCTGGTGTTGCGCAAACGGGGATGGAGAGTTGGGGTCGTGGTTCCCGCTGCCGATTATTGATGGCGGGGGCGCCTTGCGGAGGAATGCCCTGCAGATGTGGCTTTGGTTCCGGCCTGGAAGGGTTCTGCGATCCAGACGCGAATCAAGCAGAGGCGCTAGGAGAGGGTTGAAGCCGTGAGTAGGGGTTGGAAGCTTCTAGAACGAGATGAGGAAGCAGTGGTAGAGGTGTGTTGGATGTTGCCTGGCTGACGAGGACAACAGCGACTCCAAGCAAAGGCATCACCGCTCAAGAATATTCCTAGCTGCAACAGTGCAGTCGGCCACCAAAACCCTCGCTCTCGAAGCTTGCGCAGTGAACCATATCGTGTTCGTGCAGCTCCGTCGTCTCCGTCAGCCTCGTCCAGGTGAGTTTATAGACCACCGCAGCCTCAACCCTCCGCGCCTGCGGGGTCCTTTCTCGTCTTTCCCACACCTCCCAATGGCAAACTTGACTGGCCTCCGATTGACAGACACCGAGAACCAGCTGCTGGGGGCGCTATTCTACTTCTACGCCTCCCTTCACTCTATCGAAGCCTGCCAGAGCGTTTACCAAAGGCACGCTCCCGGCTGCAATCGCGCCCGAGCCCTCGTCTTCGCCAACACCGCAGTAGCCCTCTTCTCCACCTACAAGGTCGCGGGCTCGTTATGGCGTCTCATCTTATGATCTTAAGCCCGTCTGCGAGAACGGCCAAGATTCCCACCACGCCAGGCAAATACTTGACCGAAGTGCGGAACGAGGCGTGCAACAAGTTCAATCTAAAGCCGGACCTATACACTCTTAAGTACGTGAACCTACATTATGCTCTTGCGAAGCTTAGGGTATTGACACTCTGCCAGGTTCAATAATAAGCCCGTAACACTCTCTCAACAAATACGGCTAGCAAATCTACCTGGAGGCGCTCGCCTGGACCTCGTACAAGCTTCCCGATCCCCGGCTCCCATATCTGTAGCTCTCCAGCTGCCAGAATCCGAGAAGAACGTCCGCTTGACGCAGAAATTCCCCAACAATGACTCGCTGTGGAAAATACTACGACAATTCGAAAGTGGATCTGACGCGAACCACAACTTCACTCAACGCGGCGTACCCGAAATGAACGGTATTCCGGGATCGGGCTCCGGAAGGCTGAACCACGAAACACCTGTCATAACTGTGATGCCGGGTCATCGCGAGCTGTCAACCTTTGTGGAACTTCAACAAACACTGAGCCAGCTTGGATTCGATAGCGGAACAGCGCTATTACGACTGAACTTCAAGAATAGCGGAACCCCACTCGAAGAAGCTATGACCGAGATCACAGAGTACTTCAAGACCGCTGAAGAACCCTCCGCGAGTACGCCTACCGCCAGTGGTTCTACTGCTGAGGCGACAGGATTACCTCCATCAGTTCCAGCTCCACAGGAGAAGGAACCTGAAGTAGCCGACAGCACTCCTGCTACTGACGTCCAAAATGTGGCACCAGAGCCAATGGAGGTAGATCAAACAGCAGCAACAACTGGGCCCGATGAAGCCACTTCGCAAGCAGAACCCAATCCCGCCACATCACCAAGCAGTGAACCGCTTCAACCAAGCCCATCTACCGAAATCAAGATCTTTGCTCCGCCTAGTAGCTCGACCCCGCAAGCCGCACTGCGAGCATACAACGAAGCCGACTATATTCCAACAATAGAACACGCCAAAGCACACCAAGCATCTCTACAAAACCGCGGCAAGAACTCCCGCCTACTATCAGATAAAGAGCTTGCAGAGCAAGACGCTATTCGGAAACAGAAATCTGAGGCCCAGAAAGGCGTCACATTCCGGATCCGTCTGCCAGATGAGAGTCAGGTCATGATGACTTTCTCCAACTCCGACACTGCAAGCAAACTGTACGAATCTGTACGGAATCTCCTGGTGCACCCGACACAGCCGTTCCACCTACGATACATAGGGCCTAAAGGAGCGCCGCTCGCTATGAAAAACGGGCCACAGCGTCTGGTTCAGGATCTCCGATTCTCGGGTCGAGAGATACTGACCTTCCTCTGGGACGACAACGCAAGCAGTGAAGCACGAGCGTCGAAGAATGTCCTCAAGCAGGAATGGCAGCAGAAAGCTCAAGTTCTGCGTGTCGAAGAACCCGAGATAGATAATCGACAGGAGGAGAAGCCCTCGACGAACATTCTCGGTATGAGGAAGACTGGAGGCGGCAGTACTAGCAATGCGGACAAGGAGAGCAAGCTGAAGAGCATATTCAGCAAGGGTTTCTACAAGAAATGAGGTAGAGTAAGAAAGCCATGGCTGCTTGCTTGGGGGAGCTATCATGAGATACGATGGGCGTCTCATAGCTGCATAGATGGTACAATTGGCGTTGGAGGGTATTAGTGTTTGTGCAGTACTGGTAGGCTAGTCTGTCTACACTTATTCAACACCTTCTGAGGTGCTTCAATACATGTTCATTTTCCAGACGATGTGTGAGCTTGGTCGAAGCTAATTTCGAGTGTCGTGATCCTTTCCTGGTCTCTACTGATCCTAGCATGACTGAGGAGAGCCAATACCTAGATTTGACCATAGCATCTACCTGTTCATAATCAATACCGACTTTCTAAGTGCAAGATGAGTGACTGTTTTTGATTAGCATTAATCGTTACAGGTCGGGTCTCCGATATCTTCATTGGAAGTTGTGAGCTCGACTCTGTACTGTGAATTTACGTTACTCGATGATTGTGGCTAGACGATGTCTGATAGATGCTCGACTGGCATTCAGTCCCTGTCCATTCGATATTCGAGAGGCGATGCTTGATTATTCTTTTGCTCATTATTCACTCAACGTAGCATGCCAGAAGAGGCTAATTCCCATACTGCATTATCATTTCAGACCTTCACTTCTCAATCAGTGACGAATCATTGAGAATTTCCAGCCAAATATGGTGTTGAAGTGAAACATGGTCACATTGAGGGTATGATAAGGTCCTGGCTACAGCACTGTCCAGATCCCACGGGCTTTCTTTGAATTTTTGAGGACTTCCCTCTAGTGTATTGAATTCATGATCAATCCACCAAGTTGTAAGAGACATCGCAACCATACGCCAGCCATCGCTTAGTGACCCGCCCGCCTTGCCTCCGCAATGATGTTGGTCATCTCCTCAACCTTCGCCTTCGCGCGTCCGAAAGTCCCGAGCTAGAATAAAATCCGTCAGTATGCTCTCCGAAGTATGTGTGATGTGGGGGTTCGTATGTGATGTCGAGGAAGATTGGGGAAGGCGGTTCGAAGGAGTAGGATGGCGGTATGCGTACCCTCTTCTTGGCCAGCTTGCGGGCACGCTTGTCCTTGCTGTTGCGGATCAACTCAATAACTCGGCGCTCGCTAGAATCGATCAGTGGTGTCCGTGGTAAGGTTGGTAATACCGGTCGCAACTCACTATGGTGCAAGTCTGTCGAAAAGAAAGTTAGCTAATGTTCAATCACCGATTCATCCTACTGTGATGGATATTGTCCAGAGAATCAAACGTACCCGGCAACCTCGCGGACGACATCCTTCACGAACAGTGTGCGCTTGCTCTGGAAACCCTTTCGGTATGATGGCTTCGTCTTGGGCTGGCGGGGGGTGACAGCATGTCCCGAGTTGAGGCCAACTGCGATGAAATTAGAAAAGCCGGCGTTGACGTTGAGATATGAGGTGTCTTACCTGCGATCCCGCTCTTTGGCTTGAGGTTCTTTGGCATTTTGGCGGTTGTCGCTGGGGTTTCGTTGCGATCTGAGGAGAGTCGTCGCAGTGAGGTTTTCGAAATGGACCGTGGCGCACAGACCAGCTCGGATAATCATTTCGCCTTGGTAGACTCACGTGACACTTACACCCACCAACTTGATGGCCCTCTTTCCGAGTACTGTGTAGTCCCATCGAACGAAAAGATCACGGGGCTTTTACGGGGCTTCATCATTAATTATGTTGTATTGAAGCCCCACTTATCTAGCGAGGCAGTGTTCGTTTTACGTATCTACAGACCATGCCGTCCAACTGTTGAACCTCCGTCGCGCAAATGCAAGATATCGTGGAATGCCTCAATGCCGCCGGAACACCAGAAATGAGCACGCCAATCGACAGCGCATACTACAGGTTTTATACAAAGGAAAAGAGAGGCAGTAATCTAGAAATTCCGGGACGGGACAGCGGGCTCTACAGGCTTGGTGGTACCTGGTGCATAGCCGTTGGCCCCGTTGGTATAGCCATTGGCACCATTGGTATAGCCATTCATGCCTCCATCGCCGGCGCCGTTCTGATATAACCTTCCAGTGGCAGAATCCCCTTGCTCCAATGCGACGTCCATCTCGGTCTCGTGGCTTTGGTGATGCTTGGTTCGGACGGCTGGCATAAAGTCGATGAAGAAGCTCAGCACAAAGAAGAAGTAGATGAGCGCAATGATCCACTCCAATACGGCGGCCACGTTGCGGTGGCCATTTTTGGAAGTGACACCGAAGGCTGGGAACGATCAGTAACTATGCGATTACTTACAACACATTTACTCACCAACTGCCAAAGCAATCTCGATGAGGATGAATGCCAGCTTCAGCCAAAACGAAATGCGCAGGACCCTGTGCTCGCGGAAATGGATTCCTAGCCGCTGATACTCGGCGCAAATGAAGATCGCGGAGACGATGTATCCACCTCTGTGTAACTATTTAGCTTTATTCCTCCCAGTTTCTCTAAGCGAACTTACATGAACAAGCATAGGAAGGCATCGTGGAGATGAGGGTGTCGCAGGGTATCAAAGATGGAGAGTAGGATCAGACCCACGGCGCCAACGATCGCTGCAATGATCGAGAGGATAGATAGTATTTTTTGGAACAACGAAGTGTTGTGGGTCAAGCGACCAGTGTGCCGCAGCCATCTCTCGAGGATAAAGGTGAGATCAAGCGTGACGACCGTGACGGTAGACATTGCGATGAAGAGAGGTTTCAGTCCTTGCGCCCCGACATCTTGACACACGTCAGTTGAAGTTACTGGTGATTCCAAGGAGTTTCATACCGGAAATATAACTGTCGTCTGTTAGTTTTCCACCATCATCAATAATTCGCGTGTAGGAATACTCACGCGATGTGTTGGCCTGCTTCCATTGAGGCATAGCGCGGCGAGCCTTCCGTTATCCAAGTTATCAGCATTGCTAATAACATGGCTAACCAGACGAACGCGCTGAATATCGGCACGATCCAATATGAAATTCCCCACATGATGGGCAGTCGATAGGGATGAAGGGGAGATGTATCGTAGGGGGCAAACAAGGCGCGACGAGTGTCCTGGTGAACCTGCAACGAGCCACGAGGGTGATGCGCTGTCAATTAAAGATGAATGAAGAAAAGGACTCGAGGGTCGATAGGGGAGGACCCGCGGTACTTCTACTTCCAAGGACGGCGCGATGGCGTCTGGGAAGGGTGAAAGCAGAAAATGCCATGTTGACGTCAGGGCCGCCAGGGCGCTACGTTGCCGGTGCTTCCGGAGGTTTTCACGCGCTATCTCCGTGGTGCCTCCTCTTCGCTGTACCACTCGACCTTTTTTCTAGCTTGGTCATGGTGCGCATACTGCGAGCTCCCAGCCTTTGGCTATCGTAAGCGTGCTGAAGTGGTGGAGTCCTTCGATCAAAGGCCGTAAGCAATGAACTCTCCGCCACAACCTTATTTAACGCCTTACCCGGACGATCATCGTCAGCATCGCGAACACCCTTTCGTCGCTCAGACACGAAACCAAGTATCAATTAATTCATATACAGTGATGCTTCCTTTTAGGATCGATTTCTATATGTACAGGCTTTCACCAAATACATAATGATCTAGGACACGTGCTTCTTAGTCTAGGCCGTATAGGGACTGACTTGTCTTATTCAACTCATAGAGAAAGCAGGAGAGTAATTGCCTTCAAGCAATCCAATGCTTGCTTCACCAATCAATCGATTTTCCTTAAACTCTATACTGGCTCTCCAAATCGAATCATCGAAGGTCGAGTTACAAAGAGGCACAGTTTGTTGCGAATAAAATCCTTGCGTAGAAGTGGGCAGAGTGCGGCGTAGCAAACAGACTACACCTGTTCTGGCCTCCGGATTTTTCACATAAAGCGACCGCGATAAGCCTCTGAGAATTCACCTGCTATTGCGAGGCGTACTTCATTGCTTCACAAAATCCGCAGGATAACCACTCGCTGAGCCACCTCATACCTACAGCGCGGCCTACCACTGGAACGAGGCAATCACCTACCCGGCACCTTTTTCATAATTCACAACGGCCCAGCAATACCTCTATTACTTCGACTTCGGCTTCGATTTGATCCTCTCTTACGTTAAAAATGGCTTCTACGTTTCCCACATTGCCTCAAGAGATGGTCAATAGTATCACTCCGTATCCAGCTCAGACTAATCTCTCCAACCTATCGAAGACCTACAAAGCCATCCGAATCGTGACACTCGAGGCTCTTTTCAAGAAAATTACGATGACCTGGAAAGGCGATAGCAAAGAGTATCCTAAAGAGCACAAAGGTCATATGCTTGAATCGCCGTGCATCAATCTCCTCCGGACCATGATCGAGACACCAAAGTTGGTAACCTACATCTCCATTGTCAGCTTGCGAGCAGAAGGCTTTCGGCGCCATGGAAGCTTTCTTTTCGGTCCGAGCCTGCCCTCGCCCTTGAAGCCCCAGAGTGAAACGTTCCTAGCAACTCTACGAGAGACGGGAATGCCAAAACGAGAAGACATGGAAGCGGGGCTAAAAGCCAATTCTCTCGATGCTATCATTGCTTTATTTCTTGTGAAATGCCCGAATCTAACAACTCTCACAATAGCGCAAGACTTGCTAAGACATAATCATCATATCGGAGGTGTTTTATCACATGCTCTCTCCGCTCAACCAACTACGAAAACGACCAAGCTGGAACACCTCAAATCGCTGAATTTAGGAGCTGATCCCGAGACAGAAAAACAGCACATAGGCTTTTACATCGAAGACCTGGGGAGTTCCCTTGACATGCGACTATATCTTCCCTTTTTCCACTTGCCCACACTTGAGGAAGCCGAGATGAACCTCCCAGCTGAATGGAACCAAAACGAAGAACAAGACAAGTCACTAGCGATAATGCCGGGGAACGCGCCTTCGCTGAAAAATTGCGGTTACCCCAAACAGGTGCTTCACCTTTGGTACTACGAAAAGTCCTGGCTTCTACACCGAATCTTGTATCCCTGGATTACAACGTTTGGTTTCCCTGTACGCACAACTTTAATGGTCCTGCGCTCACATCCAGCCTCGAACTAGTAAAGGTCACCCTCACCCATCTCAAAATCAGTTTTGAGTGCTACACGTACGCGGGTTCCGATGCCACGGAGAACTCGATTTACTATCTATCGTTTGCTCACAACTGCTCATTGAAAGGTCTCTCAGCTCTGAGGGACGTTGAAATTTCCCCTTGCGTCCTACTTGGTTGGTCGCCCGGCCCACTCACCTAACATCTCCGACGTCTTGCCTCCCGGCTTGGTCACTATTTGCTTCCGGGACGACTGCTGCTTCTATGAAACATACGAGTGGCATGAACTGGAACTGATGCAGTCTCTTACCGCTTTCATCGAGAACGAGAAATGGAGAGAGACAGCCCCAAACTTACAGAACGTCAACCTTTCGCTGTTTGAGCTTGACTTTTGTCAGTTCGAAGGAGAAGGGCAGTGGCTACCAAAAGCGGGAGTGAAGGAGTTGAAGGATTTGTGCTGTCGGAATGGGCTGGACTGTCGGGATATTCGGCCAGAATTTGGTAACATTGAAAGCCAGTACAATGCTGAAACGGTGGTAAGGAGATGGTATCCCAGTGCAGAGCTAGTGTCGTCCGACGCCTAGCAGTAGTCGAAACGATATCCTTTCCAGATTATTGGCAATGCATTGCAGTCTACTCCTACCTCATGGCGACAGCGTGACCTGCGGCATGTTCGCTTTGACTTAGGCTTCTCCACTCGGTTTCTAAATCCAGGGTGGACAAACGTCTTGCTTCAAGAAAGAGTATCTTGTGGACATAGCCGTATCAAATAGCAATGTCAGCCAAAACCTACAATGCCTTGTCATTGAATACTGTACGCTCATTTACCGCTGCGTGAGGAGCCTCATAGTATTTTCAGCATTATGAATAAGAGAGAGGTTCGGTATCTTGGACAGCTAGTAATTTCATGAGGCTACCTCAGACAGTGCCAACAGGGTGTACGCAGATTGGAAGTGGATCCGCCCCCCCCTGTCTCTATTAGTACGTTGAAGCTCCACAGACAGCGGCAGGAAAGTGTACGGATATCTACGGCAAGGCACTGTAGTCTGAAGCAAATAGGCAAGGGAGGTGATGTGAGAAGAGTAAGAGAGTTCATTAGACCCAATCTAATTACAAGCTGCTATTCATACGGGCGTTCACCACGCTAGTTAGCTACGAACTTGAACGTCGGGACCTCGATCCCTTTAGTCTTCAGCCCAACCTTGACGTCCTCGTACACCTCCTCAGGACTCCGCGTGGCCATGACTTTGACCACCCTTCCCTCCTTCTCGAAGGCATCTACCACAGGCATACTCGTTTCGACGAATGTCTTGAAGCGCTTCTTGATGCTCTCGGCGTTGTCATCCGCACGACCGGATGTCTTGCCGCGGTTTATGAGACGCTCTTCCATGACGTCCTCTGGGCAGTCGAAGAAGAGGGTGAACTTGGAGGGAACAACCGTCTTCTCGAAGTGTAGAGCTTGGTCCATTTTGCGAGGGAATCCTGGATGACGACTTCGTTAGCTACTAGGTCTTGAGTATACATGTGATTATATGACAGAATCGATATCTTATAGAAAGAAGGAGAAGACACACCATCGATCAAGAACATCTTCTTGCCCTCCTTCTCAATCGCCGCGCCCATGGCATTCTCCAGCAGCTGAATCGTCACCTCCATGGGCACGATGGTGCCCTCCTTGATGTACGACTTGATCATATCGCCAAACTCGCTGCCAGGTCTGTCCTGCTCCTCTCGCAGCAAGTCACCCGCGGAGAGATGCTTGAAGCCATAGTCCTGGACCAACTTCGCACACTGGGTCCCTTTTCCAGCACCAGGACCGCCGAGGACGAATATAACAGTGGCTTGCTCCGGGGTATAGAGGGGGTTCGTGCGCTTGGCGGCGGCTAGCTGATCAATAGCAGGCATCTCGACTGTGCAACACTGGGCTTTTCGAGTGTTTAGTGGTGCTTCTTTCTAAGGTCTGCTCGGACTATGAAGGAGCTTGCTTGTATCGACTTGGCCTTCTCTTTGCTTCACGATCTGGGAAAAGGCGAAGGTCCCAAGGCCGAATATGGCTACAAATGGCCAGACTTTGAGCGGTGACTGCTGGCGGTGAGGTCGAGGGGGCGGTGGCTGGGGTCTGCCGGCAGGTGGTGGGCTGGAGCTCGATGCGTCTTTGGCGTCTTTTTCGAACGAGGCGCGAGTCGTGGAGAAACTGTTCAGCTGTGAAGGAGAAAGACGTATGTATTTACTCCTAGATAGGGAATTGGGTCGCAAGAAAGTCAGACTGGTGGTCACAGCGGTCGAGGAGCGAAGAGGAAGCATGGTGTTGAGATAATGACGGAGCGACGATGCTGCAGAGGTGTCTGTTTGCGCTAGCGACCACGAGGCATGGACAGTGCGCGTGGACGTTTTGTCTTAAACAGCAAACACGCGTGAACACTTCTTCACCACTTCGACTGCAAGTTCTCGAAGGACAAGGCTGTAAGTGCGAACTAGGCTGATGAGACGTATCTTAGCTTCACACCAATCAGAGGGCATGTCACTAAAGGCACTATTGACCAACTTGAAGAACTTCGGATCTAACAAGAATCTAACAACAGCTTAGGATTTCTAATAAGGGAGACTTACCTGCGTCGATCGGTCTGCGTACACTCGTCTGCTGGCGTCTGAAGGACCTCGACATACTTTCAGAACTCCGTAAGAAGAATCCGCTGAGCGTTTTGAACAGTCTCTAACCTCGCCAGGTCCCTCCGACGGCGTCATTTGAAGCTGTGAGTGTGAAGCTAAGGTTGGCATCTCATCATCTTTTATAAATCTACCAAGTACAATAGTATCTCAATCAAGCCATCTTTGTCATCATTCTCACATCTCCAGGCTCCATCACGTCTGCGAACCTCAGTTCCGGGAACCTCACCTCTAGCAGCAAGATCCTCTAATCCCTTCATGATGGCAACCCCAAAGAAAAAGCGCACCGGCTTCCTTGACCTCCCCGGGGAGCTCCGAAACCAGAGTTACTACTACTGCTTCCACCCAGGCAACGATCTGTCCCTCGCAACCGCGAAGACGCAACTCCGCCCCAAGCCCATCAAAAGCATCAAACTATGCGTGACCTCAACCCTTGGAAGCAAAGACCGCATCTTCCGCACCCACTGCGATCAGGAGACCTTAGACTCTGATGACCACACTCTCAACGGCACGACGAAAGCGCGCGGCCAAACCCTCACCCAGTCCCGCCTAATGGGCAAGTACTTCCGGATCCACGGCACTCACACCAATTGGAAGACGTCCGTCCACGCCCTACTCCTCGTCAACAAGCAGATCCACACCGAGATCATCCCGCTCTTCTACGCCGCAACAACCATCCGCACCGCCTCCCCGACTCGCCTATCAAACTTCTTCACCAACACCCCGCCCGGCGCCGCCGCCTGGGTGCGCAAGCTAGAACTCACATACACCACCTACGGCAACGCCCACCGCGCCGACCTCGCGCACTTCAGAGCCAAGCACGTCGCCAGATGGACCGAACTATGCCGGCAGGCCGCGAAGCTGATGCTAGGATTGGAGTCGCTGCGCGTGTGGGTGCACGTCACAGCGTCGCCGCTACACCTCGACCTACGGCAAGACTGGGTGGCGCCGCTGCTGCAATTCAGGCGGCTTACCACACCACCGAATGCTGCTAGAAAGAATGAAGCTGGAGGCCATGGCACGCAGAACCCGCTACTCACGCATATCAAGGTTGAGCTGAGCTCGGCATTCACGCATCCGTTCAAGTGGGCGCATCCAGGGCCCGAGACGGCGTGTTTCGAGCTGCATCGGCTGTTTGGGGAGGCGATTGGCAGGGCGATGCGGGGGTGGAGCGAGAGGGATGCGATGGCGGAGTGGGATGAGGCATGGGAGGAGACGTATGCTGAATGGCAGCATTTCCTGAAGTTTAAGGTGATGTATTAGGCCGGGTTGCTGTAGACACTTCGAGGGTTGTATGGTACTGAGGGTGCTGTCTGGGACAGGATTAATGAAAATCACACTTTGCACGACTTCTTCCTGACGTGATACTGTTTTCTAAGAGTGTTCTAACTCACCACGTGCATGCTATGCCTCGTCATAGAGGTCCGTACACTCGTTTACCACTGTGTGAGGAGCTTCATAGTGTTTTCAGCACTCCGGATGAGAGAGAAGTTCAGCATTTTAGACAACCAGTAAACTCGTAAGGCTACCCCAGACAGCGTCAACAGGGTGTACGCAGATGGGACGTTGTATCAGCTACCCCAGCTCCTGTTAGTACGTTGGAGCCCCACAAACAGCGGTAGGAAAGTGTACGAATATCTATGGCAAATCACTGTAGAACAAGCCCCACTCACTGATAAAGCGCAAAATTCCATTTCTCTGAGTGACATACAAGCCCGCTGAACCAAACCACAAAACAAGAAGATCAGGCGCGCACGCACCCAGAACCTCCGCAGAAAGCACGGCAGTGCAGGGAATCGGGGGGGTGGGGAGGAGGGGATTGGTACAAGAATGACTCCATTACTACAAGCCGTGACTGAATGCAGTGAAAGACCTATGAAAAGGAAAAAAAAGAACCCAGAGCTCCAGTTTCGCCGAGGACGTAAAAGCTACAACAACTTCCGGGGGATGCCCGAAAGTTCCCCTTCCAACCAGACCAGCTAGCAACGAGTGCATGTCCAGCTGAGCATCTGTAGATGCACTCCTGCTACCCTCTCTCTCTCTCTCCAATGTGATTCTACTAGCCATTGCACCCCTGATCTCTCTCTTCATTCTTAATGCTTGGTAGCGACAACTGCGTAATTGCGTTAGGAGTGGGACTGTAGAAGGAGTCGGGGTTCCTTACCTGAGGGTACAATGATGACTATGAGAAGGATGATGATGCCCACGATGAGGCACATGCGCATCTTCATGTCCTTCCACCACATCTGCTTGCGGACCCGGTTGGCGCCGCGTCGGAAGCCCTGGGCGGACACGGCGAGGTTGTCGGTCTTGTCCTGTAGCGAGTCTAGGTGGGCGCCGCGCTCGGAGACCTTGTTGATGTTGTCTCGCATGATTCCGACGGTGCTGTCGATTTCCTAAAGAACAGATGTCAGCGGCTTGGCATTTCGATGAGCTGACCATGAAGACGCCTGAAAACAAGGTAGAATGGGTGGCAGAGGGCGTGATTGAGGGTTGAGCATCTTCGCGACTCTGGTACGATGCCTGGTGTCTTGCGAAAGGCGATACTGCGGGCATGCAACAAATCTCGCCCACGAGCGCATCCGTCACCTCCACCCGCAACGGCCCCTATCCGTCAAGAATCCCGCTCCGCTGATTTCTCGAGCTGAATGGCAGGACCTAGGGCGGACGTGGCCGCGCGGGCGGTGTTGACGAATGCGACCGTGGAAGCGGCGGTCGCAGCCGCAGGATGTTGCGAGACTCGCCAGTATCGCCCCGCCCAGCCAACCCGGATACAGTTTTGCAGGACTGAGTGTGCCGACAGACAAGGAGGAGGACCTACCGCTTGGAGGGCAGCTGTGCGATGGTTGCCATTCTGATTTGCGCCACCGGCCTGGGGGTTGGCGCCTCCAGATGGGATGTACGGGTCGTAGGGTTGCTCACGGTCGGCCATGGCTGCTGGTGTGGTTTACGGGATGCGCGGGGTGAGGAGGCGAGATGGATGGATGGTGGATGCGAGGCTGTGATGGCGGACGATGAAGGCGTGGGTTGCAGAATGTGAGGTGGTTGATGATGAGGAAGTGGTGAGCTCTCGGCCCTGGACGATTTGGCGAGCGAAACCTGTCTGGTCGCAGGCTGGTGTGAGCTGAGGCTGAATGTGAATGTGGTCTCCACACCAAACTGCTGCGGGAATGCGAACGGTCTTAGACAGCGGATGTGTGTATTTGTGTTTGCAGAAGAGAGGCAGTTTCGGTGGAACAGCTTACTATCTACCTAGGCACGTTGAGTATTTGAGCGCGTCACGTGCCTAACGGGGCAGTGTCGGGGGTCAGGTCTTGGAGCTGCGTCAGCGTTTGTGAGAACGAGCACACGAGATGCGCCGTGGCAACACAGCAACAAAGCCAGCGCTGGCCGGAGCTGGCGGCGCCTTGGTCGCCGTGTCTGCTGCTATTCTCGGCGCCCTCGTTGGTCTGCTGGCCACGCGCCACGGCCGGCTTTCGATGGCACGCTGAAGCAATGCTGAGACGCCCAATGCAGCACTGAAGCAGCAACAAAGCTCTGCGAGCCCGCTGCAACCTCCCGTAACAAAACGCTCCATCCGACGACGGCCAGCACAGCCCCACGGTTGAATACGCGCTTTCTCGTGCTCAGTCAGCGGAACCTTGCCGCTTGCGAGCACCTCGACGCCAATGCTCGGCCAATGCTCGTACTGATATTGTATCACGGCGGGCCCCTTGGCAGCTTGGCGCAGCATTCTGCAACCCTCCCCCTGGATCACCACTTCCAAACCACGCTCATTCTTCTCCACGCTCTCTCAACTGACGATAGACCTCCTCGACTTTCCCAGCCGTCCCCTACAACCACCACCATCGCGTCTGCGCCGTCGACAGGACCTCTCACGCCGCTTCCACTCGCTACCATTCGCCTGCGTACCCTGCCCATTCCCGCTCAGGGTCCAGCATCTATCCTTTGTTGTATTTCGATTCGGCTTTGGGTACGAAATCCGACGCTTCTGCTCGGTACTCGCCCACCAGTGCGCGTTGACAGCGCCTGCGAACTCGACAAAGAACTGCCAGCTTTAGATTTGGGGACAGGTGCCTCATATCTTGTAATAGCATAATGAAGCCCACCAACGTGGCGGGGGCCCTAGGCGCCTTGATACTCTCTGCGTCAAGTGTGCAAGCAATCGATCTGGATGTCACATCGATGGGTGAGCTTCCTCGTGCACATGCCTCCCGCGGGGAACATGGTACTGACACACTCCAGATTCCGTCAAGAAGGCTGCTGCCACAATTGCGAAGGGAATGACAAGCTATTATACCGGCTACAGGCCTGGAGACGTGCCAGGAAATCTTCCTCAACCGTACTACTGGTGGGAAGCAGGAGCCATGTTCGGATCGTTGGTGGACTACTGGTATTACACGGGAGACGATCAATATAACAACATTACTACACAAGCCCTGCAGTTCCAGGTGGGGCCGAACGACGACTACATGCCGCCGAATCAGACCAAGACGGAGGGTAACGACGATCAATCTTTCTGGGCCATGGCAGCAATGTCTGCTGCAGAAGTAAAGTTCCCGAATCCTCCTGCGGACAAGCCGCAATGGCTCGCTTTAGCACAGGCCGTTTTCAACCTACAAGCCAACCGCTGGGACAATAGCACCTGCAACGGTGGTCTGCGATGGCAGATCTTCACCTTCAACAATGGTTACAATTACAAGAACACCATCTCGAACGGCTGCTTTTTCAATGTCGCGGCCCGGCTTGGAAAATACACTAAAAATCAGACCTATGTCGATTGGGCAGAACGGATGTGGGACTGGGTGGAGGGGGTTGGTCTCATGAATGATCAATACCATTTCTTCGACGGCTCAGACGACACCATCAACTGCACACAAGTGAATCACATCCAATGGACATACAACGCCGGTGTCTTCATGCTTGGCGCGGCTACCATGTGGAATATTGTACGTTCTTCTTTCTCTCCGACATACTGACGATCCTAACAAGTCACAGACTGGCGACGACAAGTGGAAGACCCGAACCGCCGGTATCATCAACGGCACCGATGTTTTCTTCTCCACTGTGGTTCCGAACGTCATGACTGAAGTAGCCTGCGAGGCGAACGGCAAATGCGACGTCGATCAAAAGTCGTTCAAGGCCTACCTCGCTCGCTGGATGGCTGCCACCACCAAGGTTGCGCCATGGACGCACGACCTGATCATGCCCAAACTCACGGCCTCGGCACAGGCTGCGGCCAAACAGTGCAGCGGCGGCACTGACGGAGTAACGTGCGGCCAGAAGTGGACCACCAACGGCGTCTGGGACGGTAGCTTCGGCGTCGGCGAGCAAATGTCCGCGCTGGAGGTTGTCCAATCCCTCCTGATCGACCAAGTCGCCGGGCCCGTGAGTAACGAGACCGGCGGCATTAGCAAAGGAAACCCGAACGCAGGGTCGCACAGTGAGGACAACCCCTTGAAGGCGGATCCCATCCAGACAGGCGACAAGGTCGGCGCTGGCTTCCTCACTACCCTCGTCCTCATCGCCATCCTCGGCGGCGCGTGGTGGATGGTGGCGTAAAGGAGTGATCTTTCTTGAACTGCACAGTATCGGTGTTTTGGCGTTGGTGTTGATGTCATTTCTCTCTCCTACGTTCATAGTACCTGAAATCCTAGACCGGGGATATTCAAAACCTATCAATGAAAGTAATCCTGACGCTTGCGTTGGCCTTGAAAAAGATACCACCGCTTCATGTCGCTTCTCAACTTGTGATTCATTATGCTGCTCTCTACTTCTACGGCCAGCAAAGTGTCAAAAATACAGCAAAGCGTTAGGAACGTTCCGGCGCCAAAGATCGAACTTGGTCTTATGCCCAGGTACCCTTTTCAGGGTCTGACAGATAATATGATAGCCAACTACAGCCCACCGGATTGAAAGATTGACGAGGGGAGCCGGGATAACGGCATCATAATGCCTTCCATCAAAAGACCAACCTACCAAAACGGAAACATAAAAAAGAGCCGAACAAAATTGGCATAACGCTTGCCATGGGTCGATTGGCGCTTCAAAAAGTAAATAATGTATCTTGCACTCTCGCCCTACGACCAGCAAAATGAGGTAAAAAAAAATGAAAGCATTGCTGACGTCCGGCGCCAAGGGTCGAACTTGGGTCTTTGGGCTTGGAAATACCCAGTATGCTTACCAACTACACCACACCGGATTTCGAATGAGTGCCGATCTCGCTGGAACCGCAATTTAATGGCTTACCCTGGAAACAACAAGGCAAGGAGAAACGCAGTCACGAGAGCTGCTCGCGCGACGTTACAGTTAGCATCACGGGTCGAATGACGCTTCAGAGAATAAAGTCTATTGGACGCTGTGGCTACTGGCTTTGGAGCTTGGAGCAACTACAAACAGACCAAGAAGCGGTGAGGTGCAGCCAATTACACCACATCGATGTTTATGATCTTGATGTCCTCCTCCGGCTTCTCCTTGTACACCCTCGTATTCTCGATCTTGTGCACGACGTCCAGCCCCTGAATCGCTCGTCCGAAGATCGTGTGCTTGTCGTCAAGCCAGGGCTATAGTAGTTCGTTAGCGCGGTTGATAGAGTTGAACGAGGCTGAAACTTACAGCCTTCTCGGTCGTGATGAAGAACTGACTCCCGTTCGTATTCCTCCCCGCATTCGCCATACTAACAGTGTACGGCTTATCATGCCGCAGCGTCGAAAACTCATCCTCGAACTCCTTGCCCCAAATGCTCTCGCCGCCGGTCCCATCGCCCATAGGGTCGCCCGTCTGGATCATGAACTTGCGGATCACGCGGTGGAAGATGATGTTGTTGTAGTAGCCGTTCTTAGCGTGTGTGACAAAGTTCTCGACGGCTTTGGGCGCGGCTTCGGGGAAGAGGCGGATGTGGATGTCGCCGTAGGTGGTATGGATGATGGCGGAGGTGCCTGTTGCGGCGAGTTTAGTTTCGGCTTGCTGCTTGGCGTTGATGTTGCGGGGTTTCTCGTTTTGGACGTCGCGCTCGGATTTTGACGCGCTGGGATGATGGTTAGTGGGATCTTCTGAAAGACTATAGGGGCAAAGGGGCTTACTTTGGATCGTTCGTGAACATGTAGAAGCGGACTTTGCCGGAGCCTGTGGAGACAAGCATGGCGTCACGCGCTTCGGCCTCCTGAAGCAACGGGTTGTCACTAGCTGCCATGGCGACAGTGACAAGCCCCTTTTTCTCTGGTTGGCCTTGGTAAAGGGCCAGGTTCAGGGCCCTGAATGGTTCGTCTTTCCCATACACCTTTACCACCCTGTTAGTGAGTGTGTTGAGGACTTTTGTTCCGAGAATCGAGCCATAGAGGATGAAATGACCAGTCTCATCAAAGATGACATTGATGCGACTCCGGACGGCAGCGGTGTCCAGCTCTTTCTCAATTGCCAGTTTGCGGTTGAATTCGGCGTCTTCGAGGGTTTGGATTGCAGTTCCGGCTTGCTGCATCTCGCTAATGGTCTCGATTGACTCGTCATAGGTTCGATATAGCTTGCCAGAGGCAAAGTCGAATATTCGAATTTTTCGATCAGGGAAAGACATAGTTGCGAATTGGTGTCCCGTTGGTGACATTGTGATTGATGAAGGCACGGATTTTGACTAGAAGGAGTTAAATCCACGAACCATGAAACGTGGGCGTCGTATCTTACCTTCTTAAAATCGAATAGATTGGTAGAGCTCTTGATCTCGAATACGTTATCCGGTTTCTCATAGGTCCCGCTTGCCCTCCAATATTCGACCATTCCTCCCTCATCTGCAGACACCACGCAGTCATACTCGTTGTTGTAGGCCATGAGATGCACCGGCCTCCGATGCAAGCTTTTCACAATGTGCAGCGGCTCCTGGTTTTCGCCTCGTCCGTCATATATTCGTATCCATGAGCTCTCCTCATCCGAAACCGCTAGCTGTGGGAACGAAGCTCCGCGCCCGTGTACCCAGCACACACACTTCGGCGCATACTCTAGCGTCAACATAGCCAATAGATCAAACGTAACCACGTCAAAGATCTTGATCGTCTTGTCCGCACCCGCTGTGGCAAAGCTCCGCCCGTCTGCGCTCACGTTCACGCTTCTGATCTCGCCATTATGAGCACGGAACTCCTTTATGAACTCGATTCCGCCGAGATCCTTCTTCCAGAACTTTACGACACCGTCGACAGAAGAGGTAATTAGAAAGTCGGTATGTGGGGTGAAGACCGTGAATGATAACTGGTCTCTGTGCATCAAAGATTTGACATAGCGACCTGCGGTGGGGAGAGCGGCGACGTAGAGCTTTTCGTAGGGAAGCTTGCGGCGTTTCTTCTTCGGGGCTGTGGAGGGAAGCGCGGGGCCGAAGTCGTCGTCGTCTGAGGAGGTATCTTGAAAGCATTTGTGAGCGTGAGATGTAAAGTTAACTCGAGTAAGCATACCATCGTCTTCGTTAGCGGGAGGATTCACAGGTTTTGCGTCGTCTACTTCCATCTCTGAGCGCGACCGCTTCGTGGAGCGCGGAGACATGAGGCCATCGGATGCCATAGTGTGAGGTGGAGTTTTACGTTGGAACTGTCAACCTTGAGGTAGCTACGGCGCAACTTGAGAAGTGCTTGAGTTGGGAGCAGAGGTCGAATCTTAAGAGGTGGGTTCGCCGCAAAATCTACACGTTCACGTGTAGTTCAGCGCAATGCCTTAGACTCTCGCTCTTAGTTCAGATATCTCAATCATATCCAAAAAGCTATAGTATGAAGTAATTGTTGAGCTTCGAGTGCATGTCGAGAAGTCAAATCACGACGGATAAACATTATTCCAGAGCCTTCTCTTGGCAATATATTTTCTCCAACCTTGAATCGACCTCGAACAACCAAAGTCCACTCCACCAATTTCCTAGCCCTCTCGGAGGTGGATAATCCACAATGAAACCACCAGCCAAGCGCCAGAAAACTGTGCCAGTGGCCGAAATCACTTTCGACTTCGCCGCACGCGAAGAATACCTCACTGGATTCCACAAACGCAAGCTTGCGCGGGCGAAGAATGCACAGGAAGAAGCTGCGAAGAAGGCCAAGGAAGAGAAAGTTGAAGCTAGGCGAATGGTAAATAATATTTCTGCTTTTGCCGCGATCTGAGGATTCCTGGCGTTGAACTGCGGGAAAAAGATCAGCTTCTTTTAGAAATGCATAGACAACTACTAACTCGTGCGTTCAGATACGGCAACAGCGAAAGGAGGACCTAGAACGACATGTGAACGAAGTCAATGCCCTACTGAAAAAAGCGAGCGCCGATCTGAACGGAGGTGGGGAAGAGACGGACGATGACGAAGACGAAGACGAGTGGGAAGGGATCGCCGAAGAGCTACCGCCACCAATAGATCGGGAAGAGGAATACATTGACGAGGACAAGTACACAACAGTCACGGTTGAAAGTGTGGATATAAGCAAGAGTGGATTCAGCAAGCCGGAGGAGGATGGTGGCACACAGGAGGGTGGAGATGCGGCTTCGAAAGAACCAAACAGCAAGAAGCGTGTATGGACCAAAGACAACCCACACAAGGACAAGCCCAAGAAGAGAAAGGTCAAGTTCCGGTACGAGACGAAGTCAGAGCGGAAGGTCACCAGGTTCAAAGAACGGTCAAAGAACAGATCCCAGGCAAAGGCTCGTCGAGATTAGTCTATCGAATACCCAATCATAGTGTGATTTCTGCTATCATGAAACATAACTGTGCTTGCTCAAAGGCCTCCAAAGAGCAACAAAAGAGCCACCGCCCTCGGAAGGGAATGCTTGGTATTGACAGACGTGACAATTCTACCAACAGGGCATTATAGGGCTCAGCCTGCAATCAAACCCTAGCAGGAAGACAGTACCACACGAACAATAGGAGATGTAAGTCCCCCCGCAATCCACGCCCAATTCCTTGCTCGCCATCAACATCGCACCAAGAGAAAGGGGACTAGATGTTGCCGATCTCGGCGACGAAGTCCGCCAACTCCTTCTTTGTATTCTCGTGTGCCTTGGACAGCTCCTCGTACTTGGTTTCCCATTGATCTCGGGATGCCTCCAGAGCCTGCACCTTGCGTTCGTAGTGTCCGGACTTGACGTCGGTTTGGCGCAGCCTACGCACACAGTTAGCATAATTGTCCTGTGGAGATAAAGGTACACAGCCATGGGAGAGACGGCATACTTCTCGTTGAGTTCTCGGATGTTTCGGTCGGCTTCTTCAGCCTCTTCCTCGAGCAACTGTACTTTCCGTTGTAAGCCCTCAGCGTTCCTTCCTGAGTGCGAGCTCTCATCGGCGATGCCCTTGTACTCCTTGATCTTGGTCTCGAGCTTTTCGACCTCTTCTTCAAGTACCTGATTCTTGTGTGATAGCGAGGTAATCTCTTGTTCCTTGGCGAGATTCTCGGATTCGAGTGTCTTGACTCTGGCCTTGAACTCTTCGGCCTGTGCGGCAGAGGAGTCTGCCTCGACGCGGAGAGCCGCCATGCGCTAAAGCATTCACATGTTAGCGATATGGTTCTGTAGAACTACTCTCATCGGTGCTAGAGTGTCTTGTACGACGGTCAAAGGACGCGAACAGGAGATGTGCATGTCGGCGGGACAGCGCATAATATGGTGAGAGGGGCACGGCAACACTTACCGCTTTGATTTGATCCATGGCAGCTGCTTTGGTGGGTTGTAGGTTTCTTTGAATTGTGCAGGACTGTGCGTAGATGGGTAGGTGAGATGCTATAGGAAGCAGAGGAGTGTGTTGTAGGGGGCGTAGAGCGAGTCGGTGTTGACTGCGTGGCTGCTGAAGCAGATAATGGAGGGGGCCGTGCAGGGGTCCACCGCACCTTCCACCTGCGCCAAGCCGTCTCTCCCCGGCAACGAGGTCGCGAGTGAATTTATACACAAACAACACCACGACCACAACTCCTGACGATCGTTGACGCCCTCCCAACCGCACACCACCAATGTCAACCAGCGAACATGGAGTTCGCCGCTGCAAGTGATCAGGAAAACCTGGTGCACGGATTCCAGACCGCAGCCGCTGCCAAACCGCTAAACCAGGGCCTGAAGGGCTATGGTGCAAAGACTCCCGGAAACAAAGCGCCCAAGACTCCGTTCAAGATCCCGCTCAACGATGAGAATGCGCCGTTCAGAGCCGGGAAGTCTGTGTTGAAAACGAATGGCAAAGGCAACCAAGACTTCTTAGGAGGCGGGAAAGGGGGAGACCTGGACAAAAATGCCTTCATTACGCCAGCAGGTGAGCTGCTATCATTCATCTGTGAGAGGGAAATATCTAAATGAGTATGCAGGTCCCCGGACTCGAGCTCCCTTGGGCATGAAAACCACCAATGCGAAGACCAAAGCTTTTCAAACGCCAGCTGCTCTTACCGATTCTGCAAAGACCCAAAAGAAGACAAGCCCACGCCTTCGACGTCCAAAGGTCAAAGTCCACCAGGCAGAAGCTGCCAAAGATGAACCGGCGGAAAAAGAGCGGGAGATTGAGTACATGCCTCCGAAGTGCATTCGTAGGTTTCCTTCCTCAAATACACCGACCTACTGGCTAATCTGTTCTAGCCCTCCCAGATGACCCGGAAGGCTGGCCAGCCGATATGGAGTTCCCTATGTTCAAGGGTTCAAACTTCACACGCGGCATGGAGTCCACATACTTCAACCCGGTTGGCGACGATGGTCTGACGCGCTCCGAACGTGAAGACCTTGCGGAGAAAGCCAAGTCTGACAAACGGGACGAGGAGATTATGCAGAAGGCAATGGATGACGATCTTGCAGCAGTCCAGGCCTCAATTGCTGAAGGTCTGCTCAAACAAAAGAAGAATCCTGAGCCGGCAGTCCGCAAGCCATTGGCGTCAAAACCGCCGTCAACCGTGAACTCCAGGACTGCTGCTGCGGCACTCTCCCCAAAGCCCAAATCACACTTTGCAGCTCCGACTGCAGCCACGAAGGCGCGTGTTCCTTCTAAACTCAACATGTTGTCAAGCAAGAAGACAACCCCGACTCTCAATCCATCAGCTGCTCGTCATGCCGCAGCAACTACCGCATCACGAAGCACGATTGGGTATGCTCACTGGCGGAGCACATCTACGTCCCTCCGAAAGCCGCTTACGAATATCACCAAGAACGTTTCTTCCACTACCACCAAGCCTGCTTCTACCAGCACTTTTACCAAGCCCTCTGCACACGAGCGTACAGTCAGCACTCCTGCTGGGTCTGTATCGCGCTCCTTGTCCCGCTCTAGCTCTGGCACTACAGTTACCGCTGCCCGATTCGCAAAGGAGAATTTCAGCTATGAAGCTGAGGAGGAATTGATGCGGGAGATGCAGTTCAAGAACCTCGAAGAAGACGATGAGGATGACGTTGATGGATGGCTGAACTCATTTGCTCCTGCAGGTGGACTCGGAGAGGAGGATAAGTTTGAGAACTTCCAACTGACTGTCGGAGAGTTGTGATTGGTGAGGGTCTCTATCCTGGCGAAGACGAACAATGATACTACAGTCATTTGAACAGTCTTGGCGTTATTGGAGACCATCCGGGGACCTTGGAATAGTCCGCTTATTAGGTACTTGGAGTTCTGTCTTTGGTATGCCTCTTTTCTGTACTGCGTTACTACCAGGACTTCATCCCTGTGTTTCGTCAGACGAGGCAGTGTTATTTGCACAGCAACGGTTACTGCATCGGGTAGTAATAATACAGAGATGTTCATGATTATACTCGTCCATTTGGTGGCCCCTTTTCCGCTCCCAGTTCGTAACCAAATCCCTTCCACATTTCTTTTCATCACGCAGCAAAAGCATAACTCCCCAACATCGCATACACAGTCCACGCCCCAACCTCTACATCCCCTTCCTTTTCTAGCAACGCCGCCACCGTCCCACCAATCCGAATCCCGAAATGGACGTCCATCCATCTCATCTGCTTCGCTATCCAGCTTCTCACACCCGGCGGCGAGTACCGCGACTGCGCGGCTACGAATAGGGGGAAAATAAGAGTATACGCACTCATTTTCTGCGACGGACAATGTGTGTGCGGGCTCCCGTCTTGAGCGGGAATGCCGGTGCCAGGCGGCCAAGGCGGGTTCTGGGATTCGGGGAGGAGGTGTGATGCAGCATGGGCACAGTCAATGTATTGAGGGGCGGCGGCACATATATCAAAAACAATCGTTTGGATGACCTCGATAGCTTGGTCCGCCAGGGGCGACGAGGCGGAGCAGTGGGCGAGTATCAGCTCGTTGAGGAGGATGCGGGTGAAGCGGGTGACGTTCCATGTCTGAGTGATGTGGCGGTCTAGATAGGGGAAGTAGGTCCGGTTGTAGATGTGGGGGGAGGACTGTGGCGCGAGGGCGGTTGTGTACTGCCAAGATGGCGGCATGGTGGCTCTAATGGCGGCGTATTTGGCATCCAGTTCAAGTGTACGGGCGATGATTTTGTCAGAGGGGATCGCTCCGGTACGGATGTCGCCTCGAAGGTTAGCGTACTGCACGCTTAGGTCTGTGACTCTCCATTTGGGGTCGTCGACGTTGAGGTGCGTGGAGGCGTGGTCGCGGAGCTCCTGAAGCTCGTCTGGGATTCTATGGTCGATGGCTATGCAGCTGATGAGGAGGTTTGTACTCAGCCGTACAAGAATCCTAACCGCTTCAGGCGTCTGAAACTTGTCGATGCCTCTTAGTCGGACAAGACCGAGGGCACCGTCGATATGGCTGGTCCATGAGTTACTTCCTCGATGTCTAGTATTCGTCATCTTCTCGAAGAGATCCAGGAGAAGCGCAGAGACGAGGATAGTGACGTCGTTGGATGCAGAGTTCTTATTCTGCAATGCTTTATTCGTCATACGCAGGGCCGAGGCGTATTTCTCACGCGCTGGTACTAAGGCAGCCTCATCTGCACACCCCCCAAGCGATACGAAAGCCAGGCTAACGCAGTCTATACTCATCGATAAATGGAGGGGCGCATACGTGGGGTGATAGAAGGGTCTTAGGAAGCTCCATGTTGTGGAGAAGCCGTTCACGTAGAACCTGAAGAACATGTCCCGTGCTTGGGCCTCTAATGACAGCGGGAGAGCCCGGATCCGTGAGGGAATGGGACTAGGCGTAACCTTTTGGAGGGCCTTCATTCGCACCACTTGGCTTTCGTTCCTGATCTGTATCTGCCGCGTATCTCGATACCCGTGGCACTTAGCTAGTGCTCTATTACACTGCCCGCAGGACGGTATGCGCAGATCGCACTATGCGAAATTCATCATCAAGCTGAGATGTCCGGCTTTAGAGAAGCTTACTCTTAATTTGCGTTCTCTACACCGTTGACACGCCTTAGATGGTCTGCCACAGAACACCATGGTATCCTATCTTGGACAAGGACAGACAGAGGAGGCAACTGTTGTAGGGCTAATCGGGTTACATGTACGTTGTTATGTATTTAGCGACGAGACAGAGCCAAACCGAGACAATGCCACTGGATAGGAGCATCTATGCATAGTGCTGGTAATAACGTAGGAATCATCGGACATGAAGGTTGAGTTGTGACAAAGCCGGGTTTGCTCCCATTTGATAGATATGGGCTAGGTTAGATCAAAGAGCTACAAGGGGCGCGGGCCAAGTGCATATTCCGGTTACGTAAGCATCTCACCCAAATCTTAGAAGTTGCTTCGCACCACCCAGTATCGGTTAATAAATTTGTTTTCTTCGATAATTATCACTAAGAGACACAGACAGATACATCTACCCACTTGGATCGTAATCGATGGTTGTAGTTGTTGTAGTTGTTGTGGTATAGCTCCTCCAATGTACCAAAAACTGGTGGTTTTGATGTTCCTCGCCTCGCGGAGCTGGAATATGCACTTGGCCGCGCCCCTTGTAAGTTCTTTGATAAAACTTCTCAGGCTAGACCAAACTTAGTATGCAGATTGCGATTTAGCGCATGCCCGGAAATAGCTTCAATCAACGTCAAGCATCGAGCTTGTACGATCGTTTTGTACGAACTTTGCAGGGAGGCAAGCTGCTACGTGGCCTTATTGTTACTAGATACTAAACCCTACGCTATACCTGGAACAGCGGACCATTTCGACGGTGATGTAAAATCCACAGAAGGAAATGCGGTCGCCTCGGCATAATCGATTGGAAAACGTGCTCTTATTGCCGTAGTTAAGGCGGACTTATCTCCTAACTCAGGGCCTCGTCTATGATGCATTGAACGTGGAACGGAGTTAAAGGGAGGCAGAAATCCATATGGTGATGTATATATGTAGTAGAGGAATTTCTACACTCTAAAGACTCAGAAAAGCTCTACCTATAAAACAACACTACTCCCCCAATTTCTTCCTCCTTTCAAGAAGTTATCCTTTTCAAGCAACTCAACAATGTCATTCCCATACAAGCACGTCCTCATGATCGGCGCCACCGCAGGCATCGGCAAAGCAATGGCAAATCGGTTGATCCAAGAAGGTGTCAAAGTTACAGCAGTTGGACGACGAGAAGGCAGACTGGACGAGTTCGTGACTAGTCATGGCGCGAAAAAGGCATCGGCGGAGCAATTCGACATAGCAGATTCCAACGAAATACCTACATTTGCCGTTAAGTACGTTCCCTTCCTTCCGACGATGTTTCCGTTGAGTGCCCTGTTTCGAAGACTTTGGCTAATATAAACTCGCAGTGTCACTAAGAGATATCCAGACATCGACTGCGTCTTCCTGAACGCCGGCACCCAGGCCGCTATCAACCTCTCTGACCCTGCCAAATGGGATCTAAACGCCTTCCAGAGGGACGTCTCCGTCAATTTCGTCAGCTTCGTCAACCTAACACACGCCTTTTTGCCGTTTCTCTTGAGCAAGGGTTCTACAACAGGCCTGATATAGTAAGTTTCCTGCGGCTTCATTAGCTCATGGCAGACCTCTAGCTCAAGCCTATCACGAGAGAGCATCGTTGACGCATTCGCTAGCACCACTTCCCATCTCGCATACATCCCAGCAGCAGGTCTCTCCGGCTACTCAGCGTCAAAAGCCGCGCTGAACTCCTTCATCCTTTGCTTGCGAGATCAGCTCCGCAACTCGAGCGTTAAAGTTGTCGAGTTGTCACCACCGGTGGTCCAGAGTAAGTCAATTCTTGCATCTCTACCTTGCGTTCTTTCTGAGGTTATCTCACTATGAGCCCTAATACTGCTATTTCCTATAAATCATCCCTGTACACCCCATTTACTTGAAAAGCCTCACAGCTAACACTCATAGCTGAACTCCACGACTACATGGGCGCCCGTGGTCGTGAGATGGGCATGCCGGTCGCAGACTTCACGGATGCTGCGTTTGCGGGACTCGCGTCTGGAAACGACGAGATCTTTATTGGCGACCTTAGTGTTGTTTCGGCGGAGAGGTTGGGCCGGATCGTCAATGAGCGCCGGAGCGCGTTTAACGATCTGTCGAAGATGCTAAGAGGGGGCAAGGATTGAGGATAGGATTGGGGCTATGTAGCGGTTTGATGGAATAGATGAAATCGAAGAATTGTCACATTCAAAGAGCTTTCTCTGCAAGTGAGTAAGAAAAGTTTGCATTGATCAGCTACCTTTCCGCGCATGTTCGCGCAAGCCAAACCCGTTCATGCCGCTGCACCAGCGCAGAAAGCCGGAAACCCAAAAATTTCAATCTCATGAGGTTCTTAAGGAACACAGCCCTGTCCCGTTGTGGTTCCGGAAACTTGTCATGACTCCCGCAATGCAGTGCAGAAGAAAAGCCACAAGATCTCCCAGAGCTTCAAGCGCTCGAGACCGTTCCAACCTCCTGCTTGTCACTACCACTAGAACCTTCTCCGGCTCCACCTGCGGCATTCTTCGGGTTCTCGGGGGCGACGTGCCACTACATCCATAATTAGTCTTATTAATCTCCCTAGAAATGAACAGCAGTCTATTTGTACCATCTCGAAGAGCTTCTTGCGCTGCTCGCCAGTAGTGAGATGGGCGAGCGCTGGACGATGAGCATTGACTAAGTAAAGCAAGCGAGGTCAGCTCATATCATTAGAGTGATCAGAAGGACGGTAACTTACGGAACTGATGCATCAGGACCGTTGCCTTGACCTTCCCATCCTTCGTAAACCCAGGAGGAGCCCTCTCTTTGATGTCGACATCGGGACGCGCACTATCAAGCTTGGAGATGACACCGCCTCGTTTGGTCGCTGGCGTGGGAACAGCAGCCTTGCGCTTGGTCGTCGTAGCCTTGGTCACGCCTTTTGGGCGTCCCGGGCCTTTATTGAGCGCTTTGGGAGGGCGGCCACGGGGCTTCGCAGTAGGAGCAGGAACTTCCTCAGATTCTGATATGGCGGTGTTAGCGGAGGAATCAAAACAGTGAGTAGAAGCGTTTGCGAATCTAAAGATCTTGGATGAATGGCCTTTTTTGGAGCTGGGTACTAAAATCGATTGGCATAAAATTGGTTACGTACCGGCGGCTTTTGCTTTCGGAGGGCGGCCACGGGGCTTCGCGGTAGAAGCAAGAGCTTCCTCGGGTTCTGATATGGCGGTGTCAGTGGAGGAATTAAAACAGTGAGTAGAAGCGTTTTAGATGTTGAAGATCTCGGATGAATGGCTATTTTTGGGGCTGGGTAATGGTGTCGGTTGGCCATAGAGGCGTAGATAATTGTTTACGTACCAGCAGCTTTTGCCTTCGGGATGGCCACGGTGGCGCTTGAGGATTTACGGACGGCTGCAATTTTGCTCAGTATGAATTTTTCTCTAGCGCAGCTTGCATCTATTGCGTCAGAGGACAGAGAACTTACTTTTAGCCATGGTGTTTCCAATTGTTGATCATAGATGTTGACGGGTTCCGCTATAAGTTTATGGAGGAGCTTCTGCGAAAATAGAGCGAATCAGCAGAAATTATGGGACAATCCGGCCTGACAGCTGGATGAGCGATAGAAGTTGGAGCCAGTGATTGTGGCAGAAAGCTGAGTGTAAAAGGTGAGGAGAAGTTGAGGTGGTCGCGGTTCGGAGCGGGTAAATAATGACCTATGTGAACGCCAAGATTTTATAATACTACTTTCGACAAGGCACCAATTTTTAAGTCTCTTTGAGAAGCGAAGATGATGATGCTTCTCGGGCTTTCGAGCTTTTGGGGAGATTTTATTATCTTTCTGGAGTTTTTGCAGAAGCGGTAGCGATAGAGCTGTTGGCGGAAAAACAGCACGTAGAGATCACAAGGCTATTGGACGAGACACTTTCATTGAAGAAATATACAGACTACCACGAAATGAGAATGATCGGTAGGCTGCAGAAATGAGTTCGAACCCTTTTAATTGCCTCCAAGATCTTCGCCGGCGACCCATCAATCGAATAACACTCCATCCATGATTCTATGCACAACGCTCGAAATGGCAACTCATACTATTTCGATGCTATTCCTCTTAGTGAGACTTTCAGTGCAGCCTTGTACGCATCTTTCGCTGCCTCCACATAGCTTGTATAGTCGTCGAATGTGTTTAGCTTTTGCAGAGCTGCACCGGAGGATCCATATTGCACCTGGGCCCTCAGCGACCGATCGCCAATGCGGATAACTTCTTTCAGGCTCTCGTTTAGAAAGCCTCCTATTAACTTGTAGATGGATTCCGCACAACTCGACAGTTGCGCGATTTTCTCCTTCTTGAGAACTTCCTTCGCCTTATGCGGGGCCTTCTGCTTGAGCACTCCCAGTATAACATCGCAAAGCTTCGTAACAGTTCGCAGTAGTTCAAGAGAGTAGTAGATGGTCTGGAGGCTTCTAGAAGTCGGGACAATCAAAGCGTCGGCTAGATCTGTGTTTTCTCCATGCGACCTGTATTCAAAGAATGTCTTTAGTGCCGGTTGAAGGACATTGTTGAGCCAATCGTGAATATTTTGAATCCCTTGTGGTATGGAGTCCTTGGATGCGTGTCCCAGCATGATCTGCCTGGCCACGGAGTGAATCGTCATCCAAATTGTGCATCCAAGCCTTTCAGTATCTGTCAAGCAAGCTTTCTCGATATCTTCTTCATCAAGCTTTTGCAATACCAGGCTCCTATATCCCGGATTCCGTAGTATGGAATTCTCCTCGTTCAGAACACTCCAGGTATCGTCGATAATTGTATGTCGTATAAACCAAGAGTAGTCCGGATAAGGGCCTCCTGACAAGAGGGAGTGGAAGGGGTGGGATAATGAGCTTTCGAAGCTAGGAATGATGCCGAAGTCACGGCTATCAACTAGTGACTTGATATTAGGCGCTACGATAGTTAGCGAATGCGTCTTATGCTACCTGCACATTTTCATGGTCATCAATTGGGGGGCTGAACATACCGAGAAAGCTCAGATCGGCCTCGTCACAGGGAACCCCTTTTAAGCGTGCCATTCTTCTCCGTTCCAGAACGCTGATGTGTTTGACGAGAGACAAGTCAAGTTTTCTCTTGAAGTCGACCAGCTCGAGGCCTTGGTCGAATTGGAAGGTTTGCATGTCTGCCTTGAGGAAGTCGTTGATGTTTCTAGAAGCTTTCCCATAGAACTGAAGTGCCGAAGCTAGGTTCGAGCTCGGATCCATAGTCTTTGGTTTCGAGATTCCGAGCGGGAATGTCAGTGAGACACGAGTCAGCCAGGTGTACGCCACCGTGTCGTATAGGAACTCCTTCGTTTTGACGTCTGAGATTAGGCCCAGGGCAATGTTTCCAAGTCCCAGCAACATGTGGATACGAATCGAAACCAACACGAGTTGCCGATTTTCATCAGCTTGGCTGCCTGCTGTCATGTCCTGAAGCAGAAATGCAGCTTGCAATAAGTAACGCGCATTATGCTGGGCTTGGGTCTTTTCCGAGGCTGTGACTACGCAATGGTGGAGCTTGACAAGGCTCATGACAGCTAACAGTCCAACGTCGTAGTTGCTACTGTGTTGAATATGAACTCCGAGTTTGTAGAGCTTGATACAGTTGCATACGAACGCTTCGAGAACAGTCTGATTGGAAGTCTCTGGTCGTGATATGTTGAGTAGGTAATCGAACTTGAGTGCATTGACTTCTGCCTGCAGCCAGAATGATTGTTTCTGAGACCGATATTAGCTTCGAAATTACAGATAAGAGTATGAAGTCTGATCAGAAAGTCAAGAGTGTGATTTAAGGGTGGATGTTACCTTGGGGCTGTCTTCTTCGCTGTTTGGTTTAATAGAGGCCGCGCCACTTCTGGCATGAGACAAGAAATTGTCTCTTGCATCTTGATCGAGTGGTTCGATGATATGACGGAGATCGTTAAAGCAGCAGTTGAACGCCGAATACTTGTCCCAGTACTTCTTGCATTGAAGGAGTAGCTTCTCTTTTGAGCTTCGCTTGGATCCGTACGTTAGGATGGCTAATCGTGCTTCCCTAGAAGATTGGGCCGGTTCTTCCGCCACTTTTTTGAATGTCTCATCTGCGAGAGCCTTGTCCCTGGAAGATTCAGCATGTTTGCGAAGTGGAACGGAATACAAAGATGGTGACGTACTCTTCGCTTTCGAAATGATCACTAGCTGCTAGCATTCCGGACCATATTCTCCAGTCAATGAATTTACTAGGATCCTCGGCCAATTTCGAAGTTGCGTCCCACAACTGCCTCCATAGTCCCTCTTCTTTCATGGTGTCCAGTCTCCATTTCAAGACCTCAAGGTGGTTTGCGGAGAGGATTGATTGGATGCCAGGAGGAGCTTTTTCAAGAAGCTCGAGGAATTCCTTTCCACGGTTTTGCCTTTGGAAGATTTGATACATCAGACGCAATTGCCTAGTGTCCGTGATTCTATCTACGGCACTCTGCTTCAGGTTAGTGGGTATGAGATAGTGATGCGGAAGGGTGTGGTGACGAACAGGTTTGCTTTCCACGTTGTCCCACGACGCTTTGAGAAACTTGTAAGCAACGCTGCTCGCAATCATTGCACCAGTCGCGTTGCCTAACAACTTCTCCTTTTCTGCCGAAAGCTGAGAGGCGACGATGTACGTGAAAAATGGTTTGGCGTTGGAAGGAGTCTCCTTTCGGTATTGTAGTAAGGCCTTGGGAGAAGTTAGTTTCACGGAATTCGACTAGTCAACGTCTGAACGAGTAGATCCAATTGAAAATTGATCGACTACATAAACGCCATTGATGAAGTTTCAAGATGCGTCGTAGAAAACGTCAATTCTTTGGTCGCATCCAAAACGATCTATGAGATTCGGAATTCTTACCCATCGGACGTCCTCCCAACAATCTTGCATCTTAGCAGCATTCACAGAGATATTGAATAACCTTGCCCGATCAGCTGACCTGTTCATCTGGTTGGCCGCATTCTGCCACAAAGTGCGAGACTCAGGCCCCGCAGTATTGGTCGTGTGGAGCCCTTCAGTGAGTCGAGGCGAAAGTGAATAGATGTATGGGAGTAGCTCAGGGTCCATGATTGCAGGTTTTCTCTTGCACAAATTTGCCCATATTGTCTGAGCGCCCTCGGGGTCGGTGATTGATGAGAGATCTACTTTCCATGCCTTCACAATTCTCTCATTAGTTGCTCTATACTAAATGGCATCACGATGACTGACTAGCAAGTAAGGATCCTGGGGGTGTTTTTGCAACCGTCTATTGCATTCTTTGAGCCCCAGTTTTGGCTTATCGTAGTTGCTCTGCAAGTGAGCCAGCTTATCGAAGTTGAGCGCCATGCTTAAAAGGAGCGGAATACGGCGAATGAATCAATAAAGGGAGTGTTAGTCAGCGTTTGGCTGCCATGTTATCCTGCGCACTTTCGAGGATTTTCTTGGTGGGAGGACGTGGCGTTGAGACCAGCTGCCTCGGCTCGGCCTTCCTTGATCGACGATAGGTGAGGCCCACGTAAGGTTACAACCTCGTCAATCGAAACGTTGCGTCCAGGGAACAGACAATCTATCGCTTTCACTTGAACTGCTTCCTCTTGCTCGGAAGATGCCTGAGACGACATTTGGTGGCACGTCATGGGCGGATCCGGAATATCTTTTATCCCGAGGTCCACCTCGAGTACTACCTCGATGCATCAACCGGATCTAAGCAACACGTTCATGCGTCATCGAGACATGTAGTGTCAGTTTGAATATGTCATTGCCCACCATATGGATTGAACTTTTATCGTCACACTCTGCCAATCGCGAGGAGTTGCAAATGTGACACGTCGTTAAGATTTCCGAGATACCGTCAAATTTTGAACATCTTGCTTTTCCCCCGCATCTAGCACGAGCTCGTTGATGCAGGGCCGACAGGGCTCAAGCCAGTTGATTTATGCCCAATAAATGTGGTGCAATGTTTCCCAGAGTGCCCGAGCTTGCAGGAAAAAGCGCATGCTCAGAGCACGTTCCAATGCAGTCATATGAAGTACATCGCTACTAATACAGCCGTGCGTAGATAGCCATCCCATGCCCGTTATAGTTGTACAATACGCTCCTATCATCCTAGCCTATCGGACTCAAAACCACTTCCCGTCTTTCTTCCTCGCTGCAGCTTTGTCCTTCATCTGTTGTAGGGTCAACACCAGTCCAGCATGCTTGTTCGGCTTGGGAAGGAAGTTCGAGATCCAATGGCACGGAGAGGCGACATACCCATTGCTTTTTGCAATCCCGATACGCTCTAGAGTAGAGAAGAAGATTAGCAGCTGAACAAACATGGGTAGGAAGGGGAGCTCAGGCTATCCTGGTCGCGACACCGGTGAATTTATCCGTTGCTAGTAATGGGTTCGGCAGGGTCCTTACTGGAAGAAGTCTGTACACATCTCCCTGTCCCCTTCGTTGCGGTACAGACACCTCAGACTCCGTTGCGCGGCCTCCTCACAAGGGTCGAAGTACTGGCTGAAGGGCTTGCTGTGGACCGGTCAGTCGAGCTGGAGCTTGGGCCAATTCGCAGCAGCATCGCGAGGGCATACTTTTCGTATCTGGAGGCAGCGGCCTCGGTCCAGGGTGTCTCAGGGTCGTCCTGCGATGGCATGATGCGCGTCGTTGATTTGGGAGACGGTCTGGCTCCGTAGTTGCCGTCGCTGCGTTGGTAGCTTTCTTAGGTGCGTCTTCTGCGCTAGGCGTTATCGATAGCAACCCGCCTCTCGCGTGGCTAGATTTCCGAGGTTAGCCCACCACTCAGCGGAGGGCCCTAAACGCAGATCCACAGTCCTCTGGGATCGCTTGGGACGACTGCGGAGCAGAGACTCGGATTGGGAACTGACACACGCAGCCGTTTGTTGTGTAACGCTGCACGCTGTGTACCTGGCAGCGAGCAGCAAGCAGCAGCAGCATCGAGTTCGAGCAAACAGTAAGCATCTCAATAATGGGAATGAGGTAATGGCATCGAGATTGCGCGCCGTTATCGGATGAGGCACGCGCTTTGCAACGGTTATCTACCAGCTCCGTACATATGATGATGCTCTTCCCCGCTGGTCTCGTCCCCGCCGGTGCGCCCTGGTCCGCCAGTAGAAGAGGCACCGGGGAGCACCATTCGGGCGACCATTAGTCTGCACTTCCCCAGGATGCTGCAGTGATGCCTTACCAGCCCCGACTGCCCTGGGCCCATGACTATTCTCGTTGCTGGAGATGCTGCAGCCGTCGCGGGCCATTATGCCAATTGCAAGTTGGCGTGGCAAGCGGGAACTAGCCCATTCGCCGCCGGGGATGCTGCATGCTCATCTCGATGGCACAGTGCAGCGGACCTGGACGCGTCGACAGCCTGTGAAGCTCTGCAGCACCACTCTTCAGCTTGGCGGCGCATGTGCAAGCGCAGAGGCGAGCCCGGAGGAGGCTGGATATCTCTGGAGCCCCCGGCTAGCGGCCCATCAGTCACTATCGCTGTGGCTGATAGTCGCGATGGTCGTTGTTAGCCATCCGAGACGACCGTTCTTGGGGCTTGCGCTTCCCCGTTTTCAGGCAACAAGTCCTCACGTTCCGGGGCGCTTTGAGCCTTCATCTCTCCGCCATGATACATTCATGTCATCGCAACTCTAGTCCTCCACACCTCGCGCTCGCCGCCTCCACTTTTGATGTACGTGTCTTTATCGTGTGTTCCCAGAGCCAATGCCCACTGCTGCTTCGGCTGCGAATGCGCTATTGCTTCCTTCCGACGTCAACGCGAGCCTGGTCACGAAGACAGCATGCCGTCACGGTTCCATCGCCTCCACATTGGCGGCCAACGTGTTGGGACCATCTCCTGTACGTTTTGACGAAAGTTCCAAGTCTGACACACTGGGGAACGTCTAGACTCGAAGGCATCGGTAGAGAGGCCGCGTCGGCTTCCTGGAGGAGAAATACTCTCCGTGGACCGCAGAGGCCCTACTGTACGGACAGCTCGCGATGACATTCCATGAATCTTCCGGATGGTCGATTGCGATCTTGATGTCTCATGGCGTTGGCTGGTCGATCCCGGGCGGCTGCGAGGATTCGGGTGGTGGACGATAAGATAAGGCCGTTTTGCCCGACTACGGTGGAGAAGGCGGCCTCGAAGCATTTTTCCACAGCAAGGTTACTATGTCAGCCAGTCAGAGTATTTGATTGAGGTGTGGAGGGGCTTGAACGAGGATTGCGCTGTCAATTTGGAACTTACACTGCTCACCTGGGCACGCGCCTGCTCAGCCGACTAAATCCGTTCCAGCGTGCAGAGTAGTCCATGATGCCGCGCTGCCCTGCGATCCGAAGATAGGAGAGCGGTAGGGGCAACACTATAAAGGAAGACCGTATGTCGCCTCCCCGCTGCCATTATATCTAGTTGTGACTGCAACAGAACCTTGGACGCTTGCGTTAGCATTTATACTCGCCTCCCTTCTGGTTTACTTACCTCATTGACCCACACATTGTAATTTCCATCTTTTATACAGCACCCCCGCTGTCGATACTCTTTATCCCACTGTAACATCAACCTCCTGAAAGGTACGCCAGCTGTTGGTGCTCCCATCTTTCAGCGTAGTGAACTTTGCTCCCCCAAGCCCTTGAGTTCCCCGACCCCCCCTTGAATTCACCATCTGCCCCTTATTCGGACTCCGCCGCTTTGCTTTACAATTCAATGCCTCGTGTGTTGATTGTGTGGACCAATCCGGCGTGGGTCAGGGCGAGTTCAACTACCAGTTCACCTGCTCCTGACATCTCTTGCCCTATAAATATCTCTTCCTTTTCCACCAATCTCCTAGTCTTCCCAACATCCATACCACCCACACACCACCAATAACATACACCCACAATCAGTCAACTCTGCACATCCACCATCTTTCTGCAATTGCAGCCCTTCTCTTTTCATCTTTTGTAAAAACGTCAATCGCCTTTCTGGGGCCTTCATTGTTCAACACTTCGTACGTCGTCCTAATGGCACTTCTTCCACAGAAGTAGTATAAACGCAAGAGTTACAAAATGGCTACTGTCGCCACACAGAGCATGGCTGCTGTTCCTATGCCCAAGTTCAGGCCCATCATCGAACATGTTACGACACCACAAACAGCAGCAGCCGCGGACTTCGATCCTAAGAAGCATCTCAACTTCTCTCCTCCTAGCGAGGTGGTGATGATGAAGGACCTCGGCTATGCCGATGATTGCGGTGTTTCTCCAGTCGCTGTCTCTCAGCCATTCCCTCTTTTCTCTCAAGAGGCCATCCGCCGCATGCGTTCGGAGATAATGAAGCCGGAGGTCTTGGATAAATGCACATACCGTAGCAACATTGCTGCCTCGCAGCTCAGGGGCTACGCACCCAAGTAAGTATCTACTCTGAAGTCAGTTCGAACTTGATAGTACTCTCAGCTAACACCATCGAAGGTACGCTCCCTTTACCTACGACGCCTGGAGCAACCCAGACACTCTTTCGATCATCTCGAAGATTGCTGGCGTTGACCTCGTCCCTCAGTTCGACTACGAGATCGGCCACATCAACTTCTCGGTGAAGAGCGACGAGGAGACCAATGCTGAGATTGGTATGATCAACAAACAGAAGGAGTTCTTTGCGGACGATGAAGGCATCGCGGGATGCCCCTGGGAGGACGACAAGCCGGTGGTTGGATGGCACAACGACAGCTACCCCTTTGTCTGCGTGCTGATGTTGAGTGATTGCACCAACATGGTCGGCGGAGAGACCGCACTGCGAACTGGCAACGGGGACATCCTCAAGGTCCGCGGACCACAGATGGTGAGTTTCGTCATCCCCGGCTCGAGCGATTCCTAGCCAACATAATACGAAGGGTTGCGCAGTCGTCCTACAGGGTCGATACATCACCCACCAAGCTCTTCGTGCGTTGGGTGCTAAAGAACGCATCACTTCGGTCACTTCTTTCCGGCCTAAATCTGCGCTCGTTCGTGACGACACGGAGCTTAGGACAGTTCGTCCGATATCCGATCTCTCGAGGCTCTACTACGACTTCGCAGAGTATCGTCTCGAGAATCTTGAGGAGCGAACCCGTGTACGCCTCAAAGAGCTTCGCGAGCGCCGTCGCGCCGGCAAGAAGATCGATACTGTCGCTCTAAAGAAGTGGATGACGGAGCAGTTGGCCTTCTTGGAGCACACCAACGGAGAGATCGTTGAAGAGGACAAGGTCATGACCGGGTACATCGACGAGATCCCCGACGAGCCAGTCGAGGAGACGGCCGAGCGGCCGACAAAACGCGCTCGTGTTGAGTAGCGGCAAGCATGGGTGGTCTAACCTTGTATGATGGTGCTGTAGAGATATGACGCCTAGACAATCAGTACTGGCGATGTCTCTAAATTGATCATGATTTTTGCATGCGATTGGCGAGCGATACTGGAGAGATTGCTTGGGTGCTCTACTGATTTATCGAGAGACGCTTGCGGGTACAGTGTTGCTTAGGTGCTATTGGTGTTGACGGTCGACTTTACGAATAGATGTGATCACAAACACGTGCATTTGCTAGCGAATAGGATGTGATGACTTGTTGAAAGCTTCGTGTTTTATTGAGACTTGTAGACTGAGTCAGCGAGATAAGAGATCGTTTGGATGAGATACGTCTTGACCAAAAGTCGTTCGCAGTTCACGGCGAAGCGGCCGAAGCTGAGAGATATATATACGACGGCCCGTGACACCGATATCTGCGGAGTTCCCGTAAATGGTGCTGTTGGTTCGGATCAGCAGCCGGCGCCTTCGGGCATGCCGTGGTTGGTATCTCTGAGCCATGCGGGGGCACTGCGATATCGCCAGCAGGGGAGATGGCCGTCGAGCGTGTCGCCGGATCCCTCATCGAGAACCGTCTTATCTCGCGAGCAAGACAGCATTGCCAGGCCAATGTCTAGTGGCGACGGGCCGTGCTGTGCAGCGGCTCGACGAAGCCGCAACGGGACTGCCCTTAGTCGACGCTCGGCGGCTACTGAGAAAGCTGCCCCAGGCGCGTAGGGCTGGCTGGTGCTGAGCGTCTGTCCAAAGAATGGCGGAGACGTGGCCAAGCGGCGTTTCAGCACGCAGTTGGCAGGCCGCACGGAAGGTCGTGAATGAGGTTGCGGAGAAAGTTCGCAGGCTTGAAGGTTTCCAAATGCACGGCCCGGGCAGTTTAGTCGAGCAGCCGCTCACGTGGTTGAGACTAACGTAGACACCTCCACTGCCTGCACAAGCTATCAACCTCTTCGACGCCCACGACTTTGCCCAGAGCTCTATCTCCCAACCCTGGGGGTTGCGGACGACATCTCATCTCACAGCATCAATCCTCCCAATCTCTCCGAATCTGGGCGACGTGCCCCGAATCTCTTGATGCCTTCGGGCCTCAGTCCCTCCGTCAGGCCTGCTCAGACCGCGACGTCGCCCTCCGCGCAACCGAGCTCCTCGCAGCAGCACCAACAAAAGATGGCCTCCTCCAACACGAAACCCCGGAGGCTTAGCTCTGCTCAGAACCCACCAGGAAGCGGCCTAAGAGCTCAACCCACGAAGAAGCCAGAGGAAGCCCCCAAACCGAGTAAGACTGAAGAGGTTAGTGAGGCTAGACGAGACGGACGCCCCCCACATTGGTTTTGATAGCGATCTAACTTTGAGCGCAGCAGTTGAATAGCTACAAGTCCGACTTCGACAGCCTCCGCTCACACGTCACCTGCAAAATATGCGATCGACTATTCTACGAGCCCTACATTATCTCCTGTGGGCACACATATTGCTACAGCGTCAGTTCCCATACCCCCCTTGCACCTAGGATGGTACTGATAAGATGTAGTGTCTTTGCACCTGGTTCGTCAGTAACAAGGCCAAGAAAACATGTCCAGACTGCCGGACCGTCGTCACTCAGGCGCCAGCCCCAGCATATGTTGTGAGTAAGCCAGCCCCAATATGAAGTATCTTTCTAACTCGCATAATCAAGATTCGAGAAATGACCCACGTCTTCATCGGCCGAGCCGAGTTACTACCTGCAGGCGAGACAGTCGAGCAGCACAAACAATGGCAGAAGGAAGAAGCAGATATTGTGCAACAGGACAAGGCCAACAACGATTCTAGAACTGGCGGACTCTTCAAAGGATGCTTCAAGCAACGGCCAAGCAACCCCCTCCGAATAGTACGAGACGAAGAAGATGGGGTCGAGAGGTGTCCCATGTGCACGTGGGAGCTTGAAGGCGGAGAGTGCGCCCGATGTGGCGTCATGTTCGACGACAACGGGGAAATGACCTGGCCTGACAGCTTCGGAGGCTTTAGTGACATGGATGAGCTGTCTGAACACGACATGTCCGGAGAAGACCTCGACGGGGAACTCGAAATGGACGACGAAGGCAATGTATGGGACCCAGAAGGATTGGGGGCATGGGGACAGGGCTATCTCGACGACGAATCATCCTTCATGATGCAGCGATATCTAGCCGGGGGAGGTATTCCACCTGGAGGTCGGTTCCAGCGACGCCGCGTGACTCATAGCGAAGCCGGCAGCAGACGTCCGTCCTACAGCGCGAGCATAGTCTCCGACATGCTGACCGAGGAGATGGACACGGTGGAGGAAGAGGATGAAGAAGACTATGACGAGGACTCCTCCATGAACGACTTCATCGAGGATGATGAGGCTGGTTCCCTTGGCACTGCTTCCACAGCCTCGCAAACTCCACAGCCTCAGCCACCTCCACATCGACAGCAACGAAATCGTCGGATTCTTGAGTCGGAGGCATCTTCGGACATGTCACAGTCTACAGAAGACGATGAGGATGAAGGTCCCATAATCCCAGCTGGCCGACGCCGTCAACAAGCGCGGGTAATAGCCCGAGCAAACGGCACGAGGCGGGCACCTTCATCAACCTCTACCGAGGCATCTGCTCACCATGAGCTGGATGAGGATACACAGGCCTTGCTTCAAGCGGCCGGATGGTCGCCTCTCGCACACGACGGACCGGACGAGGAGATGGAAGACGATGATGATAGTGATGGGGGAAGGACGACTGTTGGGTGGGAGCCGACTACGATTTCCAATGATAGAGCTCGAATCGGTGGTTCTCTAACGCCTACTGCAGATCGACCCCGGCCTAACGCCCCAATCCGTCCACCCTCCCGTACAGGCAATAACCGTCTTTTAGACGGTTCTCGCGGCCTTCGACGAAGATCCTCCGTTCTATCGAATTCCACGGTTACGTACGAAGATGGTGAAGCGGACGACGACGACTCTGACATGGATCGCGATGGAGATATTACTATGAGCTCGAATACCCTACGGCCTCGCCAATCTCGGGTACAAATGCGAACAAATTCTCTCTCCAATAATTCTACCAGCCGGTTTGCTAATCGCGGAATCTCTCAAACCGATGCCATTGACCTTGATACCGACGACAACTCTGATACCTCTCAGCAAGCCCAGCGACGTCGTGGGACTGCTCGAGCTCGTCAGCAAGAATATGACCCGAGAATCAGCTGGATGTTTGCTTCACACTTGGCCGATCTTCGCGCAACAGAGAGCCCTGGGGCGCCCTATGACTACTTAGAGCAGCTTCGTTCGACGACTCCAATCGCTCGACCGAGGACTGCAAACAGGGGTCGTAACAGTGGCCAAGCAAGTCCTGCACCACCATTCTCTCCTACTAATGGGCCTTCTTCAATACCTCGTACTGCACCTGCACGAATGCGGACGCCGTCCATGGATAATTCCTTGAATGGCGGTGTACCCGTACGCGGCTCACCGTCTCCAGCATTTAGATCAGGCTTCACTCCGAATCTTTCCTCGGCACCCGAAGCTATCGGAAGGAATAGCAGCATTCCTCTAGACCGTGCAGCCTCCGTTGCCTCCACTGGAAGCTCGTCTGGCCAGCTTACGCCTGCGAGTTCAGTCCGTTCTGCCTCTCAGTCATCTGTCAATTCCATCTCTCAAGCCGCGACGGCAGCTTCAGTTGACATGATCGATCGTCCGCCGAGTCGCGTTAGTTCACGACCAACGTTTGGCGCAGGACGGGGATCTGCAGGATTGTCACCATCGTTTCCAGGTCTCTCAACACCAAGCGTCGGTTTGAATTTTGGCGCACGCATGTTTGGCAACCCATCACAGCCCCTCCGAAATCCATGGGCAACATACGTCAACAGCGGCCCGCAAGGTGTCGTCAGAAGCCGCCCTTCGAGGACTGCTCTAAGGGACCAATCATCCGTTGCAACGCTTAGAGCAAGCTCGTCCCGCAGGGGTCTCCGAGAACAAGCCTCTAGGGTCAATATCCACGATAGTGGCAACTCACCGCAGACGATGCGACCCCGAGAATCTCGACAAAACCTGCGTCCCCAGGCTTCGAGTCGCCGCCTCAACAACCAAGCATCGACACGGACCCTTCGCGCCAGCGATTTAGCACGACCTCCTTCAGCTCAACCACCGTCACCAGGCCTCGTTCCTACCCCTGCCGTACGACCTCGTCTTACCGAAGACGAGCGCCTCAGCCTCGCGCGCGAGCTCGTTAACAACCGGGCCCGCGAATTAGGAACTTACCAGCCCGGCACAGCTCAAACGCAAACCCGCAACCCCTTTGCGACTGGTGCCCGCCGCCCAAGCCAAAGTCTACCAACCCGCGACACCAACTCTGCTCCAGCCGAAACCGCGCCTTCTTCTGCTCTCCCCGCCCCAATGCATTCCCGCTCCAACTCCAACGAGTCCATTACGTCTGTCCGCAGCAATCCTGTGCACCAACCTGCCTCGTCACCGCAACAACCGACACTTGGCCGAAGGAGGAGCAACCGCAATATAGGCGCTCCGCCAGGGGCTTTCACTTCACCGCAAAGTACTTTTGCCCCACAGCAGACTGCGTATGGCGCTTTTGCGCGCCGAGGGAGCGCGGGACTAGCGGGCTACGAAAACCCCATCGCGGCTGGTGTGGGTGTTGGAGGCGGAGGAGCTGGCGTGGGGGGTGTTGGCACGAGGGGGGTGAGTCCGATGCAGGTTGTGGGCGCTGGTGATCGGAGGGCGTACTAGACTGGACTGGCTGGACGTTGGGAAACCCCCCTTTTCCAACGGCTTTGCTAACCTGGTTTTCTTCCGCTCAGATCCCGGCGACGACGCTCGTTCTGCGTGCTGTCCAGCGAAAGAAAAGGGCGGAAGAGATCGAGAGTGATAGAAGGCGAGTTGCCTTTGCGTTTGAGCTTTTATGAATGAATGAGGGGTTCTGGCCTTTTTTCGATTTTCGGGTTATGGATATGGATGGATACTGGGCATTGGCATTAGCGAGCACCTATGATTTAAGTTGGGACGAGAGACACTGCATTGGCATGGCGTTTTCGGAAGCGATGGCGTAGAGCCGGTGGGTCTGCAAAGCCGAGTTGGCGATGGAATGGGATGGGATGGAGGGCATAGCATGGGATCGGACTGAATGGTACGTAGTATGCATGGACTGAACGTGCTGCTGCTGCTAGCTTTAGCGGTGGCGTCTGTATGGAGTTTTTTGAGCGGGTTTTATTTGATTATTCAGACATGTTACTGTGATGTTTGTAACACAAGATCTTGATTTTGTACAGGGGCATCTATGAATACAACAAGAACCTCTCCTGTATCAGGTACAACAGCTCCATGCATATGCAGCCTTCACGCCCGCCCAAGTCTTGTTTTCGCCGCCCTCCCAAGATTTCCAGTAGTATACACAAGAGCTCCTATTCACAAAGCCCATCTCTATCTTTCTAACGTCTCAGCCCTCTCCTACTACCTATTGTACGAAAGAGCGCGATCATCGACTCTCGACCCCGTCTTGGCCGTCGCCCCGTCGTACATGAGATCCTCCACCACCTTCCAGTCGATCCGATCCCACCACGCGGCCAAAAAATTCTCCTTGCCCCCCGCGATGCGCCAGTCGCGCAGCCAGCTGTGCTCCCACGTGCTGACGCACAGCAGCGGCACCACGTCGACGCCGCCGTACGCGAGCTTCGGCTGCTTGGCGTAGCTCGTGGTGTGCGGACCGAAGCGGCCGACCGAGTTGACCGGCACGCCCATTGTGCGCAGCTCGGCGGGGCTGATGCCCGAGGCTGCGGCGGACTCGGCGTTCTGCGTGTTCATGTCGACGGCCTGGCGGCGGTAGTGGGCGCCGGGTAGCGGCGAGCCGGCGATGTAGGTGGGCAGGATACGGAAGTTGGAGGTGTAGCTGGTGGGCTTGGTTTTGACGAGCCAGACGAAGCCCGGGCCGAACATGGAGTTTGCGGTGGCGAGGAATTCGTCGCGCAGGGTTTGGATAGAGCCGAATTCGTTGGCGAGGGAGGCGGAGAGGGTGGCGGTCATGGGGGAGGGGGTGCGGGACTGGGGTGGTCAGCGAGGGCCCAGCAATTGCAGACATGGTGGAGATGAGGAGAGGTTGAGTAGAATTTGGGAGTGGACATACTATTCCCTTGAAGAAGAAGTGGTTGTTCCATGCCATTGAGGCATAGTTGAATAAGGAGGCGTTGGTGGGATCGCGGGCGTATTGTATCAGCAGGTGCTTAGGCTCCTTGTCCGCTTCCGGGCCGCCTATCTCCAGCAATCAGCATACATCCATGGATCCTCGATCTCTAACTGACAGGCATCGCGGGACGCAATGGGCTGCTCGAGCTCGGGGGTGCGGAGGCGTACCGGCTGTCATTTCGTTGAGCTTGTCCAGCAGCATGCCGTGGTACTCGGTCCAGGCAATTGCAACACCATCGGGCGAGTAGAGCCCCGGGATGCCCTCTCGCCTCATCTCGGCCTCGTGGTTCAAGACGGGCATCTTGTGGGCCCGCGACGGGGCGCTCTGCGAGAAGCATCTCTAAAACGTAGCTGCGTCAGTCAAGCTCCAGACACCAGTGGGCGGCCACATAGGCGGCCGCATTGCGTTGGGCGGGAGACGTACTGCAGCGCGATCTGCGGATCGGAACAGGTGCCGGCGCACGCGGAGGGCAGGCTGTATTATCATGGCGTGGGTATTTGTGGTGGTGAGAGTCGCGATGCAACAATTTCATGGTCGTCGCCGGCTGCGCTACGCCGAGTCCGGACGAGACGCCAAAACCGCGGACCACTCACGACTCGTCCTCGCTGTCCGCTGCAAACAACATGATACAGCAGAGCCGCCCGCCGTCGCAGCGTTTCACCCTCTGAGCGACCTGCAAAAGCATAGCCACACGATGGGAGGAGTCACCTGCCGCTGGTGCACGGTTAGCTGCTTCGCTCTCCAGACGCTGCACACCACTCGGCGCGAAGACTGGGCTATTTCCAGAACATCCAGCGGCCCATTGGGCCTGACCATCGCGCGACAGACGTCAGGTAGAGGCTGATGCCACGGCCGTGAGGTAGGTCGACTCTATTTTCGAACCTCTATATACTACTGTGCTTCCCGCCATGTTCTTTCTCGATCGTTTCGTGTTTCGACCTCGATTATCTTCGCCCCAAGACAAGGCAATCCCATTGTGGCTTTGTTCATACATTTTCATACATTCCTTCTTATAATCATACCCGTGGGCTATTGTCCTGCTGCCAATATGCTCTCGTCCAATCTCCAGAAGCTGTCTCTCATCTGTCTAATATCCACCACCGTCCCCGCTACCTCCGCCCTAGCCACAGCCGTCTCCGCTGCCCAGGCCGTCGGTCTGATACAGCGAGAGACAACATGTGGAGGGAACTCCGGTCTCTCGCAATGCGGAGCATCCTTTCCCTCCGACTTCTGCTGTCCTACCGACCTCAAATGCCTCCCAATCAATAATACCATCTCAATCTCCGCCATCTGCTGTCCTGCCGGCCAGGACTGCGGCTTCATCCAACCCATCACATGTGATGTGACCCAGCTCGACGCAACATTACATCCCGATAATCAAATACACACAGCCAACACCACCGACCTCAAGCTCGAAATATGTGGCAGCGCATGCTGTCCGGTGGGTTACGTCTGCCAAAGCGGCATGTGCGCCATCTCCAAGCCATCTTCTTCAGCTTCTGCCTCCTCTTCTCTATCACCAACGGCCTCCGCTACTGGCACCGCTCTTCCGCAGTCCTCCCAGACCGCTGCGTCCAGCCCTCCCATCCCAACCAGCGTACCATCTTCCAATCCCGGATTCCCTGCCAAAGCAGTCGTCGCCGGATTCTTCCCGGGCATGCTTCTCGGCGCCATCCTCGCCGTCGCTATTATTTGGCTTATCAATAAGCGCCGCGAAGCTGCTAAGAACCGCTACAGTGGCGATTTTGGCCATGTCGCTCGTACTGTCTCTGATCCTATTTACGATCCTGTCTACGCAGCACGCACCGACTTCCTGCGTCGTGGAAGCACCAGTGTAGCGAGCCAACCCTCGCCCGCACGCGACACAGAGATGCAAATGGGCACAGTCGGCATGTCTCTCGCGAATGCGAACATCAACGTAAATCGTAGCAATACCACCGGTGGCAAAATGAACCAGTTTCCATCGCCGCCTCGCGCTCAGACGACAACTCCGCGAGTTCGTGCTCTCTTCTCCAAATCTCCTAAACTTGGCCTGTCTTCTGCGGCGCGCGACCCTTACACCACCCCAACCCGCACACCCACCTCTCGCTCCTCTCGCTCATCGCGGTCTAAGCGGAGAGCAGGGCCTGAGAGGAGTGGCAGCACTGAGACTATCGACGTTCTGATGCCCGCTCCGAGCTTTCTAGGAGTGCCAAATGCGGACACGGGTGCCAACGGACGACCACTGACTGGTGGCACGACGTTCACAAGGCTGATGGAGGACGCAGGGTTTGGTAGGGATAGCAGAGACCTTGGAGGTCTAGGAGTTCGTGGCGTAAGTCCGCGGAGGGGTGTATAGTGTGGAGTACTCGGACAGTTCTTTCTTAACATCGTCTTTTCTTTCGTCTTGATCAGTGGCGTTGCATTTAGCATGGGCAAGCGGGTGTTTGGGTTTTTTGGATTCGGAGTTTTGGCTGGATGGAAACAGATACCACTGCTTTTTACTGCGCATTCGTTTGGAATTTACACTGCATCTAGGTGTAAGCATTTCTTAATTACTATCGCTACATTCCCGTCCATCAATATCATATTTTATTGATTCCTATATCTCGTCTTGGAACTTGTCGACGTCTCGAAGTGTTTTCAAGTCTAACAGGGTATTTAATGTAGCAAGTCTTGGCCCGTTTACTGTTCTCAGGTTGCAGAAGTGTAGAAGACCGTAAGCTTTTTCCACTTTGGTCACATGATAAAAGTAGACAAAACTTTCCGGCCTTTACACTTTTGCCGCAAATAACGTGCCAAGAATTGCTATATCCGACAGTGAGTCCATAAACACTAGTTGCGAGACTCTAAGAGTTCAGATTCTCTCGTGGCGTTCAAACCATACGCTCCGGAGGCAGTGAGTTTGGTAATGTCCCATAGCCACATACCGAGGTTGAGAGCATTCTCAATTCACCACTGTGAGCATCAACTTAGTCATGCATCAGATAATTTCAGGCGCACGGCGCACATGATTACGGTCCCAAGTGGTCCCGTCGTCTCGCAAGCTTGACGGTCCTCATCTTCCTTTCAGTCTCTTGATCCATTCGCGCTCGTCTGTCAGCCACCGCCCAGCTCTTACTCCCTGCAATCACTGAAGTGGTTACCGCCAGGCGTATTCCTCGCAATCAAGATGGACGTCTCGGTCATGGACTGGCAATACGATCGTCCCCAGCTCGCCAAACCGCCGCCGCGAGCCCTTTGAGGCCTTCGGGACCACCCCACCCCCGGCATGTCTATTTCAGCGATGATAGTGGAGGACCTAGGCGGTCCGGGAAGGGATCTGAGAGACGTCACCAGAGAGATGCTAGTGGAGCATTTCGGAAAATCATGGGGATCACAGGAGTATGTGTCCCACCTCAATAGAACATGACTCCACTTACGAGAAACGTAGCGCTGGCCTATGGAAGCTCCTCACGGGCGAAATATCCTCTGACGTTTCCATATTCTGCAGGGGTTATGAATGTAAGGCGCATCGTGTTATTCTGTGCGATGAGATGCCTCTCGTGCACGCGAGAGCATATAGATATGATGTGAGTCGTTTCGCTCCTTTTTAGGTCTCTAGCAATGGACTGATAGTATCTTAAAGCCTCGGACACCGACGCCAATCCTCGATTTTCATACGCAGACGGTAGAGCTCACGCCGCAAGGTCTTCACAAGGTCACATCTGTCGATATACGTAATTACGATCCTGTCACAGTTGACCGTTACGTTGAGTTATTGTACTCGTACCGCTACCATCCGTATGATCCCACGGCGGTCCTTTTGTCCTGGCCCCCAATGGTTCGCCAACCATCAACCGCAGGCCATCGGTACTGCCACACCTCCAAACTTCTCCACATCCAGCTTGCCCACATAGCGCTCGACTACGGTCCAGTTCAGCTCAACGAAGTCGCTCGGAACAAGCTTGCCAAAGCTTTCCATCACCAGTTCGAAGCTGATAAATTCCATGAGCTCGTTAATGAAGTGGCTCGATACCGGAAGCCGCAGCAAGAGCTAGTCTGCCTCCTTGTGCAGGAAGCATATGTTCATATGAACGAGTTAGTCATGGCTGAAGAGATCGACCTCCTCCACCCGCAATTTATCGCTGCACTACTGAAGCTGGTGGTGAAAAATCAGGGAAAGCCTCTCCCTCGAAAGCGAAAGCATCTCACGCTGCCTCGGGACATGCTGGATTAGTAGCGTGAAAGAGATCGTATGAAATGCAAGAACACTGAGCGGGGACGACTTGCAGCAACAGTTGGCATGCGATTGGATTCAGTGAGGTCGAGCGAAGTAGAGGGCGAGATCATCATACGATTGGAGTTGATGGACAGGCTGGACATTGGTCAAAAGCGAACTTGGGACTGGATGAGATATAGAAGGTGTTGTGGGCTTTGTTGCATTTCGGAGGTCGTCATCCATTCTCGGAGGCTAAGTAGCGGTTCCCGAAGAAAGGTGATATCCAGGCAGTAGCTTATACATCATGGGACGGCAACACAATGGCCATGTACGGCATTATGCTATTCGCTTTCCGAAAACGCGGGATTGAAATCGCGAGCTCCCTACACGCGCATCTACGTGGCAATTATTCTTTACGTACTTTGTATGCTCTAGCTAGATTTTGGCACTTAGAATCCTCGGAGCGCATGTGGAGTGTGTCTTATTATAAAGGCGCTTCTAAACCTGAGAAGCGCGGATCGAAACCACTAGCCTTCTATGTGCGCATTTACGCTGCAATTAGTCTTTGCATACTCTATATCCTCGTGCTAGAGTTTGGCACCTAGGGTCCTTGAAGCGCATATGGAGCGAGTGTCAACGTCAAGAGGCTACTGCATCTAAAAAGCGCGCACCGAAACCGCTGGCCGCCTATGTGTGCATCGGTGTGGCAATTGATCCTGGGATATACTAACCTGCATCGTCTAGCCGGAGTTTGGCACCTAGGGACTCAAGGGCGCGTGTGAAGCGTATATTGGTAGGGAATTCCTAAGCTCGAGAAGCATAACATCAGACATTTATAGTATCTTTCAAGCGCAATTACGTGACAGATACTCTTCATTCAACTGGTATCCTCTTTGCAAATTTTGGCACCTAGAGATCTGATAGCGCCCGTAGATCGCGTTAAGGAAAGGGATTGCTCACTTGGGGAATGTGAGAGTTGGCCGGCAGCACCGCTATTTACGTGGCAAACACGTTGCAATTGCTTCTCACGCATGTAGTATTCTCTGGCTGATTTTTGGCACCTGGAGTCCTGCTTGCGCTTGTGAAAAGTATCAATATAAGAGGTCGCTGGGTTTAAGAGACGCGGAAGCTACAAGTTTAGGTTTGATTACACGCGCAATTACACTGCAATGGATTCTTCCTGGGCATCAAGCCTCTTGTCGGTACTTGCGCTCGTAGTCCTCACGGTGCTGGCAGACGGAACCGGGGCGAAGGAATCTCGAGTGGTTGGGCATCCGAGTAGATTGTGGAAGCTAGCCGCCTATGGTTTATTCTACGCTGCAAACGTGATTTCGCAGTTCATATTCTATGGCCGGAGTTCGGTTACCAGAGGAGTAAAGGTGCTTGCGACTAATCCGTGGCAAAGCAGTGACTGAACTTGGGAAGCGCGATGAAATGAAGTGAAATAGCCTTTGGTACTTCAAGACGTGTGAAATACAATGGCAAGACGTGTTGAGCGAGATTGTATTGTTTGCAACACGCCTGATGAGCTAGTGTCTAATGGATTATGTTGGTTACGAGGGCGGATGGCAACTCCGGCAAAGTGCAAGGCTTCTCATTCAAGCTAAAAGGGCTAGATGGGATATGCTTGATAGTTCGTTAGGTTAGTGAATCGCATGTATGGAGATAGGGGGCATTCTCCGCAGTCTAGATGATATTGGAAAATCACGGATGGCAATTTTGAATGGATAATCAGTGATTAGACCTATCTTGGTCTACCTCGGACCTACCGGGTCTATGTAATTAGCATCTTGACACGGACTCCAGCCTTATGATGCGGAGTGTGATATGGAAGACCGTGGGTATCGAACCACACCGATACTCGAAGGCTGAATCCCGTAGTCACTTTTTTTGAGGACCCGAAGGAACCCTCATCGCTCCGTCTTAAGCATGAAATAACGACGCCGACACACCTTGAGCGATTGCAACCTCCTTCAAGCAGTTGCACATCCGTGTATCCAGCTTCGTCATTGGGAACTCGTCGGGCCAGTATGGGTGAAACTCTGAACGAAAAGCCATGTCGACGTTCCAGATGTAGCAAGATCTCGCTTCGGCTTCGACAAACTCTGAACCCTCGAAATGTTGCTTCACCTTTTCCAGCGCCAATTCAGCCAGACCTGGAATCGAGTATCCGATGCCCGCAGCGAAGAAGAAGAGGTGATATCTTAGTGGTAGCTTCTTCTTCTTCTTGAGTGCGTCAATTGTGGTGCCATAGCTGACCTCCGCAAAAGTGTTTGGCTCCACGTAAGTATCGTAGTCACCGGAATAGATGAATTCGACGACACGGTCCATGATGATACGGTCCCAGCGTTTGTAGTTGACGGTTCCACCTGGCTATTTGGAACAGGTTAGTTAGCAGTAGTAGGTATGCATTTACGTGAGCACTTACCGCTGCATCCTTGGGAACCAGATCGCCAGCTTTGGAGGCGAGAATTGCCATGTGGACATTCCACTTGTGTGTATCAGTCATGATCGTGTAATCGCTGTATTTGCCAGTTTGGAGGAGATCGAGAAACGAGCTAGCAAAGTTAGCAAAAGCACTTGATTGAAGATAAGTGCGAATGACTTACTGTTTGAGGTGAGGACCCTCGGGCTCATTCTCCTTACCAGGGGATTTCGCCCGGGTAGGCTCTGCTCCCGAAGTCACAGATTGCGCCGGCTTGGACTGTAAGATACCAGAGCTCGGGTCTTCTGGCTGGTGCACAAGGGGGGTGGTAGTCGGGCCTCCGAAGAGGCCAGAAGGTTGGGATGGCACCTGCTCCGGAACAGAGTTGAAAAGTGCTCCTCCTCCAAAGAGGCCACCAGAGGACTGGGGTTGCGCCTGTTTTTGACCAAAGAGACCAACCCACTGTTGTCCGAGGTTTCCAGACTGAGGCCGATTGGCCGGCATAGCAGTCCCAAAGCCTCCAAAGAGACCGCCAGAAGGTTGTTGCACATGTCTCTGGGTACTCAGGCCTCCAAAAAGACCACCAGAGGACTGGGGCCGCATCTGTTCCTGACCAAAGAGACCACCAGAGGACAACGGTTGCACCTGTTTTTGACCAAAGAGACTACTCCAGCTAGGTTGTACGATGCTTCCAGGCTGAAGCCGGGCCGCCTTCATTCGTGCATCCCAATCCCGATCTTCTGGACTCGCCTTCGTTTCCTGTAAAGCAGCCTCGAAGCCTTCAAAGGGCCTACCTCCTTGTAGCTTCGCTTGTCCTCCGTTCAACTCAGAGATGGATGAATTTCCAGGGAGATCACCCTGCTGTCGACCTCCAAAAGGTCCAGAAGACTGTGGTACGTTCGTAGGGACATAAGAGCCGAATGTCGGGCTGCCCAAGAGACCACCGGAGAGCTGGCTTTGCCCCTGGTATTCACGGGATGCTGGTGATGCAAACAGGCCGCCACCAGACTGTTGTCCTTTCGAAGCTGTAAGCGGAGGGTCTGGTCGTCGAAACCCCGAGAAAAGGCCAGGCTTTGGATTTGCAGCAGACGGGGAGTTTCCGAAGGGTCCTCCTCCATTTTGCCTATTATAAGCTTCCGGTTTCTCGATTCCAAAGACTGGCTTGCTCTTCGACTCCGACTTCGATGCCGCATGTTTGGACTGCATCAAAGAAGGAAAGACTGTATTCACCGCGCGACTCGGAGCGTCGGTGATGCCTTGACCACTGCCAGCTGCCACAGGAGGTGAGGTGATATTCTGAGTTTGTCCACCTGTCCGATCGCTGTAGTGGCATTGTTTGCCCCTTCAAGATGTCAGCGCCTGCGTTATCGGTGGATTGATTGTTCAAAGGCGCCACTTACTCTCTTATACATCTTGCACACGGTTCGCCGGCACCTTTGCAGCGAATTCTTCCATAGTAGCACGCATCGCATGCCTCAGGAAGTATCCGTCCCTGCTTCGCTGCATCGGGGCCAGCAGTGTTTTTGGCAGCTTGATTGGCTTCGTTATGGGTGCGGTCCGCGAAGATGGACATGGCAGGGCTATGGAGTTTCCTGCTTGGCTGTGGGGAGGCCATCTTTGCAGTAGCGTCGGTAGATGGAGTCGGGGGGAAGGGGTTTTCCCACTCGGAGCTCGAGGAGTCGAGGTCCTCGACATAGGCTGGCTTGGACTGCATGGTTGAAGTTGCGGTGTGTGGTTGAGAGGAGGAACGTGGATTTGGGTCCTCGGGAGACTGATTAAATAGTGGGACTGGGCAAAGTTGCGGTCCGGCTGGTGAATGTGTGTATATAGTCGGCAACTTTCCCATTCGTCGATTCAAGACACCAAATTATTCAGACAACGATATTACGTTTACCATCCTCTGGGAGCATCGTGAAGAACTATCGAAATGCTGAATACAAAGCTGCTAGGAATGTCAGTTGCTGAAGCTCTAACATTGGGGGCGTGGTTGTGACTTGGTCGTGATGCTGTGAGGCCTCCGGAGCGTATGGTTTGCATGCCGGAACATTACCAAACTCACTGCTCTCACGCCAGGTCCCTTTTCAATCCCGTCGCCCGCCCCCCCTTCTCCCCAATATATCTAAAAAGCCTTTTACTATCTAGTACCCATCTCCGGCCGCCTCTTCCTCCTCCATGCCTTTTGCCAGATTCGATGCACTCTCTAGCCTTATTCCCTCAACCCCGATGTAGTGAAAGAAGAGCATCATCCGATCGTCCAAGTGCTCCCACTGCGAATAGACTTCACGACACTTACGCAATGCCGCCTCGTACTCCGCTTTATTCCATCCCTCCCGCTGGTAATGTGCCTGAAACTTCTCGAGCGTCAGAGTCATCAGATCTGGCATTTCGAACGCGGCCGCCGCACCGAATAGTAAGATGTGGTGGTGCAGTGGCAGATGTTCGGAAGAGCCGGGGTCATGGCTGACACTGGCTGATACGTCTGTTTGGGGATCTGAGTAGTCACCTGAATAGGCGAATTCGAGGCAGCTCTCGATGATGATAGGGCTGTGCTCAGTGATGGTGCAGCTGCTGCCAGGCTAGAGAGGAGGGGCATTAGTCAGTCCTTCTTATATGGGATTTAGAAGATGTGGGACTTACCGAGAAGTCTGGTGGGAGCAATCCGCTCGCGCGATCTGTCAGGACCATTAAGTGGACGCGCCACCCTATGTCCGCACATTTGATGCAGTAGTCACTATACTGGCCGGTGCGGAGAAGATTCAGGAGGTGGTCCCTGCGAGATTATCAGACTATGGTAACTACGAGATACTTCGGAAGTGGCATACTTGGTGATGGGGCTTGGTTGCTGCCCCGCTTCCTTACGGGAGGCAGTTTGCGGCTTCTTAAGACTTCCCGTTTCTTCTGGAGGACTCTCTCGCGCACGCTTCTTCCCACGTGTATGTTCTCCCCCGAACAATGTAGGATGAGGTCCACCCGACTGGGCCCCCTTCGAACCAGGGGCTCCAGATGACGACTGACCAAGAGTAGGGAGAGTGGGATATGCCACGTTGCCATCGATGTTCGGAGCGGAGGAGGTATGAGTAGTGGTCAGAGTGGTCGCGGCTGTCGACACTCCTACATCGCCATCGACACCACTCTGAATGGAAGAGGCCGGAGCAGCGGTCGAAGGATTCGTAGTAGTCGCTTGCGCAGATGCAGACGTATCCCCTGGTATGAGGTTCGTCGGCGAATGACCAGACATAGGCTTATCGCTATCGGAGTCTGAGTCCAGGTCTGACCAGTAGTAGTCCTCGCATCCGTAGGTCTGCCCGACATTTTGTGAGCCCATTTTGTCGAGGAGTCGGAAGAGGAGAGTTGGCTGTCGGCGGTAATTGGTGATGTGGTGGCGGAGTTGGAGTTGGACGCCGCTGTCGCAAAATCAACTCAACCTGGAGGCGCTTCAGAGCCGACGGTGAATACTTGCGAAATCGCATACTTATGCGTAGAAGAGAGGACTTTCACATATGCCGTGCCTTGATAATGAAAGCAGGACCGCAAAGGCAAGCGATCAACGTGAAAGCTATAATACAGCGACTGCAAGTTGCGGCCTTCTTGTATTCACTTTCAAGCGGACTTTCCTTCCCCGTGCAGTCCTGAAGCGTTTGATAGGAGCATGTTGGAAGCGTCAATATAGCATGTTAAGGCCCTTGGAGGTCGCGGCGTTTCGAAATACTGAATCCTCGTTCCTGACTTCGCTGAAACAGATTTTTATATGTCAGAATTGGTCGATGTCAAGACCGTATTACAGCTTAGGATTTTCCCTTACTACATCCCTCTCCCTCGCTATTGCCATGGTTTCGCTCTCGGGCCCTTCGGCGTCTCTTCCTTCTCAGAGCGTCAACTCTAGTGTACCATCACCATTCTTCTTCATGCGCACAACTAGGATCTCCGCTTGCTCTTGTAGGAAGGGCCTGAAAAATAATAAGCTTATGTAGATGTACACAGTGCACAGACGCACAACATAGATTAGTCACGGCCCCCACGCCCCAACTGCAAATAGTGAATACCTTTCACTTCGCCCTGGGGAGAGCACGTCATACGTTGCCTGGAGGAGCATATTGGCTAAACCCGCCACCAGTCACCCGCCTTTGTAAACATGAAGATGTTGAGGAAAGGATATCGCCATGACCACCCACACTCACCTCGTGTAGGATCCGTCCACCAACGAATACCAAATATGAAAGCCATATCGTGTGCGGTTTTTGTGCACACATGATTTTGATGCGCATGTGATGAGGGATTTGACAGCTCCAGCCTTACACCAAACACTCACCAGGCCGACAAGGCATCTAACTGCAAAACTCCCCATGAAGCGACACCATTCTGGCTGTGGTGAAAGAAGATGAATGAAGGCAAAGAACAACAGAAAGCAGACGAGTCAGGATTCGATGGTATGGTGAGATCGAATGGGACAGATGAGCGCCATTCAAGGCTTTGATGCAGAGAACAAGCTATGCTACCCTACCTGAGACTCACAGCCTCGGAGCCTTTAACGGACTCTGAAGGGTATTGCGCCCTCCAAACGCATCATAGACGCCATCCCTATGCAAACGACTTACGGTGGTTCTGGTGTACAATGATTCCTCCCGGAAATGAACGACTTCGGGAACCTCATGTTGCGCTTTCCGATGCGACTTCATTTTCAACGAGCACGGTTTTGGTGACTTCTTTCTTCACTTCCTCCTGGGTCTTTTCTGGTGGGTGCAAATTCCCGTTGGGATCTCTAGGGATACGCGTCCAGCCCGTCTTGAACCTCTTCTTATCGGGCTGGAAGACGGGCAGCGGATGAGCTTCAGTGTTGAGGACGACTTCGCTGAGGGGGAGGATATCGTTGGGGCCAAATAGAAGATAGAAGTATTTGAGAGTTTCGGCCTACGCATTGGGAAGTCAGAAAAAGTGCAAGCAGTGAAAAGCGAATGAGTACATACCAGCCAAAAGCTCTCCATGTTATCCCTCGATGGCGGCGGAATCTGGTTGACATCACCAATACTGCTGAACCCAGCCCCGTCTTCGAGAAGCGTGTGTTTTACGAAGGATTGGAACATCTCCCAGCCCCAATTTCTGTACTTCTCGTCTCCTGTGATACGCCACATATAGAAAAGACTCTCAACGGTCTCCGGACGCTGCAAATTGTGCGTATCAGCAGGTTTGATGATATAGTCCTGCTTCCAATCGGCGTCGTCAGCTGGATCTAGAGTCTCCGGGCCCTTCAGAACCCCATGTCGCATCATCTGAGGCGGATCGTAGATGTTGAAGTGAGCAATTTCTGGCGCCAGGCCAGTAGCCGTAACTTTGTACATGCCCCAGCATGTCTTCATCAATTCGACTGCAAGTTCCATCTCTTCTTCTTGCTTGGTACTCCAAGATGGTAGCTTCTTAGCCTCCTCCACGGTCAAGCCTCCGGTGGCGCCTAGCGCGATGGTGCCTGGCATGAAACAAACCAGATGGTCCATTTTTGGAGAAATGTGCCCACTAAGCCCGCTCGGTCGCTCAGCCAGAACAGTGAAATTCGAAGGTTGAGAATAGGTTATCAGGTGTTTACGGACACCAGCGAGAGCTTCGTCCCACATTTCGAGATAGATGGGTTCTTGCTTCGCAGTTTGATAATACTGCTTGATGAGATACTCTGGAAGGAATTAGCTAGGATGTTGAGAGAACGGTTCCGCAATCCTACCGTAGTACGAGTCTCCACGGCTTCCAAGACGAATCTCATTGCTTCTAAAGATACCCTGATCTGCATAGATGAAGATAGGCAGGAGCCCGTCTCGGGCCCCATTGTTATCAACGACTTGCATGACCTTCTCTGCCTTCTCCCAGTATGTTGCTTCTCCGGTCAAAAAGGCAAGATACTTCATCTCAAGCTGAAGACTTGTCGCTTCAGCGGTAGATGACGCACCGCCATCGGCATGCGATGGGATCCCCTTCAACGTCTTGAGATTGACACTAGCATATGGAACACCGGAGTTTGACTCGTAGGCTGACAGTAACCGGTCCGCGAGGTCGCTGGCTTTCTCCAAATACAGATCCTCATCGTTTGAGCCCTCCGCGGGTTTCATCCCTGGGAGAGTTCCTTGCAAGTAGTGTGCCGACAGCAGACCACCCAACATGCGTATAGTCGTCTCGAATGTGTTGACGTCTTGATCCTTGTCGTAAGTCAGACTGGTCGATATCCATTGACGGGCATGTCCAAGCTCCCTTGTCAGATTCATCAGCATCATGGTGTCCAAAGCATCGACGATAATCCAGCCTAGTCCGCCTGTCGCCATGTGGCGACCTGACTTGGAGCTGGGATGGTATTCATCGTAGCCTGGATGATTCGTGTTAGTTTCCGAAGATTGAAGAATGCTTAGTAGAATGAAAACAAAAGCTGCTTACCCCATCCATGGTCTTCATATGCCTTCCAGCTTAATTTGAACGCGTCTCTCACGCTCTCCCGCCTCTCCTCCCAATCCACCTTTTCTTCCACCGCAGAAAAGAATCCCCAAGAGCTCCCACCACCACTTCCCTTCTTTTTAGAATCTCCTCCTGACCATGGCCAGCCGAACCAGTAAAAGTATGCAACTATTAGAAAGAATATTGTCCCTGGCACCCGTTTCGTCCGAAACCACTTCTTCTTCCTCATCGACGTCCCATAATTATACGGCTTGTCCTTGTACATCGGCAGCCCTTTCTCGCCAAAGACACCTGAAATTGCCTCCGCTACGCTGCCATTCCCGCTAGAACTCCCTCCGAAGCGCGATTGTCCCGAGCTGCCCCAGACCGAGTCTTCGAGACGCCGGACGCCGCTGGGATCGTTGAATGTTGGCACGTTGCGTGGGACTGCGAACGACATGCCTTCTGCGAAGCCGGTGTCTTCAAAGGCCTGCTTGCCGGCCTCGAGGGCTTGTTGGCCCGCCTGGCGAGTGTAGGTCGCGGCACGCGCGGCGCTGTGCTGGAGGAGGTTGAAGGCAGTGGATCCGGTTCGGAGATTGAAAGGGTCCCTGGTGTTCATGCCCGGAGGGCGGGGAGGCTGAGGCTACGGGAGTAATAGTTATTAAGAGAGAGAGGCGTATTAGCTGCACAGAGCGGCGATGAAGTTGCCAGCTGTTGATGGATTATGCTATCAAGGTAAGGCGCGGTCATTGCTTGGCTGTCAGGGGTTCGGAAACTCCGCATTGGTTCCTGCATCAGCGCTGCCATCAAATCGAGGTATCTCGTCGCGGCTTCGTCATCCTTTCTAGGCAGTGCTGCGGGTGCTGCTGGCGTGAGATGGCAGTTATATTGGCTGGGTCCCAGCTTCTTGAGATCTTCACATAGCTGGACACAGTGCTCATCGGCCTTTCTCTGCCTTGCATCACAAGCCGCCAAACATTACCACCAGTGACGACATGGCTTTGTTTACCGACGACTTCTGTGACCCCGTCCGCTTCTTCTTCTCTTCTATGTTCAGTTGTTTGCCTTGCTGCAATATTTACGCTAGTCATTCTATTTTCCACTCTCACGATGAAACACCTTTACGTCGATCCGAGGAAAGAAGAGGCTCCCACTAGAGAGCGCAAAGCACATTTGACATGTCTTCCCAAAGCAAAAGAGACCAAACTTCACCCAACCAGGCCTGGCGGTGAAACTGCGAGTCTGTTCTTCGTGGGAACTGCCACCACCATACTGTAAACATCACGGAGCACTCCTGGAGTTCAATCGTTCCAGTCTAATTTATGTGCAGAGAGTGGGAAGGTATGCGTGTAATGACCGATCCAAACTTCCTCCACGCCGGCGATCATGTCAGTTTAGGTCCTGGAATATCTGCAGAGCGCATCACGAACCCAGCTGTGGACCTCCAAGACCTTCCCCGGATTGATGCAGTGCTCCTCTCTCACTACCACGGCGACCACTTTGATCAGAAAGTAGAAGAATCCCTTCGACGTGATATACCGATCATCACTACTCTACATGCTAAAAGCTGTCTTCAATCCAAAGGCCAGGAGTCGTTTAGTGAGGTTCACGATTTGGAATCCTTCCAAAGCTTGATGCTGGACATTGAGACGGGTTCTATACGAGCTGGAAAGAAGCCTGGGATCAAAGTCACGGGGATGCCAGGGAAGCATGTCAAACCAGGACTCTTGTCTACTGCGAACAACCTTCTGAAAGCCGTTCGTACTTCGCGAACGAATAACAGACTTAACCATACTGATCTAAGAAGGTTCCTCCGAGCAATGGATGGATGATCGAGCTGGGATATCGGAGTGCCAGTGATTCAGAGAGCTTTGAAAACAGCTACAGGTGAGATACCTCGAGCCTTCGCCGGATCGTTGCTGATTCAGATAGAATCTACATCTCCGGCGACACTCTGATGGTAGATGAATTGAAAGAGATCCACGAGCGATACAAGGATCAGAGCATTGACCTCATGTTGATACATCTCGGCGGAACCACGCTACCGTCGCCAGCAGTACCATTATTGATGGTGACCATGGATGCGAAGCAGGGAGTCGAGCTGGTACAACTGATCAAGCCGGACGTTACGATTCCAATACACTACGAGTAAGTCGATTCAAGAGGAGCACATCTTCAGCCATGCTAATAGGTTCTCAGTGATTACAACGTCTTCGCGTCTCCCCTTTCGGACTTCAAGACAGCTGTCGACGAGGCCGAGCTGAGCTCGAAAGTAGTATACCTGGATCGCAAGGACGAGTACAAGTTCAAGGTCTGATGAGGGGGCAGCCGGTTTCGGGTCTTGACTTCGTTATGTTTACGAAAATACCCCATTCACGAGATAGACGACCAGAAATTCATGAAGGAACCATTGATTGATTTCCGCTCACGAAACTGTCCGAAAACGTGTTCATGTCGCCGTTTTCCCTTAATCCGTGCAGTGAATTGAAGCCAACGAAACACCCGGCCATCTGCCTTCAGCAATCCATCCCCATCCCTCGTTTCCTATTTATGCCCTCTTGCCCTTGGGATTTTTCTTGGCGACCTCGGTGACTAGGAGTCCTGTAGCAGAATTATCAGCCGTTGTCCATTATCTCATTTCCATTGCGCTTCATCCACCACTCAAGTGTTTTCAACCGGCGAAGGAGTATATGCTGGGAGCGTCCGTACCAGGGGGGAAGCTCTGCTTCAGCTTTTCCGCGCGACCAGCATCCTTGACGACGTGTGTGTAGAGGTATCGACTGCACCGGACCTTGAACTTGACTTGGTTGCTCTTCTTGTTCTTCTTTATGCGCGCCGCTATTTACAGACGTCTGTTAGCAATCTTTCTTAATCTTTCATCCAAATAATTGCCCATGTCATCCATTGAGCCGCGTTCCCTGTCGTTCAGGAAGTTTCCGTGCTCCGCATATAGAACCAGATTTCTTGAGCGGGTCGCGATGGGAGGTCTAGGCTGGGCGGCAAAACTCACTCTTTGCGTCCTTGCGGCGGCAGATCTCGATGAACTGCTTGAGGTCCGAGATTTCTGAAGGCATGTTGGCGGTTGTTGTGAGGTGCCGATTATGTGTCGTGAGGATCCTCGAATGTGGAGGTGCGAAATTCAAATGCGATAATTCGCTTGCTGCTACGGCAGACCGCAACCCTGATCCCGCTGATGCATGCCGTAGCTCGAGATTGGTATCACGTGGGAGGTGACGACTTCACTGAGAGTTGCGGCCAGCTTGCAACAACTTTCATACCTTTCTGCCTAGAATCCCTTTCCGAAACTCTCATCTGCTAGAGAAGCGTCCAGAAAGTAAGGTACCTCTCAGAGAAACCCTTTGCGCATCTGAATCTGCATCGCGCCACCTCGGACATCAAGAAGCTAGAAGCTAGGAACAATGCCGACACCTCTTGATCGTGCCACCCAGGCTAAGGTATGCTATAATTACATCTTTCTTGGATCTAATCGCTACTTCATCTTATTCTTGCATCTTTACTAATGGTACCTTCAGAGCCCATTCATTGGTATTCGCTACCCAACTCGCGCCATTCTCCTTACTACCATCTCTGACTGTACTAGCATTTGCCGCTATTGTGACTGCAGTCGCTGCATGGAGTATATGGGGTCCTGGTGATATCTTCCCCGCGCAGCCAGATCCTACGGGTGGTAAGTAATTCTTCTGCTCCATCTTTTCGCTCATTTTCTAACATTTTGCTATAGAGCCAGAGACCTGGACATCAGAAGAATGCCGTCGGTGGCTCAATAATGTACGTCCTTGTCACATATCTAAATACCTCAAGGCCCTTCTGACAGTGTGAAGCGCAAACTTCACCCGAATCCATTGGCCACGTCGGCCGAGCTTGTGGAGCGAGTGAAGGCTAATATGCGACCACCGCCTCGCCCATGATGGGAGCACTTCGCATCACTATCAGTCCAGAATGATTCATTTGTACTTCTTTGAGGGAAAGCGGGCGATGGAATGGCGTTAGTGGTGGTATTGCCGAGCGTTATGTAGCAATATGACTACGCTTAGCGCGCACTATCGCGGTCTAGGGTGTAGAGGGTTTTGTGAAATGTTTCCCCATTTGTTGGAGTAATGTGTCTATCTGACATGCCCAAAGCAGTCGCAAAGAGAAGGAAAAGAAGGCAAAGTGAGGCAGTTCACCTCACGCTCTGTCGCAGAAGATCTACCGGCAGCCCATCAGAAGATAGCACGCCACAAGATCTCCTCAGTCGAGCAACCCAGAATCGCAGCCCAGACACCATCCAATCGCCATGCCATCGACCTCATGGAAGCCACCAAGCGCCCTCCGAATAACCCCCAAACCACGATCCCAATTTGCAACCTCCGAGCTTTGACATCATCGACAGCTGGATAATGACCCCTCTAGACTGCCATCAAAGCCTATTCCACCACCTCAAAGTCCCATTCCTCATCCTCCAATTCAGCCTCCTTTGCCAGTCTTTCCTCCTCTTGGATTTCTTTCATGAGAGCATCCAATTCCTTCTTCTTCTCCACGAAGCGTTTACCCTCTTCCTTCCGCTTCTCAATCTCCTCCCTCTTATGACGTGCAGCAAGCAGCTTCGCCCTCGCCGCTACAATCTCGGCATCCATAGACTGTTGCTCCTCCGCGGTGGGGCCTGGCTTGCTGCGCTTAAGTGCAGGCGTTTTCGGAGGTGTCGCAGGCCGCTTTGACGGCGTCAGGGGCCCGCTAGGGAGGCTAGCACCTGGTGCAGACGGGACGGAAGTCGAGCCGGTTTCTGAGGTCTGGATCGGCGCAGGGCGTTTGGCCTGCTCGGGAGCCTTGCTGCGGGTTGGTGCCTTCGAATCGGCCCGCTTCTTGGTGTTGCTGGTTTGTCTGTTTGCGGGGCTGAGTGGCTTCAGGCCGGTCGACTTGGGTTGAGCAACCTTCTTCGGAGCGGCGTTGTCATTCTGTTTCTCCGGGAAAGGGCCGAATAAGGATGTATCAGTTTGGGACTTGGCGGGTTCGCCGGTCTTCTTCCCGCTCTCATCGGCTTCTTCTGATTGGCTGTAAGAGTGGCTGGACGAGGCTTCACCTGCAGCGGTTGCAGCAGTCTGATCCCGTTCCTGATCAGTCAGCATAGCTCTGATCCTGTCCTTTTGCTCCTCTTGCCGAACCTTTTTCTTCTCGTCGGCTTCCTTTCTCAGATTCGCAAGGATCTCATCGAGGTCGAAAGAGCCCGGCTGTGTCTCTGGAGGCTGCACAGTGATACTGCTTGAGCTGGCTGTAGCCGGAGCAGAGGCCTTCGATGCGTCGTCCTGAGACAAGGTCTGACTCTTGGGATTAGCCGTTGTCGTGACACTAACAGGCGCTTGAGTCTTCGACATCGCTAGAGCCTTGCTTGCGGTTCCTTCGTCCTTGGGTGCAATTTCTTCAATTTTCGAGTCGTCAACAGGCTTGAGTTGAAGGGGACGTGAGACGCCTTTGATATCGTGGGTAGCGGAGTAGGTCATTGCCAGGTTGGCGCCCGCGATTGAGTCTGTCATGGCGGATTAGTGAAAGGCTATGACGTCGTTTTATGTGACTTCACTCACGCTTGGATCGGTAGTAGAAGCGAAACACAGCCCAACTGCCTTCACCAGGGCGATCACCCTGAGCTTTCCTGACCTTTGTCGTGCTTGATAGCTTGCTGTAGTCCTGCGAACCGTCCACTCGTGGCGTAAGCTCGTACTCTGGAGCAAGTCTCGGATACATTGCTTTGAGCCCATAGACGTCCTTCCAGGAGGCTGCGTCATTGAACCAAGTCACATCTTTGGCCTTGTAGATCTCTCCTGGCTGTCGCAAAGCCGAGAAACGCACCTCGATCATCCCAACACTCTGGGTTGCCCATTCCCGGAAGGGTTCAAGATCGACGTCATTTCGGATAGCAGTGACTTCGACGCTAGTCTCTCGAAGGAGGTCCTTGGACTTGGGTTGTAGGAAAAGAAAGGTGTTGATGGAATCCTTCTTGTTCATCTTGTGCTTTCCGGTGCAGGATGCGAACTTCGTGGCGCGCAGTATACCGTCTATTAAGACATCGGTTGCCAGATAGGTCGTTCTTCCGATGAAGTGAGTGGAAACGCTGAGCATGGCTCCCACGTCGACGCCAATGAAGCAGCAAATGGCTCCATCTTGAGCCACAAACTCGTCGTACTCGTCGAGTAACTCAGTGGGACCATTTACTCCAACATGAACCTCTGCGTGGCGGCTGCTGCCCTTTTCGTTGCACTTCATGTTGGTAGAAGTGGCGGAAAGTAGAGGTGGTGGAGGATGTGGTGAAGTTGAAGACGGTGACGGGTTGGCTGAGGACGAAAGAAGTCAGTGGGGCTAGCTGCTTTGGTGAAATGAAACGGTGAATACCAGACTTGGCGGGGAAGTGAGGTCCTTACAAGGTCTTGTCGGAGATCCGTGTACACCTTTCTGCCACTGCCTGTGGTGCTTCGTAGGCCTTTCAGAGTCTCGAATTGGAAGAAAGTTCGGTGTTTTGAACAACTGATTAAGTCGCTAGACCACCCCGGGCGGCGACAAAGTGGTGTACGTAGATGAAAAGTGTGATCCGTCGCCCGAAATTTCTTCTAGGACACTGAAGCAATACGCGCACTGGCAGAAGTATGTGTACGAAGGGACGATAAGATACTGTAGGATAAACAGTCAAGCTTCGTTGAATGTAAACCCCACTCCACTCCAACACCGTCTGAGGTAGATCGGGGAGATTTCAGACTTGCCAGAACTGTTGCTTCGCCATTTTTACGGTGTACCGGAGAACCTCAAGCGATACCGAACAAAGATACACAAGCCTAGAGAGAGTTTTGTTACTTGGATCAGTTCTTACAGCGACTGGCCATAAGTCTGTGCACACTGGTTTGCCACTGCTTGGGGTGCCCCAACGGGGTGAAAAATCTAGGCGCGATGTCAAGTTTCGTACAGTGGAAATTGGGCTGCCACTTAACTGAACGGCTTCTTGGTGACGGGCATGCTCCAGACGGTGGTATCGGGCTTCCAAAAGCGACACACAAGCAGTGAGATCTATGTGCCCAGACTTATGAACTGTTACTATAGAATAGAACTTCATGCGGTCTTCGTGGACAGTCAGGCTCCGTTGAACATAAAGGCATTTGCAGTCCAACACTGTCTGAGCTAGCCCGGAGAGCTACCATCCTTGTCAAAATCGTCGGTTTACCATATTTGATAACGTGCCAAAGGACATCAAGCGGTGCTAGACAGCTGTACACAAGCGCAGAGTGAGTGTGCATATAAAGTACTGGGAGTTTTAGAATGTATCGTCGACGATACCCAGTCCTACTCTTAGAAAGCTGCACGGAGATGACGAAGAGTCACCAGTCATGGCAATCCTTGGGAGTCGAGGAAGCAGGGAACGAATTTCTTCAAAACTTCTTCAACGACTACCTGGGTCAAATGGATCGGAAAACTCGACGCTCTCAATTGAAGACTCTTACTCGGACGGAGAAGGGACTTCCGGTGGGAGAATCCACGGCAAAGGCTTTCCTAGCAGGATACTTTCATCATCGCCAGCGACTGCATGAAAAAGAGACAACCGAATTGAGCGAATTGTTGAAGCCAGATGAGTCTCACACCTACAACGTAAGACGTAACGGCAAGGATCTGCAGGACAGTGCTGAGAAAGTTTAGGAGACGATTCCATGCGCAGGAGTGGCTTGGGAATAGCTATCCAACGTTTCCCGTCAAATCAGCAACACAAAATCGCTGGGCCGTTCTAGAGATTTCCAACAATCAGGTTTCATGCGAGACAGTCATTCAATGTTGCACATAAGTGGAAATCACAGATCCATGGACTGCTACTTTTTGTTCAAATCAGCCTGACAGTGTTGATGGAAGCTCGGGCACTCGCTTACTGTAGCTACAATTTCTTGCCAAAATTTCCTGCCATATCTTGCCATGTAATCACATACTATTTTCGCAGCTTCGCTTTCAAGCCATTTGATATAAGTGTCGTCAGCTGTATTTTGGCCCTCGATAATAATCTCAATCCCAATCGCCACATTGGCACAAATGCAAATCGTACATAATCGTAAGTGGAAGATAAAGGTATCGAATTGATATGTGGGTGTGTCGAGTGGAAGTCGCTGTTATTTGTTCTACACGCCCGATCGGGTGAATACTGAGGCTCAAGTCGTAAAATGTATGCCTTTACACGGTCAGTACCAACGAAAAGACATGATTCCTGGATCCCATACTCAATCGTCAAATTCTTCCTATGATCTAGTGCGCCGACAATCGATCATCCAACCATTTCGTCGATCAGATCGCATACTCTCAGACGACAAATCGGAAGTTCATGTTCTGGATCACCCAAGCTTTCACCACGGACTTTGGTCCATTGGCTGTCTTCTCAGGATTCGGCACCAGCACGAATGTCTCGCTGAACTGCTTCAACGGGCCCGTCTTCGGTTCATCCAGTCTCACAGTCCCGCTGACTAGCACGACGATGCTCATCCTCTTCTCAATATCCTTGTCTTGCTCTCCGCTCCCTCCTTTCAGCTTGTCCGGTGCCATCGCCGTCGGGTTGAGCACATGGCAGTCAAAGGATTGTACTTCGTAGTGGGTGAAGGGCATGCGGTCCTCGTATAGTGCTTGGTACTCTTCTGGGGTGCGGAAGACGTTGCCATTCCAGACCATCCCCGGAAGCTCCTTGCCATCAGCGAAACGCTCAAAGGGGCAGAAGTAGGACGCGATCGTGTGCCTTGAGCCTTGGAGTGCGACGTAGTAGTTGTCGAGGAAGTTCTCGGTGGCTGAAATATACTTAGTTTCTGCGCGTCGGTGCAGTTCTACGAGAACTGAAGGAGGTTCGGTACCTTCGATACTGGCGGTGGTTAGCATGTGCTGGTCGTACTTAGCCATGATGCTGTGGTGCAGTAGTTGGTTTGGTGTGAGAAAGTGGTAGTGATTGTGGGTGTGGGAATTCAGTGCAGTGTTTGTGTTTTGTTGACTACACTGATGTGAAATTGACAAGCAATGTGTATAAGATTTGTAGGAGGTCAACAGCGGGTGAATACGCGGACACGTGGTCTAAGATGCTGTGTGCTCATGCGAAAAAGTAAACGTAGGCGTGGGCATTCGCGGTCGTTACATGAGGGAACCCCAGCAAAAGTTCAAAGGAGTTGATATCAGAGACGACCTCAAACGTAATGCCTGAATCCCAATACCAGATTTTCGAACAGGAGCGCCTTGGATCCGCGCCGTTGCAGTTAAGTCTGTACCCAGGTAAATTAAATGGTGTTGAAACGCGGCGAGGTCCCTGCGCGCCAAGAGCGAGCCGCCGTTGGCAGATCTCAGCTTCCAATTGCTTTTCTTTCCGCCCTCTATCTCCAGCCCTCACCACCCCAAGACCTCTCCTCTCTACTCGACGCCATGCTATCGCGAAGCTCCCAGCGGACGGCGCAGGTACGAGTCCACCACATATTCCCTCCGCCAACGTCAAGTCGCGCGTCGCAAGCTAACGCGATTGTGCAAACCAGACCCTCCTGCGGGGCGCAAAGCCTGCTTCACGATGTGCTACCGGACCTTCAATGGCTATAAGATGTGAGGAGGACCTCTGCGACTACGAGCGCTACTGCAATTGGGAGACTGACACAATTATCCGACAGCAATGGCCACGATTCAGCACGACATCTTCAAGCCTACCAAATTTGGCGGCAAATACACCGTTACCCTGATCCCAGGTACGCAATTGCAATTACAAACACTCTCGAGCGGCTTCTTATAGGATATACTAGGTGACGGTATCGGTGCTGAGGTCTCAGAATCGGTCAAAGAAATCTTCAAGGCAGACAATGTCCCGATCGAATGGGAACAGGTCGATGTGTCTGGTGTCGAGACTGGCGATAAGCACTCGGAAGATCTTTTCAGGGAGTCAATTGCATCTCTGAAGCGGAACAAGCTCGGGCTGAAGGGTACGGCAGTCCTAAAATGGCGCAATGGAGGTCTCCCCACTTACGGAAAGCATAGGTATCTTGCATACACCTGTCGAGAGGTCTGGTCACCAATCGTTCAACGTTGCTCTCCGTCAAGAACTCGACATCTACGCCTCCATCGTCCTCATCAAGAACATCCCTGGATACGAAACCCGCCACAAGAATGTCGATCTTTGCATCATCCGAGAAAACACCGAAGGTGAATACTCTGGTCTGGAGCATCAATCCGTCGCTGGCGTGGTCGAGTCACTAAAGATCATTACTCGGGCTAAATCTGAACGCATTGCCAAATTCGCGTTTGCCTTTGCTCTAGCCAACAACCGGAAGAAGGTCACTTGCATTCACAAAGCCAATATCATGAAACTTGCCGATGGTCTGTTCAGGAATACCTTCAAGAAGGTCGCCGAAGACTACCCTACCTTAGAAACCAACGACATGATTGTGGACAATGCTTCTATGCAGTGCGTCTCCAGGCCACAACAGTTTGATGTCATGGTCATGCCTAACCTTTACGGAGGCATCTTGTCCAACATTGGCGCCGGCCTTGTGGGTGGACCCGGAATCGTACCTGGGTGCAACATGGGACGGGACGTTGCAGTCTTCGAGCCCGGCTGCCGTCACGTCGGTCTCGATATTAAGGGCAAGGATCAGGCTAACCCAACCGCTCTTCTTCTCTCTGCATCCATGTTGTTGCGCCACCTCGGACTGGACGACCATGCCAACCGTATTTCCAAGGCTGTCTACGACGTCATTGCTGAAGGGTGAGTGCTTCTTTCAGTTTACAACGCGGTTGAAGACCCATACTGATACAATTATAGTAAAACGCGAACACGTGACATGGGAGGCAACTCCACCACCCACGAGTACACTCGTGCTGTTCTCAACAAGATGGAGACATCAGCATAAGTTTTTCAGTGTTTATAGACTATGACTTGGTGAGGACTTGACTTGAAGAGTATGTGCCATAGATGTACTTCTAGCGTATATAGGGGGAAATGCATGCATTGGTCTTTCACTGCCGACCCATTTTGACAATCGAACGTCCCGCTGAACTATGTAGCCCTTACGCCAATCCCAACACTACCAGTCTCGAAAAGCTCGACCAGGCCAGCTCCAACACATTCCTCCAAGATCCATTCGAATCTTATTCCGTTGAGTTGTCTCCACTTCTTCGTGCGCCCTGGGAGAACGCCCGTGAACTCTCCTCTGGCCTTTTTCGCTCTGGTCTGTGCATCTTCGCCTGCAATGCCACCATCCCAGCGTTCGTGAAGTACGTTTCTTGGTGCCTCTCGATACTTGGTCTTCTTCAGCATGCCAAGGAGGTGGTTGCGTGCATCGACGATAAGCCGGAGGACTACACCGGTATTGGGTAGGGAGAAATTGTAGCGAGCTAATGAGCCAGTTCTGCGTCCTGAACCTCCGCCGCTGATGTTTTGCTGGGCTTGTGCTCCGCCCACGGCTGCTAAAGAGCCTGAAGCGTTCTTTGATCCTGCCGTGGCTAGAGAGGCAAGAGTACCAAGACTTCCGGCACCAGGCCGAGCAAAGAGACTAGATACGGAGGAGGATGCGCTTGCTGTGGTGAGGAAACCGGCTTCTGTCAGCGCGGAGGCTTCGTTGGGGGTAAATTCTATGCCGGAGATGTTTAATGTTGTTGGGTTGCTCTTCAAGAGGGATATGTATTTAGCTGCTCAAAGTCAGCATCTAGCCTCAGAATGACGGATGAAGGGATACCACCTTTTACTTCCTCGTCGAGGCCGGGATGGGATTGGACCAGCCTCTCCCATTCAGACACTAACACTAACCCCTCGCCAACTGTCGAAGCTCCTGTGCCGCGGTTAGGAATTGCAATCTTCCGAATGACACCTGCCCGTGCCAGCTCTGCAATCTCCCTCTCGGTTGTAGTAGGCGACTTGCTCAAAGCATGAATATGCGCCAATGTGACTATGGGCGGTAGAGAGAGTCGATAGTTCAACACGTCCGCGATTCGGGCTCCGTTCATCCCAGAAGCTCTTTCGGGTATGTCACTGAACATGCGGCTTTGGATGTACTGCAAGAACATGGGTACATCGCGAAAGTTCAGATCAGTGGCAAGAGATGCTATAATGCCCATGTCGTCCAGTTTCTCATCGAAGAATTCATCTTCTTTACTTGAGGAGGTCTTCTTCTCCGGTGAGGCCTGCGATGACTTTCGGCGAGGGCTTCCTGTTGATGACCGGCGTAGGCCTAGGGGATCTGGCTTTGGTCTTCTACTCTTTGTGATACGGGAGGAATGCGCCGAGGTCAATTGGAACGACATTCTCTAATTTCAAAAGGCTTTCCAGACTCAAGGAGCTTTGAATAGGCCAGAAATGACTCTTGGGGCCTTTAAAAGGAAGGGAAAGAACCGAAGAGGTTCCCTAGATTATATGGACGTCCACCGAGGGTGGGTATGACTCGACGCAGGCAGCACTTTGCCTTCCTTTTTTTGCGCCGGGTGACGAGAGCGTGCTCGTTTGATCATCTCAGTTTCAGTCTATCGCAAGTCCACCGAGGTGTATAGAGCAGATAGGAATAATGTGGAAACCCGTGAGAACGCTCGTGGTGTTGAGTTTGCTCTTGGCAGCGGCGGCTGAAAGCCAACCCAACCTCCTTCCGCTCGCAGACGTCATCCGCACTTTTAGGGCAGGGCTTACCTACGTCGAGAATGTCTAGGTATCCCAAGCTTTCCCCGTTCTCCTTTTCTCGCCACCATGATCTGCTCTCAGGGCCTATAGCAACACCACACGAGCTCATTCTTTTGATACGCCGTCGAGCTCCCATATCACCCCCGCGCCATGTCACTCAATCCGGAGCCCGCCGCGCCTGAAGAGCGCCAGGCTCTATCCCTCGCTCCCAAGAGCTACGCTGAAGCTACCGAAGCCCCCGCCGACTCCCAAATATATCATCCACCAGCAAAGGAGAATTCCGGAGCACCCGAAGCTACCGCTAGGTCACTCAATGAGTCGTCTGGACCACAACACGAGAACGGGGACCATGAAAAAAGCTTTGCAGAGGCTCTCGAGGCACCTCCTCTCCCCCTAGATGCTCCAACAACACATATCAATGGCTTGGACAATTTGAATGGCTTGACTGAACGATCGAATGGAGTCCAACAACCAACGAAGCGTGCGAAACCAACACCCGCTCCGATCGAGCCGGAGAAGGAGCAATATGAAGGATCAGGACAGGATGACAGCCCTAAAAGTCCCACACGAAAGGGTCATAAGAGACACTCGTCGCTGAAATCGAATGGTTCCGTCTCAACGTCTTCGAGGCCATCCTCGCGGTCGCAACACCACATATACCACGAACACAAGAATGGAAATGGCGGGCTTTTGGCAAGCATTAAGCCGTCTGAGGATTACGATCGCCAGCTTCTAGTAGCCAAGAAGGAGAAATCAGCTAAGAAGGGTGAGCTGGTGCATGGAAGGCAGGCCGGAGCAGGTTGGGCAGCGAGCAAGTATGCCACTCCATTACGAGCGTTCCAATCCGAAGCCCCAAACACCAGATGCCTCTTCATGCCAACGCGGTCAGGACTTGCAATAAAAGTCAATCTCTGATTCCACTACAATGATTCATTGTTATACCAGTCTAACGTCTTACAGGATTCGCTACGCACCCCTCAACGTGCCAATACAAAGACGTCTTCAAACCCTGGCTGTCTTGATGCACACCTTGAGCGTTGCAGGCCTCCTGGCAATCTTCTTCTTCGCCTGTGGCATCCCTCTCCTCTGGCCCATCGTTCTTCCCTACTCCCTTTACGTTCTCTTCTCGCACGCTGGCACGGACGGGAAGCTTTCTCACCGCAGTGAGCGCTGGCGTCGCTCAAAAGTCTGGTCACTCTTCGCCTCCTACTATCCGGCGCGTCTGCACCGCTCCGCAGAACTGCCACCGACACGGAAGTACCTTTTTGGGTACCATCCGCACGGTATCATCTCACACGGCGCCTGGGCGGCCTTTGCTACCGAAGCCCTCGGATTCTCCCAGCTCTTCCCAGGCATCACAAACACCCTACTGACCCTCGACTCCAACTTCCGGATTCCACTCTACCGCGAGTATGCCTTGCGCATGGGCTTGGCCTCCGTCTCCCGTGAGTCCTGTGAAGCAGTTCTCACCCAAGGCGGCCCGAACGGAGAGGGAATGGGCCGCGCAATCACCATCGTTATCGGCGGTGCCCGAGAGTCGCTGGACGCACGGCCAGGTACCTTCCGCCTTGTTTTGAAATGCCGCAAGGGCTTCGTTAAGATCGCCGTCCGCACGGGCGCGGATCTCGTTCCTGTTTTAGCATTCGGTGAGAACGACCTTTACGACCAGGTCGACGCAAAGACCCACCCCTGGGTCCACAAGCTTCAACTCCTCGTCAAGAAGATCATGGGGTTCACTGTGCCGTTGTTTCATGCAAGGGGAATCTTCAATTATGACGTCGGCATGATGCCGTACCGTCGCCCACTCAACGTGGTGGTGGGACATCCTATCAAAGTCATGCAGCAGGAGCAGCCGGATAGGGATTATGTCGAGAGCTTGCATACACAGTATGTGGAAGAATTGGAGAGGATGTGGAATGAGTGGCGAGACACTTTTGCTCCGGCAAGAATTGAGGAGTTGAAAATTGTGGAGTAATGGTTATGTTGACGGATTGGAGCGGAATAAGGCAACAGCTCAAGAAATTGGGACGTGGGTTTGAAATGCTTCAAGCGGTGGATACGGATTAGCCTGCGTATCAGCCTCTTCTATTCTTTAGGAGGATGTATAAACAACGGGATCCATCACTACACCAAATCACTACTTTACAGAACCATGTATGCACGTGATGCGTCTTCGACTCTATATATTTTGTTAGCGATCCGACAACCTCGACACCCTTCTCACATGAAGACCCTTCGTGGTTCCAAAGGGGAACACTAGGTGGAGAGTTCGACTTGACAAGGACAGCGTAGTCATGGAAGAGTGAGCAGCAGCACCGATTCATTTCAACACCAGCTTTCGAAGCCGCTCTTCTCCATCCAAAACAAATCGCTTTCGTTGTAATCGAGTCGAGAGGATGCTCCTCAGCAGGCCGTCTGAGCATGTGCTCGAGGCCAGCGAGATGGAGGTTGAGGTTCACAACCTAGACAAGCAAACAGAAGCTGGCCGGCTTTTGGGAGTTTTGGAGTTCATGGGAGTTGGAGACAGATCAGCGTTTTCCTGGGGCTCCTATGGCTTGGACAGTGAGATGGCAGACGCAGAACCAAAGCTCAGCGAGGAGGACAAGCGCCGCGCTTTGTATGAGAAGGACATCGACCTTGAGGATATCCTAAGCGCAGAGCACCTTCAAATCGCCAAGACAAGCGAGGGCAAGAGACGGTGGTCATGCTCACCAACCCCGATGAAAGCTCTCTCCGCACATGTGGCTGCTGCTACTGTTATTTGCATATTCCAACCGATGGCAGCCCATAGAGCGCAACTTGACACCCACCAGACACCAAGAGCCATTCTTCTTCTGAATGATTGTTTTTACAACACCCACCAACTTCCCATACTAAGAAGAAAGTTGTAAAGCCTGGTCAAGGTTTTATCCCCAGCCCCAGCGTCGGCATGCGGCAGTCCCGTGACTCTGCGTCAGGCTCGCGTTTGAAGGACAACGACGGGACTGTTCTAGATTTCGTCGTTCATTCATGTCGGCGGGCCCCAGTTATAAACCTACTCCGAGGGCTGGAAACCTTGTGAGGTAGAGTTGTATGCGCTGGGCATTAAAGCAGCTAGAAAAGCGAGCTGATGCATGCAGGGTCCAGTATAGAGGTCATAACGCCAGCAGATATCGCATTGCTGGCCCCAAACAAGCCGTGTGTAGTCATTGGAGATTGATGATAATTGATTACGGTGCCTGAGCTGCTATTCTATTATTCGCAACTAGCAACAGCACAGCAGAGAGTAGTTGTGGAAACACGCATTGTATTGTACGCATCCGGCATGATGAAAGCAGAAGACCGAGATTAGCGCATTCCAAATCTTTATCGTCATCAGGTGGTGTAGATCCGGGGCAGTGCTGACGCGCGTCTGTAGCGCCGTTAGGATGCCATCTCTGCCATCAGCTGCTGGCTGTGCCAGGCGCAAAATGCCTCACTGCCCGTAGTATAACTTGTCGAGATATTTTGTATATGGAATCACAAATCTAAATAACTATCTATCATTCTACAACGCTTTGTCATCTGAAGCGCCGAAGTGGAATTATTGCAGTGATTCAAAAGTACAAAAAGCCGCCATCAGACCGTCGTTCGCGCTTCCATTTCCATCACCCCTCTTCATCGTAGACTCACTCAAGGCACTATGGGTTCACAGCAACAGACGCTCTCTGAGCTGTCAAAGGTTCTCCCTCTGGATGAAGACTCACTCAAGCAAATCATAACATACACCGAGACGCTCTCTGATGCGGAGGCTGCTGAACACCTAAGAAACCTACTCGGCGACTCGCCACAGGCCCTTGACTTCATCACATCTTTCACGACGCAGCGGCGGGCGCCAGCCAATGCAACGTCTACACAAACGAATAATGGCAAGGCTGATGATAAGGCGATCCTCCAAGGGAACGGAAGTAATGTCTCAGGAGAAAAGAATGCTGCTAGTAATGGTCAACCACCAGCTTACGATCCACCGGCGTATCCTCCACCCTCAGCCAGTACAAGCAAGACATCTCAGCCTGCGAGCGACGTCAAACGTTCATCAGGAGGGACTGGTAACAGTGGTGGCCATGCGCCAGCTTTTGCGCCACCAGCGTATCCACCGCCTACGGCGAGCGCAAGCAACGCGCTTCGTCGACCTCATACCAACAAAGTCATTGAAGCTGCGCATATCCGTGCAAGAGACGAGGTGCGCCATACCCTTGCCTACCATCATGCTCTTATTGCGTGAGCTCCATGAGTCGTCGTGTCGATCTAACCCCTCGCAGCAAGAGATGCAAACCGCGCTGCAGAATCTTCAATTCAAGTATCGAATCTATAATAGTGAGATCGAGCCCGAACACGAGTATGATGGTTACTGCAATTGCCCGATCCACCAATACCAGAGAATGAAGTGGAGTCGGTACAGAGTCCAAGAATTCTGGTCGCAAGCGGTCATGTATCCAGGTCAGCATCTCCGTAGTTCTATATCAGGCCCGACGTCGCTTTTAGCTAACACAATTTATTGTGTCTGAGTAGGAGAGAAATCCTACAATGACAACGCTCAATCAGCCGGTTTGTACGGCGTGTTCAGTGGCAATCCTTACACGGGCACCGTAATCTCGCCTTACGGCAGGTTCCAGTCCTCTTGGTCATCCCAGAGACCTCGACCGGACTGCCACGCAGCGTCCATCCACCAGACCATTGATCTCAACAATAGACTGAACGCTGAAGCTCAGAGAAAGATCGATGCAAAGGAGCCAAAGATCAACATCTGGGACGACAGCGGGCTAAGCACAATGATGTCTGACATGGCAATCGCTGGGGCTGGCGACAAGAAGCAGCCGATGGAGAAGGCGCCGACAGAGAAGCCAAATGCAGAGAAACGGCAGAGCATTAGTGCTGCTCCCAGCGATGGTGGGGCGGAGAAAATTCCCAAGAAATCCAAGCTTGCAAGCTTCAGGAAGTCTGTTGGTCTCAAAACATCTGAGGAAAAGGCGTTGTCAAATGCAACAAAGGCGGTCTCTTCGGGCATTGCATTGCGCAATGAGATTCTAGCAGAGGAAAACGGTAGATGGCCAGATGAGCAGTGGCGTCAGCTTGTGGCCAGCTACCAGGAGAAGGTGGGCATGACGCAGAAGATAGCTGACCTTCGAGTGCGACACCCCATCCAGTATCTACACCTGCTCCGTGCCGGATACTTTGAGCCTATTCCAGTAGCCTGGGCCAATCTCGCGTCGAATCCCTTGAAATTCACCATCGAAGCTGCAGCTGGATGGAGGGGAATCACTCCCGCCTGGAGAGGATACGAGGATACTGCAGAGGAGCGCCTATACTGGGTTTTGAACCACAGAGAAGGGAGTGTCGGGATGAGGATGAAGCCTGACTTCATATCGGAGATGAACATGGCTCGTGCCAGAATGGCTTCAGCCGTGGAGCCGCCGCCCGAGTACTTTGCTGCCAACGATACCTGTCATCTTCAGCATACGTCAGCCGGCTACTCGAAACAAGTCATGCCCACGCCTTTCGTAGCCTACGATCGGCCAGAAGTGCCTACAGACGATACCATGATCCTCTTGGACGTCTCTGGTTCCATGGACTTTGACCCTGTGCGGCCAAACTACAATCAGTACCTGATCACTGGTTATTCCCCTTCGACACAGCCAAAGAACCAATGTGAGTGCTAGAATGATCGCGCCTTGTCGCATACCTGCTAATTCAATACCCAGACGTTGCCAAAGCCATCATTCGTCGCTTCACTGATGCAATGGCCAACCATGACCACGAGTTCCGAGGCTACGATATGGTCACTTTCTCCAACCGGGCAACCTACATCGGCACGATTAACCACCAGAATCTCGATCATATGTGGAGAAACGTCAGACTCGGCGGCGGAACCCGCGTCATGACGGGCTGGCAGAAAGTCAAGGAACTCCATTTCCAGAAGCATTCGGCGTCCGCCATCCACCACCCTATCTACGGATGGCAGGCCGGCCCCGAAACTCCCATGTTGAGGTTGCTGCTCCTGCTTGATGGCGAAGCTACCGACATGGATGAGTTCGAATTGGACTTGCTCGGGCTGGCTTGGGCTCACGTCACTATTTTCCTGATCGGAGTGGATGGATGTCCCCACCACCACCGGCATGCGAATGAGTTGCAGCGTATTAGTGACGTCAACCACCACGTGTCGTTTGTCGATGCGCAGGGGAACACCCCTGAGCGCTTCGTCACGCACGAGCTGCTCAAACGACATCTCGGCTACCAGATATCGATGTCGGAGTTTGAGGAGATGGAGGAACTGCCGAGCTACTCGGAAACTTAGCGCCGCAGGCGTATGTATATAGCTGTACGTATATGATGAACCTGTTATTCCGATGTTTGCTCAAATCTGCCTCATCATCATCCCTCATGTTTGGTCTTTGGAATCGTCGGTAACCACGCGCAGTCACGCCAGCCCTTCCATTTTCTTCCTCATCCCTCTCTTCCTCGTCATCATTGTCATCCTCTCAGGCTTCGCTCGAGGCAGTGTTCGGCCTATTCGCTGGACAGACTCTTTGCGCAGACGATGCTAGGAACTCCAGGCTCACATCCCTTTGTCTGACAGTCCTCTCCGTCCCCGCCCGGCATCTCCCTTGCTGTCCAGTAAACCCCAAACGCCGGCCCGCGCTAGGTAGAGAGCAGCTATTGCAAGAGCACTACTGGGTTCAGGCTAGAAAGTCTCACGTCGCGAAACTCTCCGCGGAAGCGCGCCACAGTCGGGCATTAAGTGTGCAGGGGCCACTAGCGAAGCGACCTGAATGGCTGCTTTCTGAGAGCTGTATGGTCGGATAAAAGTTGGTGCTTGCGATTGAGAGCATGAACGTAACTTGAAGTAGGTCTTGTTGGCAGAGGCACTTCTGGAATCACCATCTAAGCCTGGCACCAGAACGTCGATGTCGAGCAAACACTTCTAAAGCCTGAAGGGGTGGTTAGATTCCGTGCTCAGCGCCGAAGCGGGGTCGTCGTCTGACTGCGAGTTGGAAGTCGCCGTTGGATATGACCACGCCTGATATTCACGTGTTCGCCGGGGGGTTTCGCGTGACGATCTCCTGGATTGCAGGCATAAATAAATCCTCTACCTCGAGCTCTGGAGATCTTTTTCTGGCAGGGGTGTCTGCACTGGGGCAACAAATGCGGCGAGGATGCAAGCTGATGTCTTGCGGTGGGGGGGGGGGAGTGTTGGCAGACAATCTGGGCAAAGGTTTATGATGGAAGAGGGGGGAGAGGTGTTGGCTTGGGTTCAAACATCCACTGCGAAGGCATTATGTTGGTTGGTTGGTGGGGTTTGAGCGTGTTCGTACAGGGCTTTCATGATGGTGAGAAGCTTGAAGTTGAAGAGGTGGACTCCATCATCAAAAGGTAGCAAGGCCGACGTACCGCCCTCTCCAACCATATTACTTTGGGTATCGGCATTTTAGCTTTCCCGAGCCCACAGCAAGTCCACTCCCCCACATATGCCGCCATGGTCTTCTATGTTGATATTCTGCCTCTTAACTACTCCAACCTCTAAAGATCTAAGTTTTCACTGCCGGGACCCTTCTTATACCCCTCCCAAAGATCGAAACCCACCCATCACGTGGTTTAAGCGAAGTCAAGTGATGATTATCAGGTTCTGCCCCTGGCAAAGGGGTATCAGACCTCGACGGCGGCTCGAGGAACTTCTTAGTGAGTGTGAGGGACTGCAAGGAATCCAAATTGCGAGAAAGACGTACCAATGCGGCACCATCAGCGTTATGATACACATTCGTCAAATGGCGTGGGAGTTTGAATTGGGGGGAGGGGGGTGTTCAACAGACTACGTGCTGAGATACGATGGAGCGAGAGGTGAGGAGAAGGGTGCGTGGTGCGTGGTGGCGTTTACGGGGTGATGGCATGAACCGCTTTGAAGTGTTGATGAAGTCGAGCGAACTGCATAGATGCGGAAAAGCTCGCGCTAGAATCGAAGAACGATAAAAAGTAAGGAATTCAAGTAGTTGTGAAGACCATCATATATGGTCATTGAGTGAGCGCCCACGGGCCTCAACAACGCTTTCTCTTCCCCAGCCGTGGAACTCTTGAGTGGCGTATTTTGATACTTCCATCTCCATCTGAGGCAGATCCATCTTCCGCATCGAAGACTACTGGTCGGAGCGTTAATACCATTTAGCCTCTGATTCACAGCTCTGAGGACTAAAATTCAGACTGGAAGCACTGCCCTTATAGTGAGACACAGGAAGAGAATTCGCCCGTCACGTGCGCCAAGACTTGGTTACGCGATATATTAGTAAACTGGGAGTCGTGATGGGACATCCGTATGTTTCATCTTTGCAAAGACTAAGATCAAGAAAGTCATGAGAAGATGGTAAGACGAATACGCTACATTAAGCTTAATCCCGCCATGAATAATATACACAAGTCCGCTTGCTATTGGACGAAAAGAGTAACGCGATGAGATACGGAAAAACCCTTCCTTCGAAAACCTAGGTGTGCTTTCTCCGCCTGGTCTTCTTTATTATTGAAGACGCTATGTTTCTCTGCTGAAATTGCTTGAAATCGTTCGGGATATAATTTTACGTGCGGATCCAGTCAAACACCAAATGCGCCAACACGGTCGATGGATAATCCACCAAGCGGTAAAACACCTCCGTGGTCAGCGCGACGAGTGGGATACATACCACCAGGCAAAGGAACGTCGATGCCGAGAAGGCAATACTGTGGGCGAAGTGGAGCTCGGCGAACATCTTGATGCCTGCGGTGTAGATGATGATGCTTTGCATCAGGAAGAAGCCTGGAGATGTGTTAGATAGTGTGCGATACAGATGACCGAGATGTAGAGACAGGAGGTAAACTTACTGAACGACCTCTTGCCCAAGTACTGGAACACCGACATTCTGAATATCCGCTGCAAGACCTCGAAATGCTCCAGACACAAGAAGAAGCCAATGATAATCAAGAAGTTGTCGTCACGTGCTTGAGGACCTTTGGTATCAAAGCCCGCGTTCAATGAGCCGGCATTGTAGAGGCCGGTATGCCCCTTCAGCTCGGCACTTCGAAGGTCCGGCCGCCACGCAACCCATAGGTACTCCATGATGTACCCAGCAAGGATGAAAAAGCCGTAGATTGGCCATGTAGGGAAGGTGAAACGCGCCACCTTGATGCCGCGGCGGGCTTTCTCGCGGAAAGACATGTTGACAACCGCGTCAGCCATGAAAAGGCCGGCTATGCTGTACCAGGCCCACGACTGGACCCACCAGGCGGTGATGACGAAGGCGCCAAATGCCTTGACACGCCACGAACGGCGAGTGTAGGGAATGATGACCATGCTCATATAGATGGTGAAGCTTTGCTCGTAGATAGTGGTGATCGTCCACAAGGTCTGCGAGGGAAAGGCCGTGTTGGCAGCTTGCAGGTTGGTGAACTTGGTCACCCAGAAGACGTCGAACATGGAGTTGAACCAGTTGAGGAAGCTGGGGATCTGGCGGGGGGTTGCAATGGAAACATTGCCGGTGCGGGTCTTGAAGTCGTCGATGTAGGCCACGCCGGACTGCGAGAAAATGAGGGTTGCGAGGGCGAAGGATACGGCGGTGGGAAACCACATGCGCAGGCCGCGGCGGAAGACGGAGCTCGCGATGGTTTGGCGGGACCCGTCCTTGAGGAAAGGCAGACACAGCGTTCGTGCGGACAGGAAGATGAAGGTTGAGTAGATGAGAGCATCGTTCCAGAACAGCACGGAGAAGGTCTTGCGGATGATTTTTTGGTAGAGAGGGCCGTCTGAATTGGCCGCATTCGCAACAGTGGCAGGAACGAAGGTCGTGAGGAAGACCCAAAGGAATGACTGAACAGCAAGAAGACCGCGCACGCCGATGAGATAGTCCTGCTCTACGAAGCCGTGAGGGCGCGGTGCTGGCACTAGGGCGGGGGGGAACTCGAAACCCATGTTGACGGCGTGCTTGAAGGCTGCAATTGCTCGCTGCCAATATCTTTATTTACAAAAACGACGACGAAAAGGAAGGGCAGAAAGGAAGGGATGCGGCACTCAGTGGCCAGCGCCTTTGGTCCTTGCAGCAGCCGATGCACTGCCGTCCGATGAGAAGGGGTCGCGGGCAGTTCGCCGGCGACGACAGGCGTGATGGAGCCATGGATGGAGAGGAGCCGAGATCGACATGCCGACTGCGCTGTCTGACGCCTCTCCTATCGCGCGGCTCGGGGCGCGTGGTGACACAGGTGTACCGTGGCCGACTGCGGGCGGTGCGTCCACGCCGGGCGTCTCTTGGTGGGCTGAAGGGCAGGGTGGGCTGAAGGGCAGGGTGGGCTGGATGTCCCGGTGGAGCGTGCGTCTGTCGTCGGTTGAAGGCTCGGCGGGGCGTGCTGGCGGTGCACCAAAAGGAGCCGTGCAGCAATGCAGCAATGCAGCAATGCAGCACCGCGTCCCTGTCGATCCGCACCAACAAACGAGGCTGCGGCGGAGTGCGGGAGCAGCCACAGCCGGGCGCTAGGCGGCCTGCGCGACCAGTCCCGAGCGAAGCCGACCGCCACCAGCAATCCTCATTAATGCGAGCAGCCGGCCGGGGTGCTGTCGCGATCATCGCACCTTATCGCAGCGGGAGGTGGGTCCTAGGCAATAAAGCCATTCTCAGCCGCTGCAGCTCCACACGCAGGCCCGCGAAGAGGTGAGATAGCAGCCGGTCCGCGCGTCGCCCGAGACGACTGCGATCGCCGTTGTTCCCAGGCCAAGATCAGGTTAAGATCTACAGGGGTCCCGGCCTGCACTCAACCGCGTAGGTGCGTGGGTGGCCGTCGCCTTATGAGGAACATTGGGATGGGGGCATGAGATTGAATGCCTCTCTAGCTGTGCCGACCCGCGCACGCCCAGCCTGGCAAGTTCCGGCGAGCGGTATCGCGACATATCAGTGACAGCTTGCTCACACCCGGCACCTGGTGGCCTCCCAGCGCAGGCAGCACTCATGCAGTCGCCACTGCGATTGCGTGCAATGATGGAACGACTCGGAGTAGGACGGCTTGCTGCATCGCGGAGGCATGGGTTCTGGACGATAGCATGGATGCCGGATGCCTCTGTGGCACAGTCGGAAGCACGAGAGCGAAAGCGAACAGCCGCAGCGCAGAGGCCACAAACCAGACAGGAGTATGGCGAGTCAGCCAGGAGCACTGCCGTGTTGGTGGAAATCGTGCATGGTCGAATTATTAATTATGTATGTACATATACCTGCAGAATGAGACTGCTCTAGCCCCTGACGGGACATTGCGCTGCTGCATGCAGCTCTATGTGCAGGGAAGTCTGCAGAAAACGCCGACCCAAGAATACTTTCATTACCCAGACCCGTCGGAACCAACTGCCGCGCTGCATGGTGCATGGTACCGAGGAACCGCCGGAAAAAACACCAAGGAACACGATAAGCTTCTTCCAACGCAGGGAGCCTTGCCCTGCTCGCGGTGACGACGTGACGGCGCAGCAGCCGTCAGACCAAGGGCTTCTACTTCCGCGCAGTAGGGTTCCATGAGCTGTACCTGACCACCTGCCTTGCATGCCCGTACAAGCCAATCGTCGCCGAGAGAATCAAATAGCCAGGGTACATGAGGGAGAACGAGATAATCATCCCTCTCGACACGAATTCTGACTTGACCTGGTTGGTGATCCACAGCGTCGCGACCAGGCATACAATACTGCACTGTTGTTAGTCACAAGCTCCGAGTGCGGGGAAGCCGTGGTACGAACCTGATAATGAAGAGCCACTGCGAGATTGGGTATTGGAAGTAGACTAGCTTGAAGAGCTCGCTGCCAGTCTTCGGGAACTTGACGATGAGGAAGCTGAGCACGAGGCAGGTGTACTGCGTGACCAGATAGTAGCTCACCTCTCGGATGAGCAGCAGGGAGAAAATCCCAAAGCGAGCCACAAACGAGCGACTGTCCTTGGCGTGGATCTGATCCTGGGGTTTGTTGTACACCATCTTTACATGCTTCATACTCGCTTGCGCCCAACCCTGAGCCCATCGTAGGCGTTGCTTCCAGAATGCTGGAAACGTCGTGGGTGCGAGTTCGTATGAAGTGACGTTGAGGTCGTGTACCGTTTTTGCGCCCCTAGAGAATGCCCGCAACGCCGAGTCAATATCCTCGGTAAGCATATCGCCATCCATCTTGAGTTCGCGAAGAAGCGAACTTCGCCAATATCCGTTGGAGCCACAGAACAACCCGAAGCCCCACATGGTCGCACGGCCTGGATGCGATACAGCGTAGATTTTGTCAAACTCAACGGCAATCATGCTCGTCAAGTACGTCTCTGCTGCATTGAAAACGACGCAGCGACCTTGCACAATGTCGATTTCTTGGTCGGCCATGAAGCGTTCCACAGCCCATCGGGGGGCATTGGGATGCGGGTAGTGGTCGCAGTCGTAGATCGCAATCAGGTCAGAACCGGTCTCAAGAGTGAGGAAGTGGTTGAGATTGTCCGCCTTCGAGGTAGAGCCCGGGACTTTGATAACCCTTGCGTGGGGGAAGCGGTGAGTGAGGTCGTTCAACTGGGTCTCCAGTGGCTCCATGGGTTTCGGGGTATTGTAGAGGATGTTGATGCGGATTTTATCCCGCGGATAGTCGATTTGCTGCAGAGCGTAAAGTGCCCGATCCATGATGATGTCCTTCTCGTTGGGAAGATACGCGACAATGAGCAGATCAAGGACAAGGAGTTCGCTGTCTGGCGTAGGAAAGTTCCATGCCTTCTGCTCTGCTTGGGTGACAATTTTCCTCGCTTCCCGGCAGGGTGTGATGCTCATGAATGCCTCGAGAACAGTAGCGCCAGCAATGTAGAAGTTGGTACACATATAGATGAACCAGAAAACGGCAATGAGGCCGTCGCTGCAGTACATGTACAGGCATGTTGAGAAGACATAGTACGAAGCAACGAGGCAGAAAGGCGTCCAGTCTGAGATGAATGCAGAGATACGCTCAACCGTGTCACCAGAGGAGGAGGGTTTTTGTTTCGTCGATGAAGCTTCAGCAGCAGCATCTTGGGGAGAATAAAAAGGATCCTCGGCAATCTCGATGACGGTAAAATCTTTCGGTTCCGACATGGTGACCGTGGAACTGCTCAGCGAGGGTATTCAGGGTTGAAACCAAGTATAAACGATGGAATGGGCTGGCCAAAAAGAATGATGACCGGTACCCTAGGAGCGACGAAGCAACTGAAAAGTGGATATTATAGGTATAGAATCGGCATGTGTAGTGGTATGTCGAGGGCCCAACAGTACTCTATCACCTACCCAGAAAGGGAACTAAACGAGTGACAGGGTGGTGTATGTAGAACGGACGATAACAAGGAGCGAGAGGGCAAATCGGTGGCAAAGGTCACTTTTGATAGTATTGAGAAATAAAGGACTGAGACATGGGTGCGCATGCGCAGGGGATCAGCGCTGCAGCAGCTGCTATCAGCGCTTCCGAGAACGAATTTCCGCATCCTCATCAGCCGCTGAGTTGTACCTGACGTAGGGGGGCTAGAGTGTCCGGGCCCATGTCGCAGCGGGTGGATGCTGCGTGAAGCACTGCTGGGATCGCCAGTCATCCGTGCCAGCCCTGAGCACCCTGGACGCCACTATACATACGACTATCGGGTCGTGCATACAGGATGCTTAATCGCCGGCGATGTGATCCTGTCATGGCATGCGGACGCACCGCCGGTAGCTGGCGGCTAGGACAATACCGTATCTCGACATGGGTGTCGACCACGATGATGACAGCGACGACACGCCGACGATGCGTCACAGTGCCGTTTGCGCAGCCGTCACGGTGGTGCTAAAGATATCGCCGAGCCGCAGGGCGGTATGGCAGCAGGCCTGGGCAGCCGCATTGGGGGGACGGATGCAGGGGGCCTGTGGTACGGTTCGCTGTTGGCCATGGTGTTGAGTCGTCGGCAACGTGGGTAGCGCCCCAGCAGGCGGCGAAGCCTTGGCGAGAAGCCCTGCGGGATGTGCTCCCAGGAGACACCATCACTGGGAGCGCGCACCTCACTCCCCTGGCTCACCACCACGCCGATCGGTGCCTGTCTCTGCCTGCATCCTCTCCACTCTGTCTCCACCGTCATGTTTCCGCCTGCCAGCCACGCTCAGGGGCCCCCCCGGCGGCTCCCAACGCGGCCAGCCAAGCCTGTGTGCTGCCCGGTGCGTGCGTCCTCCAGCCAGCAAGGGAGAGCAAGAAAACGGTACTCGTACAAGCTGCTGGCGGAACGCTGCTTCTGTGGTGCAATTGGGCCGTTCTCGCAGCAGTCCCTCCTCAAGTTGCAGGCATCACCTGAATCAGCGCCTTTCCTTCTCCAGCCGTCCCGTTTGAGCTTCATGTACAGGCTTTTTTTTTAACTCCTCCATCTCACTGCTCGGCTCCTCCCAAAGTCCGGAAACGTGCTTCCTCATATGGATCGGCCAGCGTTGAATTTCCGGTCTGCGCCTCCAGCCGTTGCCCAGAAGGCCTTCAGCCCCGAGCACCTCAGCCTTTGACGTCTGCCAAACGTGCTCGTTCATCGCTGTTCACACATGCAAAAGCACCCCGGGTCCGGAACAGCATACCGTGGGAGGCACCCTGATAGCACCTCCACCACCTCCACCGACCACCTGCCCACACTCCTTTGGCACCATGGTTCCCCGATCGACTCCCTTCGTTTCTTTGGTTTCTCTTGCGTTGCTTTCCTTTGCGTCGGTACGAGCAGATGTCACTGGCGGTAACGGCAACAATTGTTCCTGCGGGTATTACGATGCCTCCACCAAGGAACTATTTACGGATTCCATCATTGTCTACTTCAACGAGACCAGCGGTCTGCCACTTGCCGACTTCCAGGAGGAGTCTTACTCACACAATTACGAGAAAGACTGGAATGCCATCTATCGCCAGGGTGCGGACCCGAAAAACCTCCAACTGAACGAAAAGGGTTCTTTGGACTTCCACATTCAACCCTCAACCGACGTCCACCTTGTCGTGGGTAGCGGCATGCACACTGTCCGAAAGGACATTCAGTATGGATCTTTCCGTTCCTTGATCAAATCACCGCCGCAGAAGATTGGCGGCAGCGCAATGTCCATGTTGCTCCAGTACAACGACACCGAGACCACCGAAGTAAGCGTCATGAATACGGACGCGGCCAACGAAGCCTGGGTCGGTACTTTCGTCAGCGGTGAATTCCCTAATCGAAACTTGGGGATGAATTACACCGACCTGAGAAACAATGCGTCTGCAAACCACAACTACACCACGTTGGCCAACTCCGCCACAAATGGCAGCGTTAATGCTTGGGATTACACGGAATACCGCATCGACTGGACGAAGAACTACATCAACTTCTACATTGGCGGCAATTGCACAAGGACCGTATTGCACAAAGACAACAAGGGTATGCCCTCTGTTCCAGCTCCGTTCTATTTGAAGCATTGGTCAACTGGCAACAAATATTCCATGGAGGGGCCTCCCAAAAGGGAATCTGTTGCCAGCGTGGCGTGGGTGCGCATGTTCTTCAATTCTTCCACTATGAGCGTTGATCAGCATACCGACTTCGTTTCTCGCTGTCCCCTTACAGATGCTTGCTCCATGGATGATATCACCATTCGTGGGTCCACTCCTTATGACGAAGCCGCGACCAAGAAATGGAAGCAAGCTAGCCACAAGAGCGTTAAAAGAATGCCCGCACTTTGGATATCGGTGATCTGCATTGCATTCTCGTCTCTTTTGCTCCTACACGCCTTCTTGCGCCGCGCCCCTTGGCGGAAACAGTCGGCTTCAGCCGGTCACGGTCATGGTCAACCGGCAGCCGAGCAAGCTGTGCCCGAAGTGCCTAGCTCGAACGACACCTTAGCATCCGGCGGTACGACTCCAGCTCGGAAGTCTAGCTTTGACTTCGCCATTAAACGAGAGGACGATGATATGGCTATTGAGCAGATTGGTCCAAGTCGCCAACCGTCGATCTACAGCGCCTCATCCATGTACGGCGGAGGAGAGACATCACAGACAGGCTCTCTGAAATGGGACAGTCGAGCAACAACCCCAAGGGCGACGACGCCATATTCTGCTTCTTCCAGCCGTTTCAACACCACGAGGGAAAACATCCCACTCCCAGACATTCATCAGAATCAAGTTGCGGAATACCAAAAGTCAGCCGGGATGACGTCGGAGAAGACCTTGGAAGTCCACGAGCCGCCGGCAGATGGAGCCGATGGCAAGATTCCCATGTCGACCGTGACTGAATCTGCACTGCCAGCACCACGTATGGTTGTCCACGCTCCGAGACAGCGCATTGACTATCTCGCTGGACTCGTCGCTATCTGTGCACTCTTAGTCACGGTCATGCATTTCGGTCTTTCGTATGTGCCTGCCATTGTCATTCCAGGCGCTCCGCTCCATCACAAGAGCGAGTACTGGGCTCAGAAGATTGTTTCTCCCTTTGTTCTCAATCAAATGTGGCTTGGTGTGTTCTTTACAACCTCAACCCGTTTCTTGGTCGCCAAGTATCTCAAGAGCGGAAATCTAAAGGACATTGCTCAGAACGCTGTACGACGAACTCCGCGTCTCATGATACCCGTATCAGTCGTCGTGCTCTTCGAGTACTTCGTTATCGATTGCGGTGCAACCAAATTCCTCGAGTATACGCCATCTATCTCTTGGTCCACCTGGCCATACGTGGCACGCTTTCCTACGTTTGGTCACTACATCAGTGAGGTCCTCGAGCTTATCTATCTCGTCCCGAATGCTGTTCCTCAAATCACTTTCAACTATTGCACGGGGGTTCTTTGGACTATCGCGGTGCAACTTCAAGGCTCCTGGCTCGTCCTCCTCGGCGTTATCGTCATATACGAGATGAAGACGCCGTGGAAGCGATTCTGTTACTATGCCTTCGTTGTTGTAAACCACTGGTACGCGCAATCTTGGGGTAGCTACCTCTGGCTTGGTCTCATGCTTGCGGATCTCGACGTCACGTACAAGTGGCGTCCTTGGCTCTACGCACGCGCCTATGCTTACTACCCGCTTCTTCTTCTTTGCTGGATATGCGTCGCTTTGGGCTTCTCCGCCAACGTCATTCCCAACTGGACCGACTACAACTTCGCCACCTATGAAAATAACATACACCCCGATGTGAACTCTGGAGAGCCCCTCGCGCGCACTGAGAACGCTGGGTACCCGGTTTACTATGTACCCCGTCTCAACGGTCTCCTCTTCGCAGTCGGCATGCAGGCCATTGTGGAAATATCCCCAGCAGTACAGTGGATCTTGAGCCGGAAAGCCTTCCTTCTCGTCTTTCCCCACATCTTCACCATCTACCTCCTTCACGGTCTCGTGTTTTGGAGCTGGGGCTCCTGGCTGATGGTCTTGCTCGCATCACGTGGCTTCACCTACAGCATCAATGTCGCTGTTGTCGGCATCTCCAGCTATGCCATTCTATTTCTTTCTCTGCCCATTGTCACTCCCATAATCGAGGCCTTGGGCAAAGATATCACCCATCAGGTGTGGCTAAGCGCCAGCGAGAAGAACCCGCCCCGACGGAGAACCTTGTTCCCCTTCCCAGACGATCTTCTATCGAAGCGGGAGAGCGAGGATATGATTGAGGAGGGCAAGAGCGTGGTGTGGAGCGGCCCAGAAAGTGGCCCACAGAGTGGAAGCAGCAGCATATACAACAGCGTGTATAAGGGAGAGGATAAGGCGACAAGTCGGTTTTCGCTGTGAGCGGATGGAAATCGATGGCACAACAAGCTCCTTGGTGGATGGAGTCTTGCCTTAATGAGGCGTCACTGGTAAATATGGTATTCTGTAGAAGCCACGCTTTCCCAATTCTTTTCTTTTAAGTCTTGATGCAATCATAGCGGACTTCTGTGTATAGTGCTCTCGCCCCGCGTGTGTTGGCGCGGCGCTTGGAGATGGTAATACTGGGTGTTGTTAGTTTGTTGTTGAATGTATCCTCTGGCGTCACATCCCCCTTGTGCATTGGTATACCGTATATAGATCTTCATGTAGAATCAGTGCATACCAAATATTGTCTCTTTGACGTACACGTCATGTTTTTATTTCCTGGTATCTTTTTATGCTGTCTTGATGGGCTGTCCTGTCTTCCATATAATGTCAAATCCATCGTCGCGATTTGAAGCCTCAAGATTGTGCATCAACATCGCATCTAAGGGGTATGGCCAGGGGTCCTCGAGTATCTTGGCTCCTATCGCAATACGTTGGATCTGCTGTCTCGATCCGAAACCTCAAAGAATATGTACTCTGCGTATCACACCTTCATTATCACCCTCGTCTTATCCTCATATCTCACCTCAACATCTCCATCAAATGCGAGCATCCCAGTTCAGAGCAGCTTCTCTCGGCGCCTGCGACCTCTTTCGAAAAGCCGAAGTTCCCTCTCGTCCACCGCTGGCTCATCAAGTCACTCTGCTGGGCCTTACGATGTGCAGGACGTCACCTTCTGGTGTTGTTCAGGGGTAAGGGGCAGCTATCGAATATCACCGCGGTTCAAGTTGGCTGATAGATAGCTTTGGGCCTGGAGTGCCTGAAATTGTGGCGACGAACTTCAAACAGTGACGTATAAGGGCAGCCGTGATACGGTGGAAGCGCCAAACCGACTTTCCATTCACCACCCAGACTCTAAAGTTTGGCAATCGCACAACCTTTTCCAGCTTCTGCGCGCCAGGTCAAAACATCCACCTACATCCGACTCACGACTTCTTCACTTCCAGCTTGCCTACCCCATGTCAGGCTGAAAGTGGATTCAACATGGCCGACGCAGGCCAGCTCGCCCATCAGAGGGTCCCCGTGCTTGAAAAGCGATCTCCATATCGTCTTCTAATGGACTACGCCAACAATAGCAGCGCGGATTTCCATAACGTGTCGGCGTCCAATACCAATATCCCTAGGCCCATTATAGATGCATTCAAAGCATCTAAGTAAGTTCCAATTCGGGGCTATGTACCACGTAGAAGAGATACTAATCCTTGGCAGCTGGAACGCCCTGAGCCTTCTATCAGGCCAGGATTACACGATGATACTCTCGATGCAGCAAGATCAGGCGGAAGGAGGAAGAACCATAAGTTGGCTTTTGCACAAGGCCTTGGTGCGTCCACAATCCTCGTTCATATCGGAGCAGTTGCAGCGTGTCGAGGTATGCTGACCATATTGCCTTTCCCTCTATCGTTGATATTAGCGCTCATATCATGATCACAGACCCCACATCAGCCCTTTAATGGAGTCGTAAGTGTCCCTTGCATCTGCGCTTTCGTCCAACGCGGTGGTTGACATGGCGCACAGAGCCTCAGCACCAACGAGAACGGGATCCCGGTAATCACTCTTTCGCGCGCCATTCCATGGGCATTGACCACACTGGCTCTGGACCGAGTGATCGAATTCCTCTACACGGAGATTTATTTTGTCGGCATGCCCACGGTTGTATACTTCGCTTGAGAAAAAGACGCTCACGTTCCAACCACGGCGGTGACGATGATAGAAGGCAACAGGACCAAGGAGCTGAACTGTTGGATCTGGCACATCGCTGATCAGATGGGTGTCCATAAGGTGAAGGACCTAGTGGTGAGAAGGTTGCAGACAGCCTTCGTGAACTTTGAGTTCTTTGCAGATGGCTTCGACGACGTCATCAACGCTGCGTACATGTGCAAGGGATCTCAGATACTCGACTATGTGCGCTCTGTTGCTTTCAGTCACGCGCAGCAGCTTTGGGATAGCAAAAGCTTCTGGGACAGCATCATGGAAAAGCGGCTGGATGGGATATTTATGGCGGAGTTCCTCGTCTACGCGTCCGCACAGAACCTAAATAAGGAACGCATGCTGGGTTTGTTGGCTCAGTTGGACGTGTCACAGTACACAGGCATAGTATTGCCACCACAGCCTAACTTCTCTTGAGCTTGTCGAGGTCGGGAGCGGCGGTCTTGTGAAGGAGTCTACAGATGTCGGTTTTCACTTGATATGTTCCATCACGAAGATTTTGGCTTGGCGAGTCTTATAGCCCACTATCATAAGGCAACTAATGACTCAAACAACCTTCTGAACATGATATATCCTTGCCTCAAAGTGTCCTAATTTACAGTGCCTTTCGGGTTGGTTCTGCTGGGAAATGAAGAGCAGTTAGGTAACTAAGTGGGCTTGAGCCCGCTGTTGATATTGAGGCCTGTTAATGGGTGCTTTGCTATTCTCATAGCGGCGTCTGAAGCCCTCCGTGAAAGCCAAAAGGTTCTGCAGGTAATAGAAAGGTTCTAAGAATGCAAAATGAAAGGTACGTCACTAGAGCATTTTGACAAGTGTATAGCGACGTCTGTGGTCTCTCGTGACCTCGAGAACGATTCAATCAGGACGTAAAGTATTCAAGACCGTGAATCGGAAAAGCCAATTATTGACACGGGAAATGGTGTTCTTCAAGTCGTACTCTACCTAACCTACTCTACGAGTCTTCTTGTGGACCCCCCGGCCAATATGGAGGTTCTCGAATTGGTCCTGGTCTCATCACTTGCATTCGCGCAGCAGTATCTCGGATTCGTCCTATCATTTTAGATTGGCTAAGTGTGAACCTGTCTCTCCAGCCAAACTAGGCGCCAGGTTGGACTATAAGTAGGAATGTACCCCGCTCGCTTTGGTTAATCATTACCGGCATAGCTTTACATGAATCATTATACAAACCCCAAATAGCACGGGATTGCAGCACTTTTCTACGGTCCCATCAATCTCCTCCGTTTTTCCTCAAAATGGTCTCGTTCGCTCACCACGCCAAAATCCCATAACTTCGCCTGTCTCTCCCACCCATTGCATAGCGCCGTTGACGACCGCCTTCGCCATACCCGCATTCGCCGTCCCTGCCCTTGCCCTCCGCCGGCTCCCATCCGGGAATGTCCCGGCGCCCCCTCCGATTCCTCCACCTATCGCGGGTGGTTCCTTGCCAGCGCTGACGAAGCTGCTTCCTTCGCCGGTTGCGTACTCGGAGCCCATAGATGGGAGAATATTCTCGCCGGCAGAGAGGGAGACAAAGAGGGCGAAGGGCACAAGCCAGACGCAGAGGCCGAAGTAGGACGCGATTTCGGTGAACGAAGGGGCGGAGATGTCGCGACCGTAGGGGTAGGAGGGAGGGGGACGGGAGGGAGGCGAGGAGAAGTGTAGAAACCACAGGTAGTGATTTATTATTACGAGCGCTGGAAAGGCGAATACTTTAGCAAGGAGATCCATTTGTTGGTGTCACCACGGATGGTCGAGTGCGACGGATTTTGATAGACCCTATGCGCACAAATAGAAGTTGCGTACCACATGAAACTAAAAAGAGCGGGTCCGAGAGCTTGACAATCGGAAACCGCCGTAAGTTCTGCGCATACACGCCGTGTGAGACGATACTCAGGGCGCTAAGAAAGAAGGGGAATCGGTCCACGACTAGCAGCAGAAGCTGCAAGCCCATTATGCCATATATCATGTTCGTAAGCAGCTTCTTTGCCAGCACGGTGTGCTCCTCGACGAGCTCGGAGAGGTAATAGAGGCCCGAGGCTACAAGTTCCAGATATGTTAGCTGGACCATCTCGAGGGCATACGGGGGTGGAATTGCTTGCCGATTGCGAGGGTCAGAAAGGCGAAGCCGAGGACGACGCCGGCATAGCCGACGAGCGGGAGTATCCACATAGCTGTTGAGTTATGAAGCTTGAGGCCCGCGATGCAATGAGGAATGAGGTCAGAGCCAGGTGGCATAATGCGCGCGAGTCATGGATCACATGACGTTCGTGGGGGATCTTCACCACACGACTATTTCGCGGAAAAAAGATGGCCCCCGCAACACCTCGACTCTTCGATATAGAACGTGATAAACGCAACGAGGACAGCCGTAATTACGATCGTCGAACTGGTGCTGCCCTAGTTCCGTACTTCTGTGACAGCTGGATCTACTCCAGCTCGCTCGCAAATTCCGAATCTCCACGACCTCCGCTCACATCCGCAATCATGTCGCGCCCCGAAGACACACTGTATGCCTCAAAAATATTTCCCAATCGACAACTCCACTAATCCCCCCCCAATAGCCCCCCAGATCTCTTCTACAATGACTCCGAATCCCGCAAATACACCACTTCCTCTCGAATCCAGCACATCCAGTCCCAGATGACCCACCGCGCACTCTCCCTTCTCTCTCTCCGCAGCCCTAGTCTTATCCTCGACATCGGCTGCGGCTCCGGCCTCAGCGGCGAGATCCTATCTACCTTTTCCCCCGAGACGAATCCAGGCGGACCACACACATGGATTGGCCTGGACATATCCTCCTCGATGCTCGCTGTTGCGCTGGAGAAAGAAGTGGAAGGGGATCTGTTCCTCGCAGATGCGGGGCAGGGCGTTCCATTTCGCCCCGGAACATTTGATGCTGCGATAAGTATCTCGGCGGTGCAGTGGCTGTGCAATGCGGAGTCGACTGAGGAGTCACCCGCTGGGCGGCTGTCACGATTCTTCAACGGACTATATGCTAGCTTGCGGAGAGGTGGGAGGGCAGTGTGCCAATTCTACCCCAAGAACGACGAGCAGAAGAAGATGGTGTCGAGTGCTGCAGTGAGAGCTGGGTTTGGAGCCGGTCTGCTGGAAGATGACCCGGGGACGAAGAGCGCGAAGACGTATCTAGTGCTGACAGTCGGAGGCGGCGAGCTAGACGGGGATATCACAGGCGTAGTGAGAGGTATGGAGGGGGTTGACGTGATGGATAACCGGAGAAGGACCAAGGGTAGGAAGCGGGGCGAGGAGACCAAGGGTAGTAAGGGATGGATCATGAGGAAGAAAGAACAGATGGAGAGGAAGGGCAAAGTGGTGAAAGCGAATTCGAAGTACACCGGGCGGAAGAGGAGAATTGCTTTCTAAGGCGGCCTCGACGACATCATGATACGAGAGCGCGATTCATATAGCATACTCCACAGGTGTTCCAGGCGTCAGGCGTTTTCTAGGAGGGTGAAACAGCGGCAAGCAAGTCAATCATGAGTATTCGAACCCAAAAATAAGTTCATAATTCCAGCTCGCGGCATGCTCCAGAGGGGCTTCAATCGACGGCCCTCATGCCCAACACATTGCCACCACACTATCATATTTTAAAGGTGGCCAGTCTCAGATAGCTCAAGCGTTTCACGAAGTATACCTCGATATAACGTGTCCAGAAATTACTTCCTCATCCTTAACACTTCCTATCCTCCAAGAGCCCTACAAGGTTCTATCTACATGCGCAGCTCGATACTACCACAGAACTAGATCTCAAGAGCGTGATTTTAAGGGTCTTTTGGTGTTCACGGAACGCACACTTGTAATATGAAGTAGATCACAATACTCTTCTACTTGATACCCTCCGTATCGGGATTTGATATCCTAGCTAAAGCTGTATCTCCTTCATCATAATTCTTGCGTCTTATACTCATCTCCGCGTCAACAGCCTGCTCATTCGCAGTAAACTTTCTTCCATTGTGCCATTTGTCTTGCCCATACTGTGTATCAGCTTGGCCTTCTTCTAATTGTTGGTCGGAGTGAAGTGTTGCCGATGAGACCCTGCTTGACAGTGCGTAACTACGATGGCTATCTGCCGAGCTGTCCATAGTATTTGGTGTATCATGTTGCCATTGACGAAGCGACCTAGACGGAGTCATGTATGGTAGGTCTGACTTCCTCAAGATAGAACTGCGTGGATTCACTCACACACTTCGCTCGAAAAGTTCAGGAAAGAAGCTTCGGCCACTCCGCGAGCTGTAAGGGAACAGAAGCAAGCCTGTGACGTTATCCCAGGAGGCCTGTGTGTTGTTGTGATGAGTGAATGCATGCACAGTCCAAGCGCTTGGCGTGTGAGCCATCTTTGATGTGAACGCTTCTAAGGGTATATATTTTATTTAATTTTCCCGAACCTCCATGTAGTATATGGGTTCCGCTCTCATGTTTCCTACATCCACCCACCAACCAAATAAACCAAACCAAACACTATTATGTGATATGTCTGAAAGACCTACTGGTACTACACGGGTTCGAGTCCCGATCAGGTTGAAGAAAAATTAATCTAATTGATCTTTCTTCGGTCTGAAAGACCTACTGGTGCTACACGGGTTCGAGTCCCGATCAGGCTAAAGGGTAACCAATCTAATTGGCTTTCTTTTTGCTTTTTGATAAGCCCAGACCCATTCACCCACGTGATCACGCTCACGTGCCCGTTTGAACGTGGTCGTCAACCGACGTGATCACGGGACTCGTCACCGGCTTGGCCAGCACAAAACTTCATGGCTTTGTTGCTACTGTTTCTCTTCTAGCTTTTTGCACTGCTTTTGGCGCATAACCCTTGTATGGACGCTCTATCTCACTCGTCTTCAGAGTAGTCGCCGGGAGATTTGACGAAGACAGTAGTGGCCTTTAGATAATTTGTTATTTAAGATGTGTTGTTAATCTAACCCTTCAAGCAACCGGGTCATATGTCATGCTACCCAGGAGACAGGTCTACCGAGAGCGATTGGGCATGTGGTGGGCACTGCCCTGAGAGACTTCGGCTGGACAATGAGGCTACTCCTTAGAGAGCGAGATGAAAGATGACGAGAGGCAAAAGAGCCGCGACAGCGATTGGAAGCAGGCGAAGTTGGAGGGATGGGAGGCTCGCATAGAGGGAACGCGTAAAGCAGCAGTTGACATGATCAACCGTCGCACTGCCGGTTGCGTGATGCTGGAGCGAAGCGGGTGCCAGGTTGCTCGACCGGGCATCGTGGATCGGTTGAGGATTGCTGCAAGGGAAGAGGCAAGATATTTCCGATGGCAGCGCTGCCGACAGGGCCAACGCCTGGCGCACCTGCGAAAACTGGCGTTGGATGAGGGCAAACAGGATTTTGCCATGATGGAGCATCGCGCCACTCCCGAACCGTGCTCGCGTCCCCTGTTGTTACAGAAACGCGGGGGGCTGGCCTGCCTGGCTCCAACGGCGACAATAACAGGGCAGCACGAGCTCCGGGCTGTCCATTACACACACTGGCACCTCTCCCCGCTGCCCTCATTCACTTATATCCAGCGTGGAGTCTCTCTTGCGCCGAATATCCGATCCCCTGTTCCCACGGCCAGAGCAATGCCGTTGCATTGACGGATAAACAACAACAGACAGTGGTGTCTCAGCAGAGCAGCAGATATAGTGAGCCCAGTCCACACCACACCCGCTTCAATCACGACGTGACCTTCTCACACCATGTATAGCTCTGGCTGCCTGTAATGCCGTGTATTTGAGCGTCCATCTGCTCAAGCAGCTCCTCCACTGCGGCATTCGTCGACTCCACCATGGGCAACACACAGTCCGCGCCGCAGCACAACAGGCTGGTGAAACCCAAGACAAACTCCAACTCGCCCTTTTCGTCTCCGAGCATACCTTCTCCCGCCTCAGTCTCGGCCAAGTACTCCGACTTGCACCTCGACACTGTCATACGTTCACCCACGGGCGACTTCCGCAGTCGGAATGATACCAGACAGCAACTCAGAGCCCAACTGACGTCGCCGATGGATGGAGACTGCTCTCAGGTGTCTGACGAGGATGATAGTCTTGGGGAGCTTGCTACCCATGTTCGCGACCGTCTCCAGAGCCTGTCAAGGTCGAATTCTGTGGCTTCACAGATGCCCAGCTCTCACGCTTCAACCACCAAACTCAACAGTCTCCCAGGATCGAAGCTCTCTCTAGAGTCAGAGACTCGACCCGTGGATCTAGAAGCTGCCATCTCAATTCTGCAGGAGCTCAGGAAGAATGCTTCTCCAGAAGACCTGGCCGCTTTGCGTAAGTCTCCCAATCTCCTCCGCTTCTTAGGAATGCATACTTACGCGTCCATCCCTATAGGCGAAGCGCTCAAACCAGTGAAACCTGCTGAGCCTGTACCGATATCCACACGCTGTCCAACAACACGAAAGCCGGTAGGCGGAGAGCCGTCTCAGTCCCTCATTCGCCGTCGCTCGTTAGCCACGCCAGGCCTTGCAACTCGCGGCTCGCCCACCGATGTACTACGGAAACCTGTTGAACATATGGAGGCTCAGATAGACCAGAGAATGGAGCATGAGTGGCGGGTTGATAAAATGATGGTACATTCGCCCCTGACCCGCCTGGCAGCCCTGGATGCGGCACGCGAAGGACAAGATTCGTCAACCCCGCGATGTCAAACTCCTGGCGATCTGGCATATTCCCACCTTGGCGCATTGAAGCTCGGTTCCTTGACTATCACCAATGGCGCAGCATCACCAGCTCCAAGCGTTCGGTCGAACATGTTGGACCGACGAAAGTCTACTCCGGATATGAATCAAGAGGAGGACTATTTCACGGCATCTGAAGGCAGTCCTAGCCCCTTAGCTTCAGTGCAGCACCATCGCGGCAACCGAATGCATTTCCGAGCCCAGTCTTCTGTACTTCCTACACCTTCACCACTGTCCCGCGAGACCCACATCCCCGGTAGCAGCAAAAAGGCAGAGCAGCCGCCGAGGAGCGAGAGTCCCCTTAAGAGAGAAGCCATCTTGAAAAATTCCGAGTACAGTGGGCACCGACATGAGACGGGCAGGTCAGGTAGCCATGTCAAGAATAGAAGCGCCCCTTCTATTGCCCAGGAATATATGAACGAGCTTGCGACTAGCCCTTTCGCCACACAAGATGAGTTCTCAGAGCGCTTTGACGAACCTCGTGAATCACTAGATTCGGGATTCGCCGAAAATAGCTCCGAGGATGCATGGACGTATAGGCAAGAGGCATTCCGCATGCTGGACGGGACCATGTTTGCGGACTCAATCCCACGAGTCGACTCAGTCCTGGAAGACCCTCACCAAAAGAGATCAGACCGCCCGTCGCACACCAAGGCGGACTCCGGATACTCATCCGGTGCGAGTCTTCGAGCCATGGAACGCAATAATCGAGTTGGTGAAGGTACCATTCCTTCGCTCCCACCTCTTACAGTTGTTTCTGACGGGCAAAAACAAAGTGAGTATGATACAGAAGACTCGAGAAGCCTCTACACGTTCGACCAAATGCTATCGGTTTCCGCTGCTGCAAAGCCGCTACCAGCGACTCCGGATAAGAAGGACGTGAGGCCGAAGCCATCACGATTGTCATTGTCCAAATCCTGGAGGAGAGCATCAAGTGGCGCCACACCAACAATATCTGCGCCGCCTACACCAAATTCTGTCGTCTCATCTGAAAGTGTTGATGGCAAGAAGTCAGCGATGTCCAAGCGTCTCCAAAAACGGCGCCCGTCCGCCCACGCAATACCACTTGTACAATCCTGCGAGCCGGTTAAGGAAGGAACAATTCCCACGATACCAGACAACGTTCGAGCTCATTTCACCTGTCGCCTGTCTGAAGCTCCGGGAATGGATCACTTAACGCAGACTTTTGCTTCAGCTTCCACCACAAACCCTGATGAAAGTGGCGTGGAGGCTCCTGTGATCTTTGAACCAGTACGCTTTCCTTCCCCGGCGGTTGATGAGCCGCGCAAGAAGAAGCATCATCATCGATCGCAGAGCGCCCGCCCACCGACTCCTCCCCATCGACAAAGACGAAGCCTCTCTCTCTTCCGAAAGGAGAAGCCTGACGTTGATCGGAACGAAAATGGCGCAGGTGACGACCTCGAACTCCTAGGTATCGCCGACTTTGGTACTGTAGCACAATCACTGGGCAGCTCGCCCTACGATGTCGCGGCATCGACGCTCCGGAAACAGCCCGTCGCTTCCCCCACTCACCCACATCAAATGGGTGCAGCGTTTCCTCTTGCCAAATCTACAGTCAACATGGACGCGTCGACTGCAATTAATGTCGCCAAAATGCGCAGCCGGGAACGTGCTGCTCCTGACGCATATACGCAAAGGCCCAGAAGCTATCACGAATACAACCTCCAGGCTGGTGAAGCGACAGTAGCTCGACGAGTATCATCACAAGGCCGTACTGCTGTACCCCCAATGCCGCACATGGACTCAGACAGGCTGTCTCTTGTGAGGGCATCGACATCTCGGAACGGGCATCAAAATTCTGACAGTTCGAGTGCGCGACCGAAACTGATAACCCGAGAGACATCAGAATCCGCCTTGATCGAGAAGTTCAATGAGGCACCAGCGACGCAGGTATCCCCAGACTGGGAAGCACCTTCCCAACTCTGGCGCCAGCGTCGCAAGTCTATCGGCGAGGGATTGCGTCGTCCATACGGCGACAACGCTCATAAGCACTCGCAGTCCTACAACGCGTCTCCACACACCGGGCCTCCCACCTTGAGGCCGACGCCACCGCCCAAGTCGCCAGCTGCACCCGAGCCCACCAGTTCCGACGGCAGTATGTTCGACCGCTACGGCGGTGGCCTCGGCTACGGCTACGAGCACGGCTTCGGGGTGGGAGGCAGCGCGGGGACGCGCCATGGACGGAGTGGCGCGAGTAGGAAGAGCATGCATTTCAGCAACGAGTTTGGCATTGATCTTTCGGATGTTCCTGTGATTTTGCAGGAAGCGCGCTGATTTCTTTGAGCTTCTTGAATACCCCCTTTTTTCAGTATATGCAGCGATTAGCATTTGGAGTGGCAGTCTGAATTGTGCATGGCTTTGGGCTTTATGATGGGCATGAATGATTGGTATACCAGGCAACAAGGTGGGGCTTTTGATGTTCTGGCGATTGGGCTGGGGGAGGATGTGTATATATGGTGGCTGGGGGTATTAGGAGATGGGGAGATACTTAATACAACGTGCTAGACACGTCCTTGCCCTTTATTGTTTGGAGTTCTGTTTCTTGCTTGATGGAGTGATGTAAACAGGCATGTGGTCTTGCGTGGTATTCTTGGAGCGGCACAGAATGGTCCGCTCGTGCTGCTCAGGCAGTCTTCCCAACCACGGACATCGGTAAAATCTCCCCAAAATAAAACATCCAGCACAGCGAACTAATCTCTTTCGAAATCTGGAATAAATCGAGTACCATAGACATTTGCATTAATGTATCTTCGCAGTGCGCCACGTAGGCAGTCGCGCCATCCGTCCCCCAACAAGTTGCAAAGACACCGCTGAAACTTTGCCATCCTAACATTTCTGGTACAGCATATTACTCATTTCTATATGCCACAGTAAAATTACTTGCGGAATGAACACCGCCGTTGCTAGGCTCGTAGGTAGTACTTCCAGGGCCGGGCATCCGTCTTCCAGCACCCAACAAAGTCTAAGGCAAGGGTCAGAAGAATTCCGTTTTCATAGATCTGATACAGTGGAGATGTAGCTCTCGGATGGGGTGATGGGATCTATCTGAGCTGCTATGTTGGCCGTGGTGCGCGGGTTGGTAGGACTCCCGGTCGCTTCTTGAAATGCAAGCTTTTGCATTAATCTGAGGATTTCGGCGCGAATGTTCGAGTTCCAAAGAAATGGAGGACGGGGCTTGAAAGAAGAGAAGGGGTTTAGTTGGATAGGAAGGGGAAAATGAGGTTTTTAACCACCGCCTTTGGATTGTGATGGCTGTGATGGCTGTGTTGGTGTGCTGTCGCATTGGATGTTTTGAGCGGCTTGTCTTCTTTTGAAGATTCTGGCGCGAGTATTGGGGTTCCAGAGAAACTGAGAATAGCATTTGAAAAAGGAGAATGAGGGTATTCGATTGAGAGCGAGAGATGAGATTTCTAACTACTGCCTTGCGCTGCGCGCTCGTTGCTCTTGGGGTCGGTCGTCGCGCCAGTCGCGTCGCATGGCCTTGGAGCTCTCGACTGCCATTGCGCAGCACTACAACATAGTGTTTCGCGGGATTGAAGATCTTGTTCGCATCGCGCAAGGTCCTCGATTGTACGTAGCAGCTGAGGATGCAGGTTGATGAGGTCCAGCACAAAATGGAGTTCCAGATCCCATTGGTGGGTCCTGCAACCTTGGGAGGTGCAGGTGCAGGAAATGTGTCAATTCCATTTGTCACAGCACCAAGATAAGTAGGAGATTGTGGCAAATTAAATCGAGGAAAAATCCTTGCATGCTGCCTAGACTGCATATCTTTTCCCTACTTAGGGTAGTAACTTATTAGTACGTTTACTTTCCCCGCTTTTTTCTAGTATATATAAAGAAGCTTTTTTTCTACTTTTCTAATTTTCTCTTTTCTTATTTTTTACTTTACTAATTTTCTATAAAGGTTTTAGGTTAGTAAGTTTTCTAAAGTTTAATATATAGAAACTATTTAATATTACTATTTAGTTCTAGTTTGTTATATTTTAAATAAGTTATAAAAGCGCTATTATTATTATTATTAGGTTCTATTAGGCTGATTTAGCTCCCGTTAGGGTCTATGCGGCAGTGCTATCTAGGTTTTATTTACAAGGGGAAACCGTTCGCTCTATAGCGGTCCGGTGAAAACCTTGTTTTCTACAGTGTATAACGCCTTGCGTTCCTTTTGTTTCTGCGCGGCTGTGGGGGACGCGTGGCAGCTCTGTGAGCATCACCACGGAGTAAGCCATCTTGATGCATTCTCCAGGATCGATCCGGTGTCCGTAGGCCCTAGGTTCCAGGGTTGTACGGTGTCCAGAAGGTTAGTAAGGTCCGGGGTCCGCGTTAGGGCGCGCGTGCCCTTACCGTACGCGCGTGCCCTTTTTTCTCAAAAGCCGAGGTATTGAATTGAAGGACAATAGGAAATTGGGGGGGTTGCCCTGTTGCGGGCGTGCCTGTGGTTATGCAATGTGCGTGCGTGCGTGCGTGTAGTTCTGTTCTTGGGGCGTGGCTATACGAGTCGGCTGGCTGTATAGCCAGCTTTTCCGTTGCCATCTCTCTAGCTATAGAGAGGTAGGGTAGGAGGTCTGTCTGGTGCAGGAACCATTGCGAAACGGCCTTATTTCCCTTGTGGTCTTTGTACAGCTGCATATACGTTCTTGTTCTGGCCTTAAAGAACATATCGCCTCTGCCGTTGCGGTGTCGTTCACAGTGCATTACTACGTGCTTTGGAGACTGTGGTATATGCCCGCAGGGGCACGCGGGCGAAGGGTGATTGGGCACCCTCATGCGGTGCAGGTATGCGTTAAGCCCTATGTGTTCCGTTCGTAGGAGCGTGATAATTGAGCTCTCTGCTTTTGTGAGCTTGTGGTGTTTGGTTGCCTGATTCTTGTTCCATTTCGTGTTAAGGGCCGGCGTAGGGGGGCCCCTTCGTTTCTTCCTGTGGGCCTCCCATTCGTCCCTCCACCTTTCCTCGTACGCTTCCTGTATTGCTCCTCGTCTTAAGAGCTTGTACGAGTTGTCTGACTGCCCTTCGTACCTCGGGGCTAGTGCTGTGGCCTTAACCGCGAGCCTCTTCAGTACGTCACGCCGGCTCGGCTCGTATTTAGGCGTTTTCCTAGGCTTATAGTGTCTCCTAAT